CTGTTTGCTGACGACACATCGCTCATTTTTAAGGTTGACCGAAACGTGTCGGATTATGACGACGTGAATAGTGCACTTTCGCGTATCCTCCACTGGTTTACCGTTAATAATATGGTGTTAAATGCTAAAAAAACTAAATGCCTTCTTTTTACCCTTCCCAGCGTAAGAAGGCGAAGTTTTAGCTTAACATTAAATAGCGTAACCCTTAATCCTGTTGAGTCCGCTGTATTCTTGGGAATTACAGTGGATTCAAAGCTCCAATGTAGTCCCCATCTATCATCTCTTGCGAACAGGTTAAGCTCCGCTGTTTTTGCAGTTAGGAAGGTTAGGCAGCTATCAGACATCGACACTGCCAGACTTGTTTATTTCAGTTATTTCCACAGCATCTTGTCTTACGGCATTTTTTGTTGTGGGGTAGTGCATCTGATATAAATTCTATATTTATTCTTCAAAAAAGAGCTGTCCGAGCAATCTATAACATCGGAGCCCGGAATACACTCAGAGACCTTTTTAAAGAGATTAATATACTCACTGTTGCGTCTCAATATATTTATTGTAACATTTTGTATGTTAAAAATAATATTAATAGTTATCTAAAGAATAGTGACAGACATAAACTAAATACTAGAAATAAGGACAAACTAACTACGCCATTGTTTCGTTTACAAAAAGTAAACAGGTCGTTCATGGGGCAAGGTGTGCGCATGTATAATAAAATCCCACAGTCGATATTAAGTCTGCCACTTGATGAATTTAAACGAAAAATTAAAAGTAAACTTATGGCTAAAGCCTATTATTCTATTGCTGAATATCTTGACGACGCCAATGTGTGGGGTTAATACTGTTGATACTCACGTAGGCTAAAACAAGACTATTGTACATGTACTATTATGTTGTACATGTACTAGACATGTTAATCAAAGATAATACTATAAAATTTTTGATTTAGGTACTATCTAAACAAACTGCTGGTGCTGTGGACGATGGAAAAATGTGTTTGAAAAAGTGGTTAACAAGTATGGATTTGCAAGTTCCTTAAAATTATATCCTACGATTAAGTATACAAATATAACTTGAAATGTACATAATTTCCCTAGCAAAAGTATTAAATAATGCGATGTTGTGATAAAAACCAATGTATTCCGCGTGAATAATGGGCGAGTTTGTTTATTCGGAACACACATAAAATTGCTAATGGAATAAGTAAACTAACCTACCTAACGCGCTCAGACCGATTACACGATGTGTAGGTGCAGATGAAAAACAAACCTTTAGGTGCATAATACTAGAGTATGGTGCGTTCGTTCGCAAATACAAGCATTTGCGTTTAATCGACAAGTGACAACAATGAATCGCGGAAAATTGAGGGAAACGAAATATTAAACATCATATCTAATTACTTTCTGTGATATTAAATGTTTTTGTCAATAGTTGTTGTTAAATGACTAATGTCTACAATCTCGAAAGACTCATTGAAATACTTTCACGTGATGTAGTGTAGCAGTCACGTCTGTGTCAGTTTGAGACAACACCTAGGCCACAGAAATTAAATATTGTACATCAAATATACAAGGCTTGGGTGGCAAAGAACCTGAAATAGAACTGTTCCTTAGAAAATTTAATATTCATGTCATCTGCTTCACAGAGACATGGTTACATAAGAATTGTAATATTGTAAATATAGAGAATTATAAAATGTTAAGTTCGTTCGTAAGAGTAAATGCTATACGCGGTGGCTCTCTTGTGTTAGTTAGAAATGATATAGTCTGTAAAAATCGACAGGATATAATGGCACTCTCTGTCGAACGTTCTATAGAATTATCCTGCGTTGAGAGTCAACAGTATATTATAGTATGCGTGTATCGACCCCCCTCCGGTGATTTCGACCAGTTTGAGTGTGTCATGGATGATGTCCTTAAGAGACTGTGTTTAACTAGTAAATCAGTCATAGTTTGTGGAGATTTTAATGTGGATTTATTACAAGTAACACAACTTAGTAAGCGGCTTTTAAATTTATTTAATTCATTCAAACTTAAAAATCTTTTTTATGAACCAACTCGTGTTACTAACTTATCCTCCACATGTATCGATAACGTTTTCTGTCACAATGAAGTATATGACAAATCTATTATAAATTATCTGAGCTCTGATCATCTTGGTTTAAAATTTTCAATAAATGAAAACATTACTACAAGTGAAATTAAGATCAGGTGTAGACCAATCACTGCTAGGAGACTAAATTCTTTTAAAGATAAAGTAGCACAGCATGTATTCCATAAAGATATCGGAGTCAATAACCCTAATGATTGTTATAGATCAATGGTTGATTTTCTCATAACTTCCTATAATCATATTTTTAAACCCCGCACAATTGTTAAAAAATCAAAATTAAAATTTAGTGACTGGGCAACAGTGGGTATATATAAAAGTAGGGATTCACTGTATGAATTATATAATATGAGGCAGTGGAATCACGACCCTAATTTCCATAAACGGGTACAAAATTTTTCAAAAATATTTAAAAAAGTCTGTATACATGCAAAATCTATCTACATAAGAAATAGGATTTTAAATTCTAGTAATAAAATAAAAGCTACATGGGACATCATTACCTGTATATCTGGAAGACCCAAGAAATTCAGGGAACCTATAAAGCTAGTGATAGGCAATACACCCATAACTTCAGATAACGAAATTGCAAGTAGTTTTTGAAAGTTATTTTTCAGAAATTGCAATTAATGTTACATGCACGTTAAAATCCTCTCCCATTGATGCAATTAATGTATTAAAAAATAATGTTACCTATTGTCGACAAACGTTTAAATTTAATCACATAGATACTAATGATATTATAAAAGTTTTGAATTCTATTAATCTTAAAAATACAGGAGATTTGTGGGGCATGTCCATAAAATTAATGAGTACAATAATGCCGTATATTGCACCATATTTGGCAAATATTTTTAACAAATGTATAGATTCTGGAATATTTCCAGATCTTATGAAAATCAGTAAGATAATCCCCGTTTTCAAAAGTGGGGATAAAAATGATCCAGGAAATTACAGACCTATCTCCATATTGCCATCTCTGAGTAAAATTTTTGAAAAACTAATTTTAAATCAACTCTTAGTACATTTTAATATGAACAAAATTTTCCACAATGAGCAATATGGATTCACTAAAGGCAGATCGACAACGGATGCGGGTGTCGCACTTGTCAAGCATATTTATAACGCCTGGGAAAGGTCACAAGATGCAATAGGTGTCTTTTGCGACCTTTCAAAGGCTTTCGACTGTGTAGACCACGAAACCCTCCTTCAAAAGTTAGATTATTATGGCATTCGTGACATCGCCCTCAATCTCATTGCCTCTTACCTTAATAATAGAATTCAAAAAGTATCTATAAATGATGTAAATTCCACAGGGTCCCCCATGAAAATGGGTGTCCCACAAGGATCAATCTTGGGTCCATTATTATTCTTAGTGTATATAAATGATCTCCCCTTTTATGCCAGTGAGTTATGTGATATTGTACTGTTTGCTGACGACACATCGCTCATTTTTAAGGTTGACCGAAACGTGTCGGATTATGACGACGTGAATAGTGCACTTTCGCGTATCCTCCACTGGTTTACCGTTAATAATATGGTGTTAAATGCTAAAAAAAACTAAATGCCTTCTTTTTACCCTTCCCAGCGTAAGAAGGCGAAGTTTTAGCTTAACATTAAATAGCGTAACCCTTAATCCTGTTGAGTCCGCTGTATTCTTGGGAATTACAGTGGATTCAAAGCTCCAATGGAGTCCCCATCTATTATCTCTTGCGAACAGGTTAAGCTCCGCTGTTTTTGCAGTTAGGAAGGTTAGGCAGCTATCAGACATCGACACTGCCAGACTTGTTTATTTCAGTTATTTCCACAGCATCTTGTCTTACGGCATTTTTGTTGTGGGGTAGTGCATCTGATATAAATTCTATATTTATTCTTCAAAAAAGAGCTGTCCGAGCAATCTATAACATCGGAGCCCGGAATACACTCAGAGACCTTTTTAAAGAGATTAATATACTCACTGTTGCGTCTCAATATATTTATTGTAACATTTTGTATGTTAAAAATAATATTAATAGTTATCTAAAGAATAGTGACAGACATAAACTAAATACTAGAAATAAGGACTAACTAACTACGCCATTGTTTCGTTTACAAAAAGTAAACAGGTCGTTCATGGGGCAAGGTGTGCGCATGTATAATAAAATCCCACAGTCGATATTAAGTCTGCCACTTGATGAATTTAAACGAAAAATTAAAAGTAAACTTATGGCTAAAGCCTATTATTCTATTGCTGAATATCTTGACGACGCCAATGTGTGGGGTTAATACTGTTGATACTCACGTAGGCTAAAACAAGACTATTGTACATGTACTATTATATTATAAACTGATTTTTTTTTAAAAAGAGCAACTGTTGAGTTTCTTGCCGGTTTCTTCTCAACAGAAACTGCTTTCCGAACCGGTGGTAACTTACGAACGTGTTCATTTCTTGTAAAATTTTGACGTTTCATAAGAACGCGCAAGCGTCTATGTGAATAAAGATATTTTTATTTATTATTTATTTATCTGCAACGTGATGCACCGATATAGTAACGTCAACTTTGCACAACACAAATATATGATGCTATATCGTTAAATTTACTCATATAAATAACCTACAAGAAACATCACTATTCTATTTCCTAGGCGTATGCGCTGGCTGCTATGAGGTGGCTGTTGTTGTACCGGATGTTAAGTGATAACTACCGCCTATGGACATTTACAACACCCGTAGTAGTACAAATGCGTTGCCACCATTAATAAAGTATGCCTCGGTTACTCCACTCACGAGACGAAAAGCAGAATTGTTCAATTCAACATCGGTCTTCTGTGAGGTCCTGGTACTACCCGGCCGACCTGCCCATACTTTCAAAATCTTAATTCTGACACTAAATTACTATTTTTAAATGTAGGACAACAACCAAAAAGCACATACCTCCTGCTGGGCAATGTCTCTCTCGCCGACACAATCATCGGGATATCCATAATATTTGGGGCGAGCGTGGAGAACTCGTCCAGTTCAAATCCGTTATGCATTTTTCAAATAGGTAAGTGACATTCATAAAATTACAAATATACAATAATTTATTAACTTATATTTTATATCTCTGAACAGTGGCGGATTTATCAGCAGGGTAAGTAGGCTGGAGCCTAGGGCGGCAGATTTTAGGGGGCGGCAAATTTGGCCCAAAAAATTTTGCCTTACAGAAAAAAAAAAAACATCATTGTATACATATAATGTAATGAAGACGATAGAGCACAAATCAAAAAGTTTAACAAACTGATGTAATGAAGGCGAAAAAGCACAAATCATAATTTTATTAACAGAATATATGTAATTAATATGATTGCGGACTAGGGTATCGAATTTCAAAAGTCAGTAGGGGCGGTAAAAATTGAACAGCCTATTGGCGGCCAATTTGTAAATCCGCCACTGTCTCTGAATGCATACCATGAAAAATAATAATTATTGACAAATGTGAAATATTTGAATAATCATCGTTCTTGTCTCTCCAGGGATGCTGGTTTGCCCAGCGATGGTGTCGATATTCAGTGTCGGCATGATCGCCGTGGACCGGTACATCTTCATATTGCACGGGCTCTATTATCAGAGATGGTGCAGCACAACCAAAGTTAGGATAAGCATCGTGTGCATATGGATGATCGGTAAGCAACACGCACGCTGCACTCTTGAATGCACAACGTTCTATGTCTAACAAGCTTTGTGTTTAACGAATATGCACCTTATTTCTATTGACTTACAGGTGTCACTCTCGGATTCATGCCAGCCACCGGATGGATAAACAAGGAGCTTGTTAAATCCAAGTGCGCCTACGTCTCCCTTTTCCCGGGGATCCTTATCCTAATCAATTCCCTCCTTAGCATAGTTCCGATTATACTGGTCGCTGTTCTGTACTCGATCATTCTCGTGAAGGCGTTGAAGAACGTCGACCAGATCAATACGACGATGAAAACTGTTAGGGTTAGATCGTCCGACAATACCCCCGAAATGAGGATATACCGCGGTCACGGTAAAGCAACTGCCCACTCCGTCAAATGCGCACCGAAGGCCCATAAGAGTGTAATAAAGAGGAGCGCATCGTTTGAAGTAATTGACATACGTAAACCGTCTCTATTAAAGCATCTAAAAGACAAGTCGAGGAGCATAGAAAATCTCAGTAACGGTCAGAATGAAGAGTTAAACAAATTCACCGCTGTACCTGTAAATAGAAATACGTCCAACGTTAGCATTTTCACAATCAGTACCCCGTCCACGCTGAACGGGCCGCTGACCGATGATCGTCATCCGCCGAACAAAATCGCCAAAGCACTAACAAACTGCAAAATCCGTCATAGAGAACGGATCAAAGAGCCGAACAAGTGGAGGGCGATCATAATAGTTATGTTGACAACGGGCAGTTTCATATTCACTTGGATCCCATTCTTCATAACGGTCATATTCTTTGTGTTCTGCGAGGACAAACTGGTGAACCCGGAATGCATCGACCTGAGAATACTGCTGCGTGGTCCGATTGGCGCTTTGGCATTCTGCAACAGCATTTTAAACCCTCTGATATATGCCTGGTGGCACAAAGGATTCCAGCGGACAGCAAAGATGTACTTCCATAAATATATCAAGAGAATGTTCACGGAAACCTACCACTAAAAAACAAGCTGCAAACTTTACAAACATCCCGTACGGATGCGTACCAAATAATTTATTTATTGCTAGATATTTAATTTTAAGAGAAGTTGATATTATAAAACTATATTAGTAAACGATAAGTTGCTAAATTTCAAAACCACGATTTTATTTTTTAACTTAAAAGCGATTCACATCTGTTTGCTCTTTAGATTTTACATGTTACTATTACCTTTATTGAACATTTTACATTTTGTAGCATACGTCATTTATTATGATATTTACGTTCAACCATTTTTTATATAGCTCGTGTATGCAGATAATTCAATATTAGTACTTGTAAGTACTTAAAAGTGACGCACAATTGTTTACATATCTAACATCACTTGCTTCGCTTGCGATGCACCATATTGTGTCACTAAGACCCTGAAGAGTAAGGTAGGTGTGTATTCACTTAATAAATACGGATTTCAATTTTATGCCATTAAATATACGAAACTTAAATGATTGCACATTAGAATTAACACTAAAATATCTTATTTTATACAGTTCGCTGGTGTACAATCAGTTTCTAAGACTGTTATTGTCAACTAGAAACTAATTTAATTTAGAGCGAAACACTGTCCTACGCTTAAAAGAAAAATATTGTGTAACCTATAAGATTACCTTAAACAAGTTCATTCAGTTTTTTTCTTTTTTATGTAAGAAGATGTGGTAGCAAGCGAGCTGGCGGCTTACCTGTTGTTAAGTGATAACCGCCGCCTATGGAAAGATGCACTGCCACCCTTTAATGATGGCCCCGGTTACCTCACTGATCAGACGTAATGCCGAAGTTTAACACTTACACTTTACGCCGGTCTTTTGTGAATTCGTGGTACTTACCCGGACGAGCCTGTCCATTCGTGCAACAGCCGAGGCTGCTGCGTGGCTCTACCACAGTTAAAATTAGTCTCATATTTCTCGCATTCTTTCAGGGCTGTTTGTGGCAAGCTTGCCCGCGATGGGTTGGACGGGGAGCACTTTCAGTGGCTACCGATGCTGGTACATCACGGTCTTCCCACCGCCTCTTCTTATCATAGTCTCGCTCATGGTGTTGTCAGTTATCATAATGGTGTGCGTACTGTACATCATCATCCTTCACAGCGCCGTCAGGACTGTGGACAGGATCAGGGAGTTTCGGGAAAGCCACACCGTGTCTTACATCAACAAGGCGTTCGATTATAACGAGAACGTTCACCCCCCTGTTCACGAGACGTCGACCACTACCATAAGTATCACCATATCAGCGGAGACAATCACTGAGATTTCAGAGAAACCTATAGCATTACACGACTTACGGGTTAACGGTCAAATTAGATGTGGCGTAAGGAAGAAAGTTAGGAAGAACTTTCTTAAAATGACCCGCTACCTTTGCAAGAGGACAGTTAACAACCATCCGAGTAAAATGAAAGCTGTGAAAACTGTGCTGCTTATTCTCCTGTGTTTCGTTGGCACTTGGACGCCTTACTACGTAGCTATAATATTGTACGTTAAGTGCGACATTACAAAGAATGGTTATAACTGCATCTCTTTAGAGTTAATGACCTTAGGGCCCCTTTACATTTTAGGCGTTAGCAATAGTATTTGCGATCCAATAATTTATGCTTGGAGACATTCAGGTTTTAAGCGAACTTTGAGTAAAATTTATAGGCGCTTTATATGGAAAATGAAAGCGTTCAGAAATTAAATTTAGTATGAAATGAGTTACAAAAAAATAAAAACTGACTTGATATCTTTTCAATCTGATTTTAATGCAAATTTCCGGTCAGCTTAACCTATCAGATTTGGCCAATATATACAAACAGTTGAAAATTTTGTATAAAAAATATTTTCACATATTTTACATACACAACATATGTACCTGTACACTTGGCCATTTATTTTTTTCGACATATCATTTATCTTCATTACTTAACTCAATTGAAAATGAAAAATGACGCAATAATTTTATTTCTATCTCCGCACGCTTCATCGTGTTTTGATTAATTAACTTTAAGTTAATTAATCAATATTTTAATAACTAAGATACGTAACGACACACGACATAAGCATTTAGTGGGCTTGTTGACAATATGACAGTTGATTGAAAGAAACCGTTTAATGACTATGATAATCTAGTTTATTCTAGGAATGGTTTACATCGTCGATAACAGTAAATTTTAACCAGTAGAAAAAACAACTGTCATATAATGGATAAAGTTTGCAGACTTCGCGTTAATAATTCCTTTCGTGTTTACCTAGTTTATCCACGAAACGTTAGCTTCTTCAACCGTTCATGTTAAAAAAACAGTCAAGAAAAACAATTCGTTTTCACAACGCCCACCTTTAATCGTATCGTGATCAAAGTAAATAATTCGTGGAACACAATGGATGTCTTTATTCCGCAATAAGAAAAATCACTCTGGTTGTTAACGTTATTATAAATTACCGTTATTACTTTTCGTGATGTCTTTTTTCGCACATGGTAATACTTCTTGCTAATGTAACACATATTGTCTTCATATAAATCTAAGAATATTACTACCGAAGAAGCGTTAATGTTCGTATATAAATTTCATGTTACCATACATTTATGTTCACCATGCAGGTTTTTATTCTTTCTAGCATTACGTTGTAAGATATTTACTCATAATCTTTGCTAAGAAAATATTTTTGTAGAAGATTCAAATTTTTTTAAATATTTTGTCAAACTAGGTTATTAATCAAATTTAGGTTATTAGTACTTTATAGAATAATATTTAAATATCAGTTTAATCTAACATTACGATCCACAATAAACATGTGATTGCTTACTAAGGACATAAAAAATAACCTTAGCAATACATAAATACAGACTTAAAGAAAAAAATAAGGACGGTTTAACTAATATAGGCTTATACCTTTGATAAGCGTTTCATTATGAATAAGTCTCTTAATGTACACAGTTTATTAAAAAATGTTCTTTAACTATAAGATGTTATTAATTATTATTTAAAACGATTAATATATTATTAAACTAATTGACTCTTACTATTGTAACAAAAATATCTATCAAAATTAAATCCAAGTGTATATAACATTTGTATTTTATTTCACAAATTTTATTTAATAATATAAGTTTAAGATTCATCATTAGCAATACAATTTTTCAATATATAAATATATATTATGAGCGAAACCATCATATAGCAACTTTTTATTGTTATTGATCTCATGACACATTTATATATAGTTCCAAATTTTGATGCAGTAATATTGCAGAAAAATGCTCAAATGCTTTTTGTTTAAGTGTTTGTTTTCTGCATTAATTTAAAGCTTTGATTAAAAAGGGCACTGACGGCTTAAATTATGACCTGAGGTCACGGGTTCGAATCACAGCAAGTTCTTCATCTGCCACTCGTTGCGTTCATTGCACTCACTCATATTTTGATCACAAAGTACGGCAAGCTCGTCATATATCTAGGTTCGTAAGAATGGGATAAAAGAGATAGCGTAGTGCTGTCTATATACTATATTATTAATTTACAACATGAAGAATACATGTCAGATAATGAGAATGTTATCTACATATATACAGTTTTGAAATACAGATAACCAATGAAGTTTCACTGCTCACACATACTTTGTACACTCGCACTTTTCTGTTAGGATTATTGGTTTGATAGGATTATTGTGTAATATAAAAAAATAACAAACATTTCCATAAAAATCGTCTCTTACGACACTAAATCACCTTTCTCCAACAACACAATAGCTCTATGTGTCAAAAGAATTCCGTATCTTAAATTGAAACGAACGAACATCATATTCGTGATAACTTTACCTTCTGTCGTGTTTTCACTATATTCTACATTCCGAACCCTTATTCTGATCAAAAAAATTAAATAAATACCGATTAAATGAATAATATCATGTACTTATATTAAAATTAAAATAAACCAAAATTAAATCCAGGTATCCAGGACATCTGTGTTTTATTTGAAAAATTACCTTTAAAAATATAAATTTAAGGTCAGCTCTCATTTATTTCAATATTCAAGATAACCCCATCATATGCAATACAACTTTTCAATATATATTTTTAAATTACAATTACTTCAATTACAACGAAAGCATAACTTAACGACTATACAATAATGTATCTAACTTGATACTACATGGTAACCGACTTTGTGAAGCATCACTGATAATTAAAACAAGAAAATAAACTTATATGGAAATGATAAAAACTCCTACATGTACACGTCATGCACTTTCTGAAGGTATTCGTTATGATATCGATGTCACGAGCTTTTCACGTTGCTACACGCCACTGGACATCGAAATCACTACGCGTCTCCTTCGTCGCTGGTGGCAGAGCATGTTATCTTTATCATTTAAATATCACACTAATATACGGCCGCCGCGAGTCGATACATCAAAGCGATATGTTTCGCCTTATCGCTTAATCGATGGCGGGAAAGGCTACAATAAAGATATAGGCAGGCTTACTTAAAGGGAATTATAATTGAATACCATTATACGTTTCGGGGCTCAGTGTCGAAAATGGCGCGGTCTGTGGTCTGCTTCCTAATGCTGGCGATCGCCCTAGCCCAAGGCCGTCACGAAAAATATGAAAAGTGAGTAATTTTCTCCTACATGCCTATCAGCGAGCAGTGCCAAAGTAATGATGTTAATTTCCTTAATCAAAATCTTCAAGTGTCCTAATGTATCACTAATTAAGACAGTAAAGAAGATATATTTTTGAAATTAAATGACACAATAAAATATCGACAATCAGTATTTGTATTGCCGCTTCATTTGTCCAAGATATTAATGTTGAAAATAAACTATGTGGGTGGTAGCAAAAATAACTTAGGAGAACGGCTGTAGCTAATCTATCATCAATACTTGACAGCACGATTGCAAAAATCTAGAGGGTATTACTATAATTGGATTTATGTTTTGTGGTTATTAATAAATACAGATCTTTAGCCTATGGAAGAAACATTATTTTCGTTACCGTAGATCTTATTTAGTACATTTAATTACTCCCCCATCTTTACTCTGGGGATCATTGCCACAAACATTTTCCTTCGTATATTTCTATATTTTTCGTTCATATTCTATATTTATGATCCGGTCCCTTCTTCTACATCGAAATACTCTGGATCCTACCTATCGATCACTACGGGAAAAATATTATGTGACACATCATATCTATTTAAAAGAAAAGTATAGCTACAGACTGAAACAATATCGAAGACCCGAATGAAGTTTTTAACTTTAAGTGCGTACGTGCTCCGCGGTGAAGGAAAACATCGTGAGGGCATATTTTCTAAATAATAACAAAAAAATGTATTTTGTACCTGCCTCCTGCGCTAGGGAGTGTGGTTCGATCCCCACTACGGGAAAAATATTATGTGACACATCATATCTATTCATTTACAAAAGAAAAGTATTTTTAAGTATGTTTATCAGTTATCAGAGCCGTGATAGCTCAGTGTCCGGGCGCTCGCCTTTAATTCAATATATACTCGAGCAACCTGAGTTCGATTTCCGGTGCCGGCACCAATGAAATTTTTAACTTTAAGTGCTAAATTATCACGCACTCCGCTATGGATGTGTTAAAATATTAAAACTTGGAAAACAGTTGTGTTTTCGTGAGGAGAAAGGTTTGCTGAATATCTTTTTTTCGAAATAATAGGAAAAATAAAATTAAAAAATGTATTTCAAAAATATGTATCGACGTACAGTCCGCCAATCCGCAGTGGGGCCGCGTGGTGGACTATACCCTGATACCCTCTGTATAGAGGTGGCCTTTGCCCAGCAGTGGGACACGTATAGGCTGTTACTTTACTTTTACTTTTTTATCAGTTATATAGTACCCATAGTACAAGCGTTGCTTAGTTTGGGACTAGATAACGTTGTGTAAAACTGTGTCCTAAACGATTAATTATTTTTATTATGGGGGGATATTCATTTGTTTTCTCGTCTGGTTGGGTTTATAAATAGAAATAAACATACATTTATATATATTGCACATTATTATTTATTATTTTATTAGCACAAGATCAACTAAATTGACCCAAGACCATTTTCTCTATTAAGTATAGTAAGTATTAAGTCTTAGAGTGCCCAGTTATCTTAGAGGCACTAAACCGCATAATTTATAACATCCACTATCGCCGCTTCTCCCTATAGAGGTGTTCTTCAAAAAAATTGATTATAATAAACGAAACTAACAAATATACTCTCTGAGCTTCGCATTTATGTTTATCTATAAATGTCACGTATCGTTAAACAGGTAATAGAACTCAAAGAATAAATCTATTGCAACGCAAGTGTTCATATTGACACTTTACAGTCTAGTATATACACGTTCTCATATCTACTTGTTAATCGTCACAACGTACATATGTTCTAGATGCGAAGGAACTAAATGATGAGACATGCGTTCACCTTGATCGTGCTAAGGGCTTCTAATAAGCGACACTAGTATTGTTTACCATTGTGTACTGAGCGCCCAACGAGGTCTTCCGTAGTGAATTTCCTTCTGTAAATCAGTTTCATCACATTTTCCTCGTCGGATACCCCATACGCATCTATAAACAGTATCAAATAACCTAGCATAGGTTACTGGGTGTGATTCACTGTCAGGACAAATCTTTATGCAACGATAATGATAACTTCACAGAGATCAGGTTTCCAGATTCATAAACAAAAATGGGTCCACACTAAACAATGAAAATTTCTTAGTACATATAGTACCTACGTAAAGTAAACGTTCTAAAAACTCTTTTCTTCGAAGTGTCAGTCCATACAAGACAAAGCCGTGCGCCAACTAACGCTTACAGCACAATTGACTGACGACTTAAGAAAAGTGGCAGCGGATGGATGCGGGCTGCCCAGGACCGGGAACGACAGGAACGGGATATATCAATGCTTATCAAAATTATTATAAAAGCACTCATTTAAGGAATATTAGGCCAAGTAAACGCCCGAACTTGGCATAACTCCAAGCTCCTAGTTTAGGTGTCCGTGCTGCACACGTAGTTCGCACAATGCCAGACCAAGTTCAGTGCTAGTTATGAAAGCGAATTGAATATAAATTATACAACAATAATTCCAACTCCTATATAAGATATTCTGCAGGAGCTAGCTAAATACGGACTTCGAGGAAGGGTCGCTCTTTGAAGGTACATTCTGCAAGGTAGATTTGCTGTTGAAATACATAAAACGCACTTATACAAGTATATACTTATTTCGAAGTATTCTGTGTCCGTCTTCTTGAGTAAAATCTTACTTTAGACAATACATGAATCAGTGGCCGTTAGCCAATCATAAAATTTTATCCAGTCATCAACTATACCGTGTGGCGGGGCCGTCACAAGAGATCGAAGTGTTAGAAGCCCACCTCGACATAATATCAGCGACGCCAGCTGCACGCTCCGTTTCCGGACAACTTGAAGCCCTAGTTAGACTGTCTCCCGAAGATAAGCAGAAATGGCTGGAGTACTTCGACAAGAAACAAATGAAGTACACCAAGATGGTCGACAACCTAGCCGAGTGAGTACAAATATTATAAGTTAAAAGAACAAACATCGTTTGCTAAAAAATAGTCTCTATAAACTCAAATATTTAGTTCACTTTATTAGTTATCGCATCATGTAGTTAAAGAACAATGCACAACGAATAAAGGCACAACTAGTCATTCATAAAAGTAGTTTTATGAATGACTAGCTGTGCCCGCAACTTCTTCGGCGTGGAACTTTGAAATAAATAAAATTTCTAAAATATAATTACTCCTTATTACATCAGCTATCTGCCAGTGAAAGTCCCGTCAAAATCGGTCCAGCCGTTTCAGAGAATAGCCGGAACAAACAGTCAGACAGACAGACAACAGTTGTAAAAAAATGTTTTTTTAGTATATATACTGTGTATGTTGCCTATGTAAATTTAGTAAAAAGCTGTAATTTTTATATTACAAACAGACACTCCAATTTAATTTATCTGTATAGAGTATAGATTAAAACATAACAGCCCTGTAGTTCCGGGCTCATAGAATAGGACTAAGGCCAATTTTAATAGATAAAACCCCCCCCCCCCCCCCCCCCCCCCCCCCCCCCCCCCCAATACCAAAAAAAAGAGTACAACTCAATCATTAAGACATTAAGATTAAGATTCTTATAAATTTTAGCGATCATATTATTCGTGTCTCGCTAACTTCGTGATGTGAAGTTAAGATCTTTCATACGTTTTATAAATTTAAATATTCAATATAATTTCAAACATAATTGTAGTAATATTTTTCTTACATGTTAATTCATCCAGCGTTGTTAGCTGTTTTCGGGCGCTCGTCATTAATTCGATATACTCGAGCAACTTGTGTTCAAATCCTGGTACCGCCGCCGCGCCGCCGGGGCGATATTTTCGAATATTATTTCAAAAATATCGCCCGAACGAAAAGAAAAATTCCCAAATATGTGAAGTTCGCCAATCTGCAGTGGGAGACTATGATCTAATACCCTCTGTACAAAGGAGGCCTTTGCCATTGCTATTGAGACTAACTATAAACAACGCACACATAATCCCATTTAGTTAAATAATAACTTTAAAGCAGCTTAAAATACGTCCTTTTTTAGTGCACGTTGTGGTATCTATAACATAGAACGGCAATTTCACAAACATTGTAAACCAATTTATCTACCCAGAATCCTCTCCAAGTTTATAATAGTAGTTTTATTTATAATATCAAACGTGTATCAATTGTTCTACAGGAAGAACTTATATTGACTTTCCTTTAAGAAAAATTAAAGAGCCTTAAAACTTATAGACTATTGTCATATTATTTCACATTTTATGTCCTTTGAAATTGGTCGCCGTCTTTAATCGCACTAATTTTTACGTTATTTATATACATAATATATTTATATTTTAGAATCCTTCGTGACGAAGATGTTAAGATAAACAATGCGAAACAAGCCGCAAAACGAAGAGGACGATCGATCAGCTGGGACGCATACTATAGATACAAAGAGGTTGGTTGCTTAAATGGCAAAGTCGACTTCGTAATCTAAATGTTTCTATTCAAATTTCGTTTGTTTTAAGCTCTTATAACTTTAATTGTGGATAGCAGGTAGGCCTGCAATCCACAATTTATGACCAGTCCCTAGTCCTCGCAAGAACATATTCAATTTTATAGTTGCGGTTCGAATTTGTCCCAAGTCTTTAGCTATACATACTCGTACTATGCATAGTTTTATATTACCCATAGAATACTTAATATTAAAATAAATTGAAATGAAGAAGGCGAAGTGGCGAGCGGAAATCGATGTGGTGTAGGTGCCGAATAGTCAAGTCTCAACACCTCAAAATGTTTCAGATCAACGAATATCTAGACTACCTGGGCGAGGAGTATTCCGACCTAGTGACGGTCATAAACGCGGCTCTCAGCTACGAGGGGCGCCAGATCAAATACGTGAAGATATCCACTAGCCGCTTCGAGGACCTGCGCAAGCCCGTGGTGATTATTGACGCGGCGGTGCACGCCCGCGAATGGGTGACGCCGCCGGTCGCCCTGTACATCATCAACCAGCTGGTGGTCGACATCGTGGACAGCAACCTTACGGACGGGCTCGACTGGATCATCATTCCGTTGGCGAACCCCGACGGGTACGAGTACTCAATTGATGAAGTAAGTCGCGTTTACCTACAGCATAAGACCAATTGAACTTGAAGTACTTGTCAGTAGCTGGTAAAAAATGTGAAGTAACACCCTATATATTTTTAACCCAATTCAAAAAAGGAGGAGGATCTCAATTCAGGTATTGGACATTTGACTCCAGAGATGCGTCATGGAACTCCTCAAAATCAAATAGAAAATGTATATTTTTGAGTGAGTGATATATTTGAAGTCGGTTTTGTTTTTAGGGATCCGTACCCAAGTGTAAAAACGGAACCCTAAAATTTAGAGATGAATTTTTTTGCCGTCTTTCTGAATAATAGTACGGAACCCTTCGTGCGTGATTCCGACTCGCACTTGGCCGGTATTTTGTTACAAAAAAAAGTATATTTTTAAGCAGCAGCTAATATTGGTATGTAGGCCAAAAATGTACACCCTGTTTTTATGATTACCTCGATTAAAATCCCTGATTTGTTCCTCCTTGTCATAGTATATTAAACTAGACACGTATTATAAAACGATATATGAAAACATATCGTAATTCAGTATAAAATTAAAATAAATAGGAAAAATTTTAGACCAATTGTATACCGTAAAAATGTACAATTCGAGCACACTCTCACAAAATCTCAAATAGTAAATCGTTCGTGTATCTGGTCTTAATCACATAAAACAGCGCATAGTATTTGAAAAATACAGTTATTATTATTTACTCTGTAACAATGCACTACGTTATTAATGCTTACAACCAATGAACAAGAACTATTGCATAGAATCAAACAATTTTTTTCTATATAAGCAGTCAAAATATATTACAACAATGTGATGTTCGTTAAAATTAGGGTATGAAAAAAACCAATAAAGTCATTTGTTGTGAAAAAACAAAATGACTTTCCGAACAACCTATTATTTCCAGACGCCTTTCAATCGATAGACACGCGTCGTAGAGGGATTTCCCACGGCTAACATTTGTCTAAAGCAGCCAACTAAGTTTTATTACGCTCTACAAATGTCTGCTGTCGTTTACTGTGTCAGTATTTCATTTATTAGTCCCATAACAGACACGTGATAAAGCCGCCGAAGTAATATATATACAAATGACCTTTAATATTACTCGGAGAATTGCCTATTCTATACGTGACAGATCCGCTTACATGAACTAGACACGCGTCTTCGAGTAATGATATACTGTTTTAACAACGCACATTTCGTGAGCAAACTTTAGATTGAGACCTTTGTAAATAAGAAACATGACAGCGAATGTAATGTTTTATTTAAGAACGCTTTGTCAGTATGAGTAATATTGAGAATTCGTAACAGCTTTTAAAGGTTACGTTTTTAACTGCTTATGCGATGATTCTGTAATTGGACGAGAATAAACAGTGATATTAGAAAGACGAAGCTCATTTTTTACTTGAGAGAGAAGATATAACGCAGAGAGGACAAAGAGTATATTGTATGTCTAAACCGCAGTTTATAATAAAAATTCAGTTTTAATACATGTACACATAATGTATTTTTTAAAATAACCGCTACCGTTTTAGAATGCTGTTAAACCAATTCTAAGGATTACCAAAAGTATAAAAATATAATAATCATTTGCAATAAATAAATAGACCCTAAGCTTTATTAGCCATAATCTGGCATATATTAAATTCATGACTAGTAGTTAAGATAATAGATAAGATAACAAAATGTTAACTTGTGATAATTCGATAAGTTTTTATTTTAATGTGGTACGCAACATTAACGGAATCTTTTGGGAGTTAACAATATATTCTGACTGAGGGCATCATATACGACAGCCAGAGTAAGTTGGTTCTTGACGTTGACTCTATTTTTATGGATTTAGGACCGAATGTGGCGCAAAACTCGCTCAAAGGCCCACGATGGCGCCGAGGACTGCCCAGGGGTCGATGGCAACCGCAACTTCGACCACTACTTCGGCACCAGGGAAGCCAGTGCCAACCCCTGCTCTCTGATATACGAGGGCCCTGCCCCCTTCTCCGAGCCCGAGATCCGCGTCATCCGGGACGTCGTCTTGCAGAACCTGAACAGGGCTGCGCTGTACATTTCCCTGCACAGCTATGGGAACATGTTCTTATACGCTTGGGGCAACAATGGTACGCTCCAACAAATTCTTAAGACGAAACTGCTAATTAATAGCAAAATTTTAATTTTTAACAGGTTTTAGTGCAGGTTGTCCTAGCCGAATGAAAACTGTCAATAGAATGTCAGTCTGCTTCCGATCGACCAGATGCTTTTTCTTATATGCAGTAATTATTATTTTATTATTATTATGCAGTAATTATGATGCTATTTCTTATAAGCAAAAATTACAGTTGATCTAAATTTGTGAGAATTGCATTTTAATAGAGCAGTGCAATAGAATGCGCAATCGTCCGTCACCCTACAGCTACATCGCCACTTCATTCACTGCATCGCACTGAAAAGAAGCCCAGTCTTTTATACATAAAGAATCACGACTTTTCAGACTTTTTAGACTGCAAATTTTTTATTTGTAATAAAACTGGGAATCCAAAATAAAATCACAACACTATTATTATTCAAAACTATTGTGACGTGTCACAAAAGTCAAGATCAATAACATCAAAGGTCTATTTCACAGGCACTCTTCCGGCGAACGGCCTGATTCTCCACCTCGCTGGCGTGCGGATGGCGACCGCCATCGAAGAGTTGTCTCTGGATAAAGCAGACCCTTACGTTGTGGGTAACGCCGCCAACGTACTCTACTACACAACTGGCACGTCCAGAGATTGGACCCGCGCCGTCGGCATCCCACTCACTTACACGCTGGAGCTGCCCGGCTATGAATACGGCTTCCTGGTCCCCCCAGAATACGTGGAGCAAATAGTAACGGAAACCTGGGAGGGGATCGCCGCCGGTGCTCACTACGTATTGTCAACCTTCTAATTTTCTAAAACTTCATCATTAAAGCGAGTTTAAAACATTATTGGATGTTTATTCACGATATACTTTTCAGCGGCATAAAAATAACCTTATTGTGCAATGTGTGATAATTAATATTTCAGTTTCTTATTCAGTAATTTACCTAAAGTTTCGCAGGTTTTAGAATGAGCGTCGTAAATAATTAAAACTGAATCTCTTTTCTCTTTTACCTTTATTGCCTTAAGGGCAACGAAATTTTCAAAGTGTTCAGATCTTATCTCTTAAGTTTTCCCTACATTATGAAGTGTTTATTTATTAAATTACCTTAAAATTTACCATCACTGTTTAAATGCAGACCTTTAAAATTGATTCTGTTTGACATGAAATATATCGATGCAACTGCAACTGGATACTGAGGGCACAAGATCGAATCATATGGCGTTCATTGAAGGAGGCATCCATGAGCAAGTCTAAAAGTGGATAAATAATGGCTGATTATATGATGAGCAATACAGATATATTCCATATAAAACTAATAATTCAATATCATAATTAAAATCGTGTGCCAACAGTGTGTAATATGAATAAACATTTTCATCAATTTCCTATCGCCTATTGTTCGTAGCGTCTACCTATATCTAAGTCTAGGGTGTTCTCTCATACGATCGGTATCGAAACAACGTATTTAGAACGATAAGATAATTCACAAATATTATAAAAAAATAAAGACAAATAGTTTGCTTCAATATTTACTACAATAGATGTTCTAGTTCCCAGTGGTCGTTGGGTCTTACGATACAACCCCTTTCAGACAAATCACTTTAAATTAAAAAAAAAACTCATAAGTATAAGTTTATCAACAAACATTAAAATTTGATTACACAATAATAAAATGATTCCATTTCTAATTTGTCCTCAGGGATCCTTTTCGCCGTTTAAGACCCGCAAACAACCTAAAGTTATGAAAAACACAAAAGCTATTACGAGCGAGTAAAATTAATTTAAAACTCTAGAGCGCGGTATTAACATTTAAACTTTCTGCTTTGTAAACTTTACGAAGGTCAAGCAATGTTAAATTCACAACGTTATGAACATTTTCTATATCTACTATTCATTGAATAAAAAATAATTATAACATAAGATGAGTAAGCCGATACATAATTTAAAAAATCGACTGCGGTGAGAATATGTAAAAAAAATGTAATACGTACATTTTGATGCCAAAAAGCTGCAAATTAAATTTTATGAAGTTTTTCTTTACTATTTTAACTAATTCTACCAACAGGTAGTTAAAATTGTAAAGAAAAACGGACCGGAAAACAAACACCGTGCGATTTTTCTGCGACAAAATTTCCTGCTTCGCCCTTTAGGTCGTAGAGTGATGCTACATACCCTAAAACCTTCCTCAAGAATTGGGTTATCAAATACAAAAAGATTTTTCCAAATTCGACTGTTACTTAAGTCAGACCAAAAGTTTCCAGAACTGGCCACTTACATAAACAATATTCAAAAAGTAATTAAGTACAACATTTGAAAATTAAATAGAATGGACTCTTTGGTTGTAGAATGTAGTTTGTTTCATCTGACTGTCAATTGTTTTCACATTGTAGCGCCATTTTAAAAATTGTGTATCTATACATTAACATGGATTTAACTTGGAAATTTTTTCCCTAGTTTAATCCATGTATGATTTTCTACGATTTTAAGTATACAATTCTGCTGAGCCTCGCTCGGCTTCAATCTGCTTTTGTCGATGAAGCACCATGCCAAACGGCTATTAATAGCTGTTTTGCGGAATTCAAGCTCGGTGACACGGCCGATTCTCAGTGACGAATCTCGCGATGGTTGCCCGTCCACCGCTGTGAATAACAAAACATCGATGCTGTGCGCCGTATGATCGAAATAGTGACCTACAATGAGATTCTGGCATCCTTAGACATAGGCATGAGTCAAATACAATCAATCCTACACACACATTTGAGTGTGAGACAGCTATGCTCGCGGTGGATCCCACACAAATTGACCGAGGCTCAAAATCGGACCGAGAATTTTTGAAGGTGAAAAACGTAGAACTTATGAGCCATCCTGCATACAGTCCCGACCTGGCACCCTATGACTTTTTTCTGTTCCCGTCAACGATTTTCATCATCAGAAGAGGTTGTCGAAGAGTGTGAAAAACACGTTTATGCGGTACCAACGAAGTAGTGGGACAAAAATGTTGGCTTTTCTAAGTGTACCCATTTTTGTTTTATTAAATTCTAAACATGAATAATGTTATATAAAAAAATGATAAATATTTAATGTCACTCGTGATTAATTAATTACATTTAATTGAACTTATCTCGAAAAGTGCGTGATTTATGGGCAACTCATTTATTTTACGCGCGATCATTCATAACTAACACGCACACAACTTCGTTTAAAAAGTATACGACATATTTATGAATGAGTACCCCATTGTCAATAAGTTCTGTATTTTAGGGAATAAAAATGGGAATTTTTTTTTAAAAAAAAAAGGTTGTTTTTATTTCAATAAACGATTATACTACCGAGCCACGATTCCACTCTGTAAATAAAGTATTTTGAGAAACAATAAATTCATTTTTGACTTTTAATAGTATTTTTTTCTTATTCATTCCGGATACTTTTAGTGCACCCCAGGTAGTTCCAGAGATTAACGCGTTAAAAATGACAATAGTCTTCAGTTTTTTTTAATATTAGAATCGATATAAAGAGTGAAAATGTCTCAGTCAAGACGAATCCGAAGACGTAATTATCATTTATCTAAATTGGTACCGCTGTTTAGTAGTTACGAGGAAACATACATACATGCAAATACCTTTTTGGCTCATTCCTTTTTGGCTCAGTCGGGAACTTAGCACATACATACCACTTAATGTCACATTATTATTATTAATAAGAATTCCTTTATTTGTCTAAATTATCTAAATTACATACAGAATCAAATTCACGTAAGAGAAAAAAAACGGTAACAAAATAGACCAGGAATGGATTGGACCCAAAAGGCACCAAGTATGCATGAAATATGCAAGCAAAAAGTTGATAATTATGAACTATTCAAAACACTTTTAGTAATTACTATTACCAAAATTACTCAAAAGCAATGATTGCTGGCATTTTCGACGTTTTTTTTTAATATCACTAATTTATTATTAATATTACATACTCGTTTGCCAACATTCACTAACATCACATTATAAATTTAAAATCATAGTGTACGATTCAATTCTTTACTGATTTGCAGTTGATTCAGCGGAGGGATTCACTATAAATACTGCAGTGACTTAAATTTCTTCAAGTATCTCGTTTTATGAGTATGTCCGCAGATTTACTGTGGATACGGAATGTCTAGATATGTCTACTAAATGGAGAATGTTGGAAAATCATTGTTTATATAAGCGTCGGGCTTACTATGACTACATGTGAATACGGTAAATGTTGAAAATACTGTTGCCAAATTCGAGGGTAAAAATAAGGTGGCTGCAAATTCTTGAGAACCGATGCCTCTTTTTGAATATGCTTGACAGGCTGTGTCATTAAGTACTAGCCTTATCTCCGCCCGTGACACAGTAAAAATACCTGCAAATGATAAAATGGTTCTTAAACATAATTAACAGATTTATATAATTACTAGCTTTTCGCCCGCGGCTTCGCTCGCGTTGAAGCCTTTAAATAAACTTCTTTCTTTAACCTTTCAACCCTTTACAACACTTTTTTCCAATTAAAAAATAGCCTATGTCCTTTTTCAGGCTCTAGAGTATGTGTGTACCAAATTTCATTTAAATCGGTTCAGTAGTTTTGGCGTGAAAGCTAGACAGACAGAGTTACTTTAGCATTTACTTTTCGCATAATATTAGTATGGATTTAAATTTACTTACTCTTGTTACTTTTGTAGTAGAGATCAAATACTCTATTCACTCGGACTTGTGACCAAATTTTTTTTTCATAATACAGAATACGTTCTAAAGACAAAATGAAACAATTATTTAATACAAATTATGGAATTGCAGGAAAAGAAAACGCAACGAAACAAAAAAGTTACGAAACTTCACAGTAACCTTTGCAGTCCCCTAAACTTAACAAAATCTTGTAATATGGAAAACCAACAGCTTCAATAGTTCTAATAAAAATTAATTGTTTCGTATCATTAATCTCAAATATTAATAATAAGAAAATGATGGCCAGAGTATATTGAAACATTATTATTTTGCAATGATTTCTAAACCATCTAGACAATAATATAAACTATCGTAGCGTCAGATCAGATGAATTATTATTTTAATCTAATTTACCAAAGTACATAATATGTAAGAAAACAATATGACCTAAAAACTGATAATAACATTAAATATTATCGATGGGTGTCTAGGCATAATATAATTGTATTTTTTTTTCGTAGATAAATGAACAAAAACTTTCAGTTCTGCAGGATTGGAACCTTCGTCTTCTGTTTTTGTTCGTTTATCTACAAAAAATTACAATCATAAGTTTCATCTTGGGTGCAGATGCTAGCAATAAAAATATAAAAATTATCCTAAAGAATAATATAATTTACATAATATACAGCAGGTTTAGCGAAAAAAAGGATACATAAATGTACCTATGTATATTATAAAATTTGAGTGCCCTAGAGTGAGTGGTTTGTGTTTTGTCTTTAAGAGTAAATTATTTTTTAATGTGAAAAGTTGGCAAGGCAGCAAGCGGTTTACCTGATGTTAAGCGGTTTCCTATAACACTTGGCGGGCTGCAGATGGTAGCAGGTGTTGCCATCCTGAAAATGAAAAATTGTTGGAATTTATGTTATTGAAAGCCATCCCGAGATTTAAAGGGATATCTTGATTTGGTCAGATGTGATAAAAGTCAAATTACTGAATTATTTTTTTTTCTTGATTTTGTGAGGCGATCCTCAGCACAGTTGGACCTATAGAGAGCAGAGTTTGGTGTGAGCGCCTCACACAGAAACAATATTGTAATCAGTAAGCTTTTCTGACACTAAAATTTATACTAATAAAATCCTCCATCTACAGTTCCTCACGCGACTTCCTAATATCATAATCCAACAAAAGCTTTAGTTTATTAGTAGCTTTTATCGAATTACAGTTTGTTATGGCACTGTGTCCTTTTAATAACCTTTTAATGGGACAAAACTGCAGACAGTAATGTAAATGCGTGCGGAAGAATTTCAAAAGCGTTTACGATATGGCTCTCAAAATATTGAATATCATTAGTTGTCTTTCTCATACAGTCTCTCGAACTATACCCCTTATATTTTTTTAAGTAAGATACAAGCGAGCTGGCGGTTCCTCTAGTGTTAAATGATAACCGCCTCTCATAGGCATTTGCAACACCCCTAGGGTTGCGGATGCGTTGCCACCTTTTAAAGTCGGCCACGGTTTCCTCATTCGCCAGGCAAAATTATAACACTTCCACTTCCCGCCGGTCTTCTGGACGGACATGACCATTCGTGCATCAGAGAAGACTGTTGCGTTGCCGTTTCCGTTTTGGTTTCCGTTTCCGCTTAAATTATTTTTTTATTTAATTTAGATTTTTATACGTTTCTTTTTCTGCCATTTCTTTTACATCATAGATAAGGTGTGTGAACGTTAAACAATATAAATGAGTAATAAAAAGATGGATCCACCGATAAAGATGACGCAATTCCATACGGCGCGGCGTTTAAAAATTATTTCGGTTAAATATATAAATAAAAGTAACAAATTGTTTATTTGTCTAAATATATATACAGTAAAAAAATATACAAAAAAGTAAAAGTAAGATATGATAAAAACAACAAGTATCTACACAAAATGGTCCAGGACTCAAAGTACCTCGGATATTTTGTTCTAACCAGACATAATATTTACATAAATAACACACTTATTATAGGTACATAAAATATCATTAAATTTAAAACACTGGTTACTTGAAGCCAATGATTGCTGCATTATACATTAAAACGAAAAGATTTTCGCCGCTGCGGGAGTCGAACACATGTCTTCGGATTCGCAAAAACTCTTATAAGCGAATTGCAGCAGCACACAGATGACTCCGTGGCGCAGTCGCCAAGGTATCGGCTTTGGCGTCGGGGGTCGTGGGTTCGATTCCCACACGGGACAACTATTTGTGTGACCCACAGATAGTTGTTCCGGATCTGGGTGTTTGTCCGCGTGAAATTTATGTTTGTAAAACGTCCTTACAACACAGGATAATATTATCCTAAGGCAAGGGCAATGTTTTTAAAAAAATTAAATAAAACAAAAAACAAAAACTTACCACATAATTAAAAAAATTAAGATAATGACTGCTCTTTCTGTTAAAGAGACACTTCAATGAGACAAGACTGTACTGCGAATCATTCACCTGGCTGAAATATTTTGCCTGATACTTGAAGATTGTGATGAAGTTTCAGTACAATGAAATATTGGAGATCGCTGCTAGGAGAACAAAGACAACATCAAACATTTTTGTGCGAAGTTCTCCAATACAGAGATGTTGCAGGAAACGACCACCCAGTCACATAATAGCTACCGATCGAGCCGAGGTCCGGCCCTCTCGGGCACCCTCGAATCGGAATGCTAAGCGCGTGTTGAGTGACAGCCCAAGCCGAGGTCCCCTCTCGGGGACCCTTGAGTCTGATCACTCCATGGAGCGTCCGCCAAAGCGCCCTAAGACCTTGGTGGCCTCCCAAACCGGTGAAAATAATAACGTGACGGCCCGAGCTTAGGCACCATAATGCGTAATAATAATACGCCGAGGTTCAGGCTAGGCGCCTCGAGCGCTCGGCCACCACAAGTCCGTCGGATCTGTAAAGGCCCCTAAGGCCAACAGTGGCTCATCCAGCCAAAAAAAGGAAACGACCTGTATCCTGAGCTTGAAAATTTGGTAAAAATTATTTTGTCACTGTCCCATTCGTATGCGGATGTCGAACGTATTATCAGTTCTATGAGCCTAATTAAAACCAAAACCGGAATAAAATTTTAAGATGAAGCTTTAAACGGCTGAGAGAGTCTTGTTCAGCCAGAGTGCCAACTGAAATGGTAGAAAAATATAGGATCAACTTGAAATAGTCATTCAGATTAGCAAAATGATGATGTCAATCAGCCATTAAGATCTGCTAATTTTTAACAATTTAATTACATAAATTTAAATTGTTTGATGCACTTTCTGAACTATTTACTGCATTTGAAATAAAAATATATATTAATATATATTAAATAAATATTTTTAAATTAGTTGCAATTTTAATTTGTTATGATCCAAAATATATCCAAGCGCGAGCACAGAATAACATGAAATAGTACCGTGAGACCGAGTATGAGTGCTCCGCTGCCTTACAACGCCCGTCGTAAAAAAATATTTTAAGCCCTTCCTAGCACCTCAACTGACTCCCTTTCAACCAAGTTGGCTACACTTGAACACTATCAAAGACTATAATTATAATTAATTAATTACTAGCTGATACTCGTGACTAGGGCTGGGCAAGTAAAAAAAATAAATTGATATTTATCGTATCGACATTTTTAGAAGGTATCTGTAATAATCGAGATCGTTTGTTTGAAAAACATATTTTTTTAATTATGGATTTTTTAACGTTTTATATTTTTTATGATTATTGTCATGCTATATGACACGCTGTATATTGTCAGTTTTCCCATAATTATTCATACATATTTCCAAACCATTCAAAATTCGTAAAAAAGAATACACGTGAAGAAAATAGTTGAATTTTGGTTTGATGGGTGAGGACCATGCAAAGAGTTTCTAGTAACATTAAACATGAAACCTGAGTTGTGTTAAATATATATCGAAATAGACACGAATTCGATAGTCTAAAATAAATATCGACTATCGATATATCGCAATAAAAAATATCAACGATATATATCGATAATTTTATAGCAAATATCGATATTTTTATCTATCGATATTTTTTGCCCATGACTACCCACCATTTTGCATTAGGATAACAGTTAACACACACATTAAGAAAACACACAGTACAATATATTAGTTCACATTTCACATTATTCTTTCTTAAAACTTATTAACTATAAATTAAGTAATTTTATACATTAAATAAAGGTTCCATTTTCAGTTATCTGCTGAGGTTGCGACGAAGCTGCCAAAGCTGCCAGAAACAGCTTCAATGAAGCAAAACACAGCAATCTTTAGACTCCAAAATTACTTTTTATATTAGGTTGTGAAAGGTAGATCAATTTTGACATTTGCTATTGCAGTATTAATACTGCTCTTTGGTTTCAACACGCAGTCACGCAATATGTAAAACGGAACGTTATGTTTATTTACGTGCCTATGTCAATCACACGCAAAATCACAATAGTCATTACGCACAAAAGCAAAAATTCATAGTGTAATGATATTAATAATAATTTAAAATGTTGTGGTATTTACCATGGTCTGAAAGTATTAAAAAAAGGGCTTGCAGATATCTTCTACAACGTTATCTTGGAAATTTCCTTGAAGAAAAACTTACTTTAGATCAGCTGAGTGTTGATCTATACAATGGAACAGGAACGGTGTGCGATGTCAGCCTTGACTGCGAGGTAATTTTATTATAATTTGTATCTCTATATCGCTTATCGGCAAACTTTTACAACTTTGTAACTTTAAATTCTATAAAGCTAAGCGATATATCTACGCCAGATTTAAGTGCGCACAATTTTTGCCAACACGTGTTGATTTTGCATCTTTAAACAAAGAAAAACTTTAAAATATGTTTCAAAGGCATCTTTCTACTAGTTGTAAAATTGTTACCAAACTATTCCATTTAATTTCAGAATATCTTAGTTAATAATAAACTAAACATTCAATAACATCTATATTGAATACAAAATCTATATTGAATTAAAATTTAATTGTTATAATGTATCAAATAATGGATTAAATTAAAATATTCTTTTTTATCTTACTTTAGCTATTTCTTTTTTAGCAGACAAAAAATTAATTACTTTATATAATAAATATTGTTGATAACATACACAGCGTGTCGTTACCATCGCGACAATAAATGGACACACGTCTAACGATACTTGCCAATAATCATAAAAAAATATTAACGTTAAAAAAAATCCATAATAAAAAAAAATTTTTCAAACAAACTAATTAAGTAAAAAAGAAACAAAATTTGTAACATCCTATACAACTCACGCCAAGCGTCGCATAACAAGCCTCTCCTTCTAACAGTATGTTTTGTCTCTTTTAAATTCATTCAACCCATTCATATGCTTTGTGACCTTTACAAATGAACTTTATGTTACAGTTTTATATGTAAGGGTGTTCTAAACTTCTTTGTTTTAGAAAATTTAATAACTCTGTAAATATTGATGTTTAAAGAATGTAAATGTTTAATACAATTTTAAAAAGTTATCCTCTATATGTGTGTTCATTTATTGTTGTGATGGTAAAGAGACGCTGTATACTGCCTAAGCTCAATTTCTATAAATTATTATGTGGAAGAGAACTTACTGTTTTATTACAGTTTCTACTAAACTTGTTACTGTTGTACTTGATAAATGGTTCAAACCAACATTAAATAAAAACCTGTAAAATGTATATATGCATTCTATTTACACTGCTTATCAAGGAACTATACTCAGATACAATTTAGTACAAGTAAACTCCAGTTGCAACAAGTTTTAGCTGCCCAAATTAAACACTAAGGTCTCATTAACAACTGTTTTGTCAGGTCTTTAAAAATGCATATATGAATCTGCAATTGCTGTGCAAGTATTTGAAGCCAATTAGTATGTTTTTGAAATAATAAATTTTTTTTTCTTAAGGCACTCAATGAACTTGGTGATTCACAAAATTGGCCATTAGAAATAGTAGATGGACATATGCAAGAAATAACTGTGACCATCCCATGGTCTACATTATTGAAAGATGATTCCATTGTTGAAGTCAATGGACTATCAGTTACAGTACAACCTAAAGTTCGAGTGGAGCCAGGTAATTAAAATGTTTTACTACAAATTCTGTTGATTTAAATACAATAACTCTGTTTCTTGGTTGTATAATATATCATTTTAGTCCTACTGTTTATTTTCTTTGATAATAGAATCCGATTATGCGCTTCTATAATGTTTTTTATCACTGACATTACTTTTGTGAAATGATAATTTTATGTTAATCAGTATCATCAATGCTGGAGTCAATGTGGTCATCAATGTCATCATCAATGCAGCTTGCGGCTGAATGTCTAAGAGAAGAAGCTGGTCCACAAGAATCCAATCCAGTAGAAGGAATTGAAATGTTTGCACATGCCATTGATTCCGGTGAGTGTGTTACCCAATATGGGATTATTACAAGAAAATTAATTCTTTTCACTAATAGGTACAGATAAAACAAAGGCCAAGGTCTAGTTAAAAACAAATATAATATTTTTGCTAATGTTATGAATATCATTATAAACATGTAATATGTATTAATGTTTAAATAAAGTTACAGAAATAATATGTCTTGAAATTTTGATTATTTTTCAGTAAAAAATGGTTTGTGGTACACATGTGTGTGTTAATTCTTTATTAAATTTGTCTTCCCTTCTTTTAGTTTTGAGCAGAGTGAAGGTGAAATTTGTTAACACCAAAATAAGAATTGAGCATGTACCCAAGAATGGTGTCAGAGGAATTGCTTTGGAAATTCACATTCAGAAGTAAGTCTTTACACATCATCAAATTATTAGAAAAAATTTAATTTAACTGTTACATAATTTATTACATTAAATTTAACATCACAAAATTACAAGCGTTATTGAACAAATTCTTTTGTTAACATTAACAAAATTATTTTTTCAGCATTGACTACTTTGATGAGGCTGGCGCAGAACCCGTTCCAGACTCAACTGACCCTGGCAAATCTAAAACATACATAGTTGCAACATACACCAACAAGAAAATAAAATTTGATGGAGTCACACTCTACATTGACGAGTTCCCGTCAAAGTTGCGGACGATGGCGAGAAGTTTGACCATGGAGAAATCTGTCTCATCGCAAGCTGATAGATCAGAGCACCCGGAAACGCCAGATGCAAACTATCAGAGCACCATATCAGACATATTTTACGAAACAAAAAGTGTCATATCAACAATTGAAACTGACCCTGTCAAAGAAATAATCGGTGAAGAAACATCTCGTGGAACTAGGGAAGCCACTCCGGAGGAGAGGTCAAGTCAACCGGAGCCAATAGTTTTCGCCAAATTAACAGGGCAACAGGAATTGGCACTCAAATTGAAATACTCCGAAGAAGTGGAAGGGCCTAAGGTTGAAGTTAATATATTGTTGGGATCTTTAATATTGTTTTTAACGCCTAGGCAGTTGCATACTTTAATAGAAATTGTGGATGCTCTGAATCAACCGGATTTAGAAGATACCAGGTAAAACAGATAGCAACTGTTTAAAAAATATATTAATAGTAGTTATGTATATGTATGTCATTCAAATAATGTAAAAATATGCATTCCACAGTAATTTACCTCTTCGTTCAAGTGGCATAAATATGCAATGCAAACCAATGAAACAGGCGGATTTTCAACTCATAGAAGCGCAGCTGCAAGGAAACTTGGAACGGCAAGCTAGACCAACTCACATGTATGGATGGTCAGGCCCAAGCTTTGGTATGTGTATAAAAGTTTACAATTTAATAAAAAAAAGTATATGTTCCTAAACACAGTCTATAAACTATATATTGAGGATATTTTTTGTCATTCAAACACCATTTGATGGTTTGTTTGCCGCTATATTACTAAAAACAGATGAGTAGAATAAAGTTGTCAATAAATAACTTTTCTTTAATAAATTCTTATAAACAATGTATGGTAAAAAGCGAAGCAGACTGATATTACCACTTGGCGAATGCTCACGCGTTTTGATGCGATTTTCTTTAATAGATAGAGTGATTCAAGTATATGTATAATACATGCATAATACAGTAGAGAAACACTGATAATTTTAGAGGTTTTTAATGAGATGTCGAAAACAAACATTCAGCATTGCACCCGTGCGAAGCCTGGGGCGGGTCGCTAGTAATTGATAAAACCAATGAATTTTTTTTATGGATTGTATCGATATACTTAATTTAAATTCCCGACGATTCGGATACTCTGCACCAGCATTTAACCGAGACGGACGTCTCAAAGTAACTTTACTTGGTTACCATGAGTTTTGAAAATAGACGAGATTTAAATTTTTTTTTTCTATCTGCGACATAACGGGTTGACATTTCCAGAAGACAGCGACGCTGAGAGCGAAAAGTTTCATCCGATGACGTCACTCGGCAACCAAATGACAGAGAGCTTCACGTCTTCCGTCAGCTCCATGAGCGCCAGTATGTCGTCCAGTGCCAACATGTCAACTACGCAGCCCAGGATTAAGAGGAACAAGAAAGGTGCGTTTTCTCATTGAAGAAATAGCGTACGAACTCGTTCGTAGTAATTCTGCTGTAGCCAGGTCGTCTAGACCCAACAACACCCGTTGGATTGTTGTTGAGTCGCCTGGGTAAACCCAGACTACCATACCGTTTAAAAGCCAGCAACTCTTTTGTAAGCCTTCGACTGTTGCAGGTGTTCATGGGTGGTCTTAATCACTTCAGGTGAGCTTCTGCTCATTTCCCCCCATTTTTAAATTCAAAAGTACAGATATTGCTATTGCAGAGCGCGTATGGTCATCGGCCTTTTTTTTTTCACGAGGGAAAAATCCTTTATATCGTGTTCCCGTTCTGTCCAGGACAATTAAAAACACACAACAACTAAAAACTATCGCATCGGCCCTGGCGCGGCTAAGACTTTCTTGGTCTTCCTCTTTTCGGGAGCTACGACCCCCACTCCGTCCAAATGGATGGTCAGACAGACAATGCAAAATTTAACTAGTACATTAGAGACATAAGAAATGTATAGAAAGATTTAGGCTTTGAAATATTCATTTCAGTAAAATGTATTATTTTCAAATCCAATGAAATGCGTCTGATTTTCATATTTATTAATTAGCATGTACTTAATTCTGTATATTAATATGTGAAGCAAAAAGCTTTGTACCCCTTTTGACGAAAATTGCGAGGACGGAGCATTATGAAATATCCCACACTTATAGAGTTTATATAGAGAAGGAGTGTAGAATGCTAATATTTGTTTAATTATGCATAAAACAAAAAAAATTACACACACTACCATGCATGGTCGAATTTCGACCACTGGGCGACCACTAGTACAATATAAATAAGCTTTCAAAGTTCATAAACGCTTTTATCATGTGTATGTTAAAATTTTAGCTCCACACATCGATGGAGATCCGACCGCGGAAGTGTCGCACGTTAGTCTCAGAATGGCGTCATTCTCTTGCGTTCTACTGCACAAGGTAATTTAACTTAACGGATTTTTGATGTAGAATATTTTTTTATGTCATGTTAAATGATAACCGCCGTCCATAGATCTTTGCGACACCCGTATGGTTGCAGATAAGTTGCCAACTTTGAAATAAAGTGGGTCCCGCTTCCTCACTCAGGGGGCGAAACGCAGAAGTGTAACACTTCAACTTCACGCCGGTCTTCTGCAAGGTCGAGGTACTTCCCCGGACGGACCTGCCCATTCGAGATAAAAAAAAGAAAAAAACAAAAAGAAAAAAAATAAAAAAACAAAAATAAATATTTCGAAGATTTGTGAAGGCCGCCAAACCGCAGTGGGGTCGCGTGGTGGATTATGACATAATACTCTCTGTACAGAGGAGGCCTTTACCCAACAGTGGGACATATAGGCTGTTTTTTACTTTACTTTTTTAACTTATACAATATTATATCATCTTTGACGTTAATAATAAACATGCAGTGTTTTTATATTAGGACATACTGGTTCCGACACCGATGGGTTCCGACTACGTTTCGCCCGCGTCAGCCGTCAAGATGCAAGAGGCGTCTAGAGAGTTCTTCGACAGCGTGGAGACGTTCTGTCGCACCGACGAGAGGAGGGAAGCCCATAGAGTCAATGACGCGCTGGACAGGGCCACCAAAAGGAACCATCTAAGGTAAGGAAGACAAAATCAATAACCTGGAGATATGGGAGAATAAGAATAAGGTAACCTGGGCGCACTCTGTGGGTATTTTAAATGTCCATCGGCAGCGGTTATCACTTAACATAAGGTGAATCGCTAGCTCGGTTGCCTTCTACTTATGTAAAAAAAAATTGTAAACATATTTTTATTTTTTTAAAAGTGATCTGCATTTAAGACGGAATTTAAATGTGTATTTAATAGGTTAACTATTTTCGAAAAATTTTTCGGCGGTTAGGGATTCGAACCTGCATCTTCTGAGTAGCACGCCAACGCAGTAGCCAACTGAGCCCTTTAGCCAGAACTTAGTAGTACGAGAAAAGTTATAGGTGCGATGCGCTACAAATTATTAGCTTAAGTCAAGACGGTACCCTTGTAAGCCATCGCCGAGATATCAATCGATTGTTATCGACCAACGGCCGGTTACAATATTATTCTACCACTCTGTAGATTTGGTTACTAGCGATACGTATTTGACATTAGCTCCATAATATTTACCATCAAGTTTCTATCTCTAGAAATCAACAATTAGACATCAATGTTGAAACCGGCCGTAAACTGAACAATCGACTAATACGGTTGGTTTCAGTAACAATCCACCATCGTAATATGGAAGCTGTTACATAAATATCAATATCGTCTTTTCCATTGGAGCGAATATAATCATAATAATAATAAATCTTTATTTCAGGCAAAAGCCCATAATAATACTCAAGTTATATACAATTTTATAATTAATTCACAATTATCAAATCATCATTATCATCATCATTTCAGCCTGTTTGAATCCACTGCTTAACATAAGCCCTCCCTCACAGACTGCCACGAAGCACGATCCTGAGCCACCTGCATCCATCGACTTCCCAAATTCTTCTTTTTCTTCTAATTATCAAATAAATAAAAATAATTTATCCAACTAACATATAGAAACTGACTAGCGACCCGCCCGACTTCGCACGGTGCAATGTATTATACATATCAATTACAAACCTTCCTCTTCAATCACTCTATCTAGTAAAAAAAAACGAATCAATATCCGTTGCTTATTCTTAAAGATCTAAGCATACATTGAGACAGACAGACAGCGGGACGACTTTGTTTTATACTATGTAGTGATAACAGCTTCTATATGCTAGCATTTATTTTATGTAAATAAAACGCGGTCTCCCGTAGGATACTCACGACCGAGATGAGCGTGGACGGGAGCGAGAAGGTGACGTCACACGGCAGCCAGACCGTATGCGAGGCGGCAGTGAGGAACGCGCTGGTCCGCGAGTGCCTCTACTTCCAGGACGGCAGCGACCACTCCTCGCCGCGCCACTTCGACCTGATCCATTTCGAGAGCAAAGGTATGAAAGAGTTATGCCCCAATTAAAAAAAAAAAAAAAAAGAGTTATGCCCCGAAAGTGGTGGGACCACGCAATGGTCTTCGCTGTTGCAGAGTATAGTACGTCCAGGGAGATTTTCTTTTCGTTTCCTCCGGTGAGTTAGGTAGCCGGAGTCCATTTTATTTAAAGGTGCCAATGCATCTGCAACCTTTCGGTTGTTGTAAAATATGTCAATGAGCGGTATATAAAGTCCTAGATAACCCAATGAAATCACTAAATTCTGTGTTTTTCTTAGGTCATCTTAGACTCAAATGAAAAGTTATGCAATTTGTAAATTACAAAATTTGCAGCTTGTTATTTGATTGAAACTGGTGTTAAAATTGTACGACATATTAATAATAAAAATACCAATTAAACAGTGGGTTAATTGGTATTTTTTTTATCGATATTAATATTAATGTACCAATTAATGTAAATTTATAACATTTTTTGTCGTATAATGCAATCAATTTGTTATAGTTCTAAGAAACTAGAATAGGTACAGAGTTCAGATCATTATACATTTAGTGAGAGCATTAAAATATGCGACGCACCCAACGAGCTTGATAGCAAAAAATCGTTTCATCATTTTTCCAATAATGATCATTCCTTTACACGAGACTGTCATTATACAAAGAGGCAGATTTTTGCAGATTACAAAATTGTCTGCTAAAGATAGCATCTACATTTACACTGTTACTGCTCTTTTTTTCATTTATGGAAGGTGGCAAACGAGCTGGCGATACACCTGATGTTAAGTGATAACACACATTCATACATGAAAGAAATAAGTAGTGCTGTAGTTGCGCTTTACCGTTTTATTTAAAAATAATTCTATTTAAGGAATATAATTCGTTCACAGAGGATTCAGACATGGGTGCCATCCCAACCCCGAATATTAGAATAAATTTCAAACAAACTTCAAAGTACATGAGGGTGTCCGGTGAGAAGAAACTGGTCTCCCCTTCGACAGATATTGTGTAAGTAATTTATTGTTTACTATTTTAGTCTGTTTTGTTTATTGTCATAAAAAAAAAGTTTTACTATTTTTTTATGTGAAAAGGTTGCAAGCGAGTACACCAGGACACGGGTACAACAGGATAAAGCTAAGTGATAACCGCCGCACATGGACATTTTCAACAAATGTATTGTTGCACCTTATAATATATTTTGAACCGACTACCTCACTCAGCAAACGAAACGCAGAGGTATTACACTTTTACTTCATGCCGGCCTTCTGTGAGGTCGTGGTACTTACCCGGACAAATCTGCCCATTCGTTCAACAGTCGAAGCTGGAGCGTGGCTCCACCACAGTTATTAGTATTGCAGTAGATTCACCAGACCCCGCTTTTACATCGGTTTCAGCGTGAAATGCACACCGTTCTACGTGGACGTCGAGCTGACCTTAATGGAGCGGATGTCTGCGACCTTCTTCCCCGCGAAGGTCACCAGCGTCACCCCTTCGGCCTCACCACAGAACCAGATCAGCGCTGCGCTGCACTGTCCCCAACTGAATGTTATACTCAGGTGACACTTTTTAATATTTTCATTACCCATCACATTTTTTTTAACATTGCCATTACCGTCAACACTATCCCGCGTTGTAAGAATGTTTTACATACATAAATTTCACGTGGATGAACACCCAGATCCGGAACAATTATCTGTGCATCATACAAATAGTTACCCCGTGTGGGAATCGAACCGGCGAACCCCGGTGCAGAAGCCAATACATTGGCAACTGCACTCAGGAGTCATTGATCATCATCATTTCAGCCTGTTCGAGTCCTTTGCTGAACACAGACCTCCCACAGACTGCCACCAAAAATTATCCTAAGCCACCTGCATCCATCGACTTCCCTCACACTTGCACAGGTCGTCACTCCATCTTGTGGAGGGTCGTCCTGCACTACGATGGCCAATACGAAGCTGCCACACGAGAACAATTTAAAAAAGTGAGCCCCGGCTACCTCACTCACCAGACAAAACATAGAAGAATATAACACTTCCACTTCACGCCTTTCTTCTGTGAGGTTGTGGTACCCGGACGGCCCTACCCATTTATGCAACAGGGAAGACTGTTATGTGGCCCTAACACAGTGCGAACTCATATCCTATACCTATGACTTGTTCATTAAAATCTCCAAATGTATGTTGAATCATAAATCTAAAAGAAATTAAAATGTGACATTTATAAATTATCAAATCTGGCCCCCTACTATCAGCAACAAAAAGCGTGACCATACTAAAATCATATAGATACTTTCCTTAGAGTGATATTAAACCAATGATTTTACGTCAACCAGATTCCCAATAGCAGACCTTCGGGCGGGCGTCAATCGAGAGACGCGTCGAGTACGCCCCGACTACTTGCTGTTCCGTTTGCACGCGGCCACAGCGGGCTGGCAACAGCTCGCAAGTGTTCGACCGCAGCCAACGACGCTCACACTCAAGGCCACAACCCTGGACCTTTACTACTGCGTGAGTACCCAGTCCTACATTGATAACGGCTGGCTGGCAACGTCTGGCTATCGTGTACTGACAAGGCTCAAGGTCATACCCAGTTCTCACCTACTTTGATAACGGCGGGATGACATCTGACTCTCGTGTACCCAAAAGGGTCAAGGCCATTCCCAAGACTCACCTACATTCATAAAGGCGGGCTGGCAACGTCTGGCTCTCGTGTACTCGCAAGGATCAAAGCCATACCCAGTTACACCTACTATCATAACGGTGGACTGGCAAAATCTGGTTACAATGTCTCTGCTAAGCGTCGCATCATCTATAGCTGATTATGTGCTTTCCAGTAGAAATTTCACTCTTGGGGGAGCTGTAGTTAGAGAGCTTATTATTCGAGTATCTATAACATTAGGGTATTGTAGTACTTGAATTATCAGAGAGATCTTGACCAGCGTTCGTTGTATATTGTAACCAATGCCACTATGATGTTCTACCATGTAACAGGAAAACGAGGACTTGCCTTCGACTCACGTGGCCCAATCGACCATGGACGCCGCTTCGTTCGAGGGCAACATTCTGAGGGGAAACACAACATCACCGCTACCTATGTAATTACAGCATACCATTGTTCACAGTTAAAATACTTATTAAATTTGTAAATTGACTCGTTAACGCATCTGCACTTATATCTCACAATTTTTACGTTGAACAAGATTCAACGTAAAAATTGTGAGATATAATTATTTTACATCGTGAACTGTCTCTTAATTCTTAACAGCTAGCCAAAGATTAGTACCAATGTCTAAAACTGCTTAGCTTACTTATAAAAAACCACTCAAGATTGAAAAATTTAAATCAGATGCAGACAAGTAATCTTAATCGGCCATTCGTCATATCTTTCCCCGTCAGGATATCGATAACCTTCCAGCCGCGGGACTCGAACAGGGGCCCATTCGACTCCCTGCACGACGAGATGCACTTCGAGCCAAAGGTCCTGAACCCCATGACGACGTCAATGTACATAATGAACAACCTGAAGAGCACTCTGCCCAGCCCCTTCAGCGGGAAGAAGACGGCGCACCAAAGCATTACGAAGCAAGAGGATAACCAACAAGGTTAGACAACTCATGGTTACTAATAATACGTATTGAAGAAAAGCTTATTTACAAGGTTATTGGATAATTGGACGAGAAATGAGAGTGTAATTGCAAAGATGTTTCACGTTTGTCTAAACGTGACGCACCTTTGATACAATCTCGCAATCTGGAGGATAAATTACAAAACTACATTTTTTTGTTCAAGTCAAAATTAATTCAATTTATGCGAGCATAAACAACATACTCTGGAAATTAACACTTGCGCATAATAAATTGACAAATAGTAAATTAACAACTGTGGTAGGGCCACGCAACAGTCTTCGCTGTTGCAGGTCCGTTCAGGAAAGCGCCAAGGTCTCACAGAAGACCAGCGTAAAGTGGAAGTGTTATACTTCTGAGTTACGTCTGCACTTTATTAAAAGATGGCAACTCATATTTGCAATCCTGCCAGTGTTGCAAATGTCCATGGGCGGCGGCTATCACTTAATATCAGGTGAACAGCCACATTTGCACAAAAAAAAATTCTTAACAAGTACTGTCGTATCGATCAGACATTAATGGATATTACCTATTCTATTTGAATTTGACTTCTCCTAAATCTGTGACTGTAAATAAAAGTACTAAAAAAAAGTAGTTTACTTTTATCTCATATCTTTTCCATCCATTTTAGGTCAAGAAGAGGACCTTATAGTTCCCGGCACCGAAGAAGAGATGACGGAGTTCACCACCAGTTCCGTGGAGAACTCGTCGATACATCTTGATTTCAATCTACCAATTCTCAGCTTGCAGCTTGAGTACGTATGATAATGTCTACTAACAGCGAGCTTTGAAAACAGGTAGCACTTCGGTGAATATTTAACACACACAAACTACAGTAGAACAAAACATAATATCATAAGAGATCATTCGAAAGTTAATAAGAGAGGCCGAATGGATACCTATTACCATTACACGTTACGACAAGAAGCAAAATCACAAATAACTTACACTATATAAATACCTGTTTCACCTAGTTCACCTATGTTTTAATTATTTCATCACAAGGAAAACGAATGAGCGTTTCACTTGTTGTAATTGATAATTGAAATCTGCAACTCCAGTTTTGTAGGTGTGCTAATACACCTACAAAACAGTCAAGAGCTTCTACTTCAGATAGCAAACATTGTTTATCAGTTAACAAAAATCAAGCCGTGATGGCTCATTGTCCGGGCGCGCGCTTTAAATTGAATATACTCGAGCCGTCCGAGTTTGATCCCCGGTGCCGGCAACATTGAAATTGTTAATTTTAAGTGCTGATTTACACAAGTGCTCAGCGATGAAGGAAAACATTGTGGGGGAAACATGCATATTTTCGAAATAACAACAAAAAATGAGCTTTGCTCAAAAGTGGGACATGTATAGGCTGGTACTTTACTAACAAAGACCATCCCCCCCTCCTCCCACTTCCTCCATCTTTTAAGATGCATTGAAGTTAATCTGGTATCAATACACTACAGGTCCAAACAACTATACGAGATCATCTATAATCGAATCAACTCGGACCTGTTGCTGTGGGAGCCGCAAATTGTGGACCAGTTCGAGATAAGTCCGCACATGTGCGGCACAATCTACCCCGCCTTTGGCATGTGCAAAGGCGCAGGCTACGGTGAGTCGGTTTTTAAAGTCTTAAAAGAGAGGGTTATGTGTTTTACCTGTATGTATATCCATTAATGTATTCATTATTAACGTAACTACAGCCGAATCAATTGTGATAAATGGTATGTTGTTAGATTCGTTTTTACTGCACGTATAAATGCTGACTTTTTGGCGCCAAAATGTATGTTTTAATTTTTTTTATATGGCAAGCGGGTTTTTCAGTTTTTATTAAAGTAAATATTAAAAAATAAAAGTAGGGTCTCATGGCAGCCTTTACCCTGATACCCGCTTTCCAAGAAAGCCTTTGCCTAACAATGTTTGAGAAATATAATTTACTACTTACTTTTCATGACACACACATCAGGTAAAAAAGTGTAATTACAGCTGATAAAAAGTTATGTGACTTTTTTTCTAATAAACGAGTTATTCAATTGTATTTACAAAGGAATAAAATATTAATTCATTGTTATATTAATGAATTATGAAATATAATAATGCAACACTGTTTGTAGACTCCGACACCGATAGCAGTTCTTCCGAAGAAGAAAACCTCTATTATTCTACGTACGACAACAAACTCAAGAAAGGCATCGGCAACACTAGGCCTTTGCCCGAAAACAAAGAGAGTGAGAGCCATAACTTCTGTCTCACTTTGAAAGTCGGTAAAGGATTGCTGACTATATTTTCTCCAGTGAGGGTAAGTGCATATGTTTTTATCTTTAATAATTCATGCCTAAGAATCTATTCTGTAATGTTTATATGACTTAATAAGTTGTTCTATCAGTTTGAAAAATCCGTCAATCTCTGTGAGTGACAAAATTTATAAAAGCCGCATCAAAAGTATAATATCAAATCCCATATATTTCTTGCCATTTTAGAGTGCCTTCGCTAAAAGGATTTGATCGAATAAATTCTTATTTATTATTAATAAAAATAGGAGTCGTTAAGTTCCATATTACTAAATTTACTTTTTGATTTAAAAAACTTACTTCACTTTCAATGTATAAGTATGTTAAATGTTTTGGTCCTTTTAGCCGGATGGTAAAAAATAACGAAAACAAAATCTACTTCGTTAGCAATATTAGCATCGAAACAATAAAATAATAGAAATAAATGATTGCAGGATAGCAATAAACGTGTGGTGCCTGGCCAAATGGGAGAGCTGGTCCTCGAAGCGTACAAACTGAGCATGTGCCAAGTGAGCGGTCTGAACGGGCGCGCGAAGACCGCCCAACTGTGCCTCAGATCTGGAAAAGTCACATTATACCATGAACGTGAGTTGTAAATATACAAATAAGAGAGGGCCTACTCACTTGTGATTAAGATTTAGGAAAAAAACCTGATGGCCTATAAGGAAGATGATGGTCTTCAATGAATAATAAATGGAATGAATCATTCAATTTAAAATGTGATTTTAACCTTTACCTTTGAGAAAAATACTATTTCTATTCCTGCTTCTATTGTAATTTTAGACATACGATTGTACGAACGTGTATACACTCAAGAATCTATAAAAATATCGACATATTTTTTCACATTGAGATACATTATATTCCGCCATTGCATCTAGATCGACACATAGAATATATTACTTTTTGTACTCCATAAATGATAATCCAAAAAGTTTAAATACTTGCAACTAAAAAAGGCGGGCAGTAATAACTTTAAATCACCTAAACTGATGTACTCTTGACTCTATACATCCCATGGTTAAGTCACTTTAATTTTCTGCGCTGTAGCTCTCCTCACCATACCTTCGGAGAAGCCTCCGCTACGTCTCTACGGAACAAGTCTTCCGATGCATCTGAAGAGTACTATCTATCCTTCAAATAAGGGTATCATCATTAAAGAGAGACTACAAACTAAGGACATGTTCTCGCTCGCTTTAAAAACCGATCCCGACAGCGACACTCCAAATTTAAAGGTGACAATGATTCAACATATTTATCTTTTTATTCATACTAAATATATTTCGTTTCATAAATAATAAATTCTAGTATGTAAAAATACAGCGTGTCGTTACCATCGCGACAATAAATGAACACACATATAGGGAATAACTTTTTAAAGTCGTATTAAACATTTAAATTCTTTAAACATCTATATTTATAGAGTTATTAAATTTTCCAAAACAAAGAATTTTAGAACTTCCTTACCTATAAAAGCGTAACGTAAAGTTCATTTGTAAAGTTCACAAAGTATATGAATGGGTTGAATGAGTTTAAAAGAGACAAAACATACTGTTAGAACGAGAGGCTTGTAATACGACGCTGTGGCGCGAGTTGTATAGGATGTTACAAATTTTGTTTCTTTTTTACTTAATTAGTTTGTTTGAAACATATTTTTTTTTAATTATGGATTTTGTTTAATGTTAATATTTTTTTATGATTATTGTTAAGTAGCTTTAGACGTGTGTTCATTTATTGTCGCGATGGTAACGACACGCTGTATAACAAAGCTGTTAGCATCGTCTTTTCTTAATAAAATGATATCACACATTTCTGAAATATTACAAATTGAATATCATAGATTTGAATGATATTAAATCTTATTATTGTTATATTATGATTAAAACACGATAAGTTTAATATGTAATTGAATTCATAAAAGTAAAGTAATGTAACAGCCATATGTCCCACTGCGGATTGGCAGACTTCAAATATTTTTTTTATTATTATTATTATGGTTCGAGTCAGAACTTAAAATTGCAATGAAAAATTTCACTCCATGCAGCGTCCACCAATGCGCCCTAAGAGCTCGGTGGCTTGTTGTATTATTAATCAGACTATGTTATATATATATACGTTATATGTAACAACATCGTATAAGTTGTTCTCACCATATTAATAATAGGCCCGAGCCGAGGGGAAGGGAGCCTTCGAGTTTGGTCACCATAACGCGTAAGCGAAATTCAGGCTAGGCGCTCGAAGCGCCCGGCCAAAGTCAGGTGGATCGGTAAACGCCCTTAAGGTCAGCAGTGGTAGATCCTGCGAAGAAAAAAGAACAATTTCATTGATGTGGGCAAAGGGTTTTGAACTGAGGTTGCTCGAGTGTATTGAATTAAAAGCGGCCGGGGTCATAATGTAATAAAATAGCGCTTTTAAATGTTAATTATATTAACTTTCATTTTCGTCATCAATTTCAGACAATCTGCATAGCGCTGGGCATAGAGCAGGCAACTTTGCGGCATCGAGGGGACAAAGGCATCGCTTGGCTGAGCCAGCTGATGGATGTATTGGACGTCTTGGACTATCCAGTGCCAGGCTACACACCGTCGATCGTCCTGTCGGAGTTGCACGTGCACGTTTGGGACTGTGCTGTTGATTACAGGTGGGCGGGGGAAGCACCGTGGCGTCACAGAACACTGACGTAACCTGGAAGAACCTTTGTATTTCGTCGAGTCACTAGTTCTGCAAACCCACACTCGTTCAATCATTCACTAGACTCTGGCGAATGATTTAACTTAATGATACTTACAGGCGTTACGAAGTATAATGTATTGTATTACACAGTGAGCGCTTGAGCATTGAGTACGACCGGCTCGATGCTCGCTGCGAGTGCTTGGGCAATCCTTTACTATGTTCGTGAGTGTTACTCAATTCAGCCTTGGCTATATATACATATATATATATATATATATATATATATATTAATTTCATGCACTGGCTATGAGAGGAAGAAAATGTGTGCTCGCACCTCTCTCTCTTGCCCCAACAGTAATATACGAAACGTAACTCTCTATCTTTCTATCTTCACCAACTTATATCTCCCTCTCAACTTCCTTTAGCCTCGCCCGGTAACACTTTTCGTGAAGCTGTCGTCACGCGTTCACCAGCTTACATCCCAAGTCAAGCGTGCGTAGAGAAGTTTTACTTAGAAAAAACAACTCTGTCGCAGGCCCCTGTACCTGCCCATCCGCACCGTGCTCACGTTGGGCAACTTCAGCGTGTCCAGCAACCTGATACCGGAGACGAACACGTCGTGCCTGCGCTTCCTCGCCCAGGAGTGCACGCTCTTCCTGGGCCGCACGGCCGGCTCCGGCCCCGGCGTGGCCCACGACGACGAGAAGCCGCCCGAGGTGCAGCGGGACTACGTGTGCGTCGTGGACGTGGGGCTGTTCGAGCTGGCGCTGAGGACCGAGGATAAGTCCGGCGTAAGCATCCCGACCTTGGGAATCTCGTACGGGATTTTTTAAAATTTTTTTTTAGTAAAAAGTGGTCAAACTTTCTGGCGCTTCATCCGATTTTAAAGGAATGCCGCCGGGCACATGGGACAACTTTTTGTGTGACCTCTTATCTGGCCGTTTGTGCACGTGTAATATATGTATGTAAAACGTTCTTATAACACAGGATAATGTCATCCTACAGTATAGGGCAATGTTTTTAAATAAAAAATATATATATAAAAAATGATAGAATGTTCAAAAATTCCGTGTGTTATATAAGTGTATATTATATTGTACACGCAGGGCGTGGAGCAGCCGCAGATTGGATGTAAACTCCCAAAGACTCTTACACAGATGTCGCGATATGATTTTGCCTCCAAAAGACCCGTATACACTTGTCGCGATAGGATGTAACCTATTAAAGACCCTTATACACATGTAGCGATAGGATGTAGCCTCCAAAAGAATTGTACACTTCTCGCGATAGGATTTAGCTTTCTAAAGAGCCTTATACACTTGTCGCAGGGCGTAGAGCAGCCGCAGGTGGAGCTGACCGCGTGCAACAACCAGGTGAGCGTGCACACGTGCTGGGACTCCGCGTCGGCGCTGTGCCGGCTGCTCACGTACGCGGCGGCGGATGGCGACTCGCTGCCGCCGCTGCAGCGCTCGCCGCGCCACAGCCTCTGCTCCGAGCGCCCGCTGGAGCAGCTAGTCGGTGAGCGCTGTTTCCGCTTGAACGCACCGATACGTTGACGTGGCATTATAGACTAAAAACAAAACTCGTTCGCTATACTTCTATTTCATTTTGAGGAGTTCCCTGTCGTATCTCCAGAGTCCGTGAATACCATTGAAAATAATATGTCCCACAAGCTAAACCGAACACAATGCAGACTTTTTAAAAACGTTTCATAAATGACAGAGTGCTTAAATGACAAACATAGTAAAAAAAAGTACCACCGAATTGAGAACCTCCCCCCTTTTTGAAGTCGGTTAAAAAAGTATTTTTATAATATGACATTATTGTCCAATTATTCCAGGATTGGACGACCGGCCCATTGAAGAGATCAGAGAGCTGTCTCCGAGTGAAATTCAACAGGTCAACGATCTGATGGCTGAAGCCATGAAGGAGAGTCCAAACAATACAAGTGAGTTCTTTTACATAATACAATTTACAATATCTCATTTAAATCCGGCTCGAATAAAAAAGGACCAATAAATCTAATTTAGTAAAAAAAAGTAAAAACAATGGTTTAATGTACAATTGTACAATATAAATCTTTGCAGTAGACGAGGATGAACTGATCAGCTCGACGGAAAAGGAAGGAGTCGAGATATTCTTCTTCCCGGACGAGTCCAACATGAAAGTCAGGCAGGGGTCTTCGGAGGGCCTGAGCGGAGATCTCGAACCGAAACCCGTGGACTGCGAGGACCCAACTCCTGTGCCAGCGGAGGAGGTCCTAGAACCGAAGCCAGCGTCGGCGCAATCCACCCAGGACATCACGGACCCCCCCACGACACCGAGAAGCACGCCCCGGAAATCCAAAAGGAAAAAGGTAACAGATGGACACCCGCTATGTTCAGTTTTCGATAAACTAAATGAAATTAAGCAATCTGGTACAATAAATAATTAGGGTTTTAATGATATAGTACCTGGAGGACCGAGACTGCTCGGTTTTTTTTTTTTTGTAAATCGTGTATTTTAGAAATTACATTTTAAATACAAATTGCTGAGTAATGAAATATGCATAATGTTTTTCGATCTTACCGACGTAATAATAAGAAAATATGAGCTGGTGTTATACACAAAAGAAATAACTTAAAAAAAAAAGGGAAAAAAGAACAAAATTATCTGGATCGACAAAAAATAAAGAAAGCAATGATCTTGAATCGAAAAAAAGTAAAACAAAAAGTGTGCAAATGATCGTGATACGAACCGCGGCCGCGTTTATTTTTGGGCCGCCCGATTACCGACTGAGCTAATATAAAATTTTTTTTGCGGCGTAATTTACCGTCATATTCGAATGATATTTTTCATTTCCTGAAAACAGGGATAAAAGGACATTTTCTAAAAATGAAACCTAGCTAGATCGATTTTTCACCCCCCAATCTACCTACATACTAAATTTCATGAAAATCGCTGGAGCCGTTTCCGAGATCCCGATTATATATACATACAAGAATTGCTCATTTAAAGGATAAGATTGTATACTAAGAATTCTTTTATACTAATATTGATATGACTTTTTATTTCATTCGAGGAAAAAAATCGTAGAATAAATTTAATTACAGTTAGGAAATAATAATATCCTATTTATTTTTTGAACTATTATATCGCAGTCTATAGATTGAATTACGTAATTTGAATATTCAAATAATTGTTCAGTGTAACACTACTGGACAAATATTATTTTTTTTTTAAACATTGCCCTTACTGTAGAATTATCCTCCCAATTCTATAACAATTATTATATGGCCGAAGGCGAAATCTTGACAACTGCGCCATGAAGTCGCCCAATTAGTACTCTTTCATGTTTAGATAGCAATACTTTACGATTCACCTTTCACGTGCGGCAACACAGGCGAAGTCAGGGGGCGACGGTGGCAACACCGACGACGAGTACTGCATAGTGGAGAGCGCCGCTTACGGCCAGGACAACGAAATGGACGAGCCGGTGGTGAAGTGGATCGGACCCGGTCCTGTGTACATGGTGGACAACCACTTCACCGTCCCCGCCGCCAGGACGGACGTGCTCAAGGCGCCCAAGAGCTTCCCCATGCCCGTTCTGAGGTGATGAACCAGCCGATACCCGCGGCTTCGTCCGCTTCGCTTATTAAAATACTCTACTAGCGATGAAAAATATTTAACCAAGGATTTATATCTGGAAACTAGCGACCCGCACCGGCTTCGCACGGGTGCAATGTATACATATAAACCTCCCTCTTGAATCACTCTATCTAGTAAAATAACCGCATCAAGATCCGTTGCGTATTTTTAAAGATCTAACCATACACACAGACAGACAGCGGGACAACTTTGTTTTATACTATGTAGTGACTATGTTAACAACGGTGTACTTTCCCCATTTCTCCACGGCAAGAAATCACGCATCACTGGACAACTGTATATTAAATTGTCACGTTTGGTAAAAATTATATAATTAAAAATTTTAAGATGCGCGCGCGCGCTCACCGACCCCCCTAATAGGGGACATGATTATTCACGGTATTAGCATGGCAACCAATAACAACTTTATGTTATTTAATATGATTCAAAGCTATAACCGTTATCAATTGCATTTTATGCCATTTTCACAATCAAAGAGTACCGGTCATCGATCCTTACTAAGACCAAAGTCACGTTCGAAGTTTTGTTACAAGGATACATACATACGAAGCTAATGAAACCGAGTTAAAGGTGTAATAATTTTTCAAGGTATACACTGTGCGAGATGAGTCTCACTTGGAACATGTACGGCGGCCACGACTTCAGCACCGCCGCCGACGCGTCCACTGCCAAGAAGACAGTCACCATAGAAGGCGACAAGCGAAAGCAAGGCTCGCCCACAATATCCAAGTGAGTTTATGATACAAACGATAAAAACTTCATATTACATAGCATTCAATTAAATTATCTTTTCAGCCTATTTCAGTCCACAGTTACTGACTAGAGTTGAGCTATTACTGGAATGAAAATATATAATATCCGTGAATCTTCATATCGGTGATATCTCTTTCGTGGTGAAGGTGCGTCCGTTGTCAATCGTTCACTTGTTCAGTGACGTACATAATAAAAGGAAATTAAACATTTTTCCACTGAGACAGGGATATAGTTTGAAGTTAACTGTAATATATTTGCTATTCTGTAGAGATAAATAAATTATCACTCACTCCTGAGCTACACAACTCCACCTCTGAACCACGGACATATTAACTGTTCGGGAGAGATGCATATATTCTATCGCTAGCTGTTAGTCACATCTCGACTTGTACCCGGCGCGCAGACGCAGCAAAGAGTACGAGCCGTACGACAGCGGGCGGTCGGCGGCGGAGGCGTACCGGCGCGGCGTGAGCTGGGCGGCGGGCGAGGAGCGCGTGCGCAGCGCGCCGGGGCCGGGCCACGCGCGCGAGCTGCGCTCCCGCGGCGGGCCGCGCCGCGACCACCACACCTGCGTCAAGCTCCGCCTCGCCAAGGTTCCGCGGGGTCGATGACCTTCGATTCTAACTATTACGCACCGTTCGATCATCACACCTGCGTCAAGCTCCGCCTCGCCAAGGTTCCGCGGGGTCGATGACCTTCGATTCTAACTATTACGCACCGTTCGATCATCACACCTGCGTCAAGCTCCGCCTCGCCAAGGTTCCGCGGGGTCGATGACCTTCGATTCTAACTATTACGCACCGTTCGATCATCACACCTGCGTCAAGCTCCGCCTCGCCAAGGTTCCGCGGGGTCGATGACCTTCGATTCTAACTATTACGCACCGTTCGATCATCACACCTGCGTCAAGCTCCGCCTCGCCAAGGTGCCGCGGGGTCGATGACCTTCGATTCTAAACTATTACGCACCGTTCGATCATCACACCTGCGTCAAGCTCCGCCTCGCCAAGGTGCCGCGGGGTCGATGACCTTCCATTCTAACTATTACGCACCGTTCGATCATCACACCTGCGTCAAGCTCCGCCTCGCCAAGGTGCCGCGGGGTCGATGACCTTCCATTCTAACTATTACGCACCGTTCGATCATCACACCTGCGTCAAGCTCCGCCTCGCCAAGGTGCCGCGGGGTCGATGACCTTCCATTCTAACTATTACGCGCCGTCGATCATCACACCTGCGTCAAGCTCCGCCTCGCCAAGGTTCCGCGGGGTCGATGACCTTCGATTCTAACTATTACGCACCGTTCGATCATCACACCTGCGTCAAGCTCCGCCTCGCCAAGGTGCCGCGGGGTCGATGACCTTCCATTCTAACTATTACGCGCCGTTCGATCACCACACCCGCGTCAAGCTCCGCCTCGCCAAGGTGCCGCGGGGTCGATGACCTTCGATTCTAACTATTACGCGCCGTTCGATCACCACACCCGCGTCAAGTTCCGCCTGGTCAACGTGTCGTGGGGTCGATGACCTTCGATTCTAACTATTACGCACCGTTTGATCATCACACCCGGGTCAAGCTCCGCCTCGTCAAGGTGCCGCGGCGTCAATGACCTATGATTTTTTTTAAACTGCTTTAGGATAACATTATCCTGTGTTGTAAGGACGTTTTACAAACATAAAATTCACGCCGACAAACGCTCAGATGCGAAACAACTATCTATGGGACACACTAATAGTTGTCCCGTGTAGGAATCGAACCCATGACCCCTGACGCCGAAGCCAATACCTGAGCGACTGCGCCACGGAGACATCATTTTAACTATCACGCGCCGTTCTATCATTCCACCCGCGTCAAGTCCCGTCTGGTCAACGAGCCGCTTGGTCGGCGACCTTCGATTTTAACTATTAGGTTCCATTCATTCATTCATTTATTCAAAAATGGTGGCGATGACCTTCGATTTTAGCTATTAGTTGTCATTCATTCATTCAAAATAGGTGCGGTTCGATCACCACACCCGTTTCAAGCTCCGCCTAGCTAAGGCCGCGTGGTCGATGACCTTCAATTTTTATCTCGCCGTTCGTTCATCACATCCGCGTCAACTTCTGCTTCGCCAACTCTTTGGTGCCGTCCGAATGTTGTATTTATTTCTTTCTCATGCCTTGTTCCCACACTTGGGTCGGTCGGCACAAGGTGTCCCTCCCTTCCAGTTTATAATACAACACACTATATAGTATAGTAATTCTGCCGACGGAGGAAAGTGTTGGTGTTCATAAATGATGGTGATGATAAATGATGAATAAAAAATGAAGAATTAATTTTGATTCCATATCTTACTCTTCTACATAATTATTTTGTAATATTTTATTTTATCTTACGTAAAGCCATACTATTATAAACCTATAATATGGGGAATATTACAGGTTTATAATCCTCTCCCTCCTAAGGTTGCTTACGTAATACTTGCCCCCTTTACTTAATTCTTCACCCCGCTTAATTCAGGTGAAATTCCTGCACGAAGTGTACCCGGCTGGAGGCACTCAGGCATCCCGTCAGACGCTCGCCATCGCGAAGATTGAGGTTCTGGACCGGCTGGTCTGCAGCGACATAAACAAGCTCCTCAGCCAGTACAAGCTCAAGGACGAACCGGAGAGGAAGAACGCCCACATGGTAACCTTCATCTCTACTCTATAACTTGGTTGTCAGCGCATCTGTAACTCTCGGGTGTACCAGCAGATGTCCACGGGCGGTATTCACTTAACATCAGGTGAACCGTCTGCTCGTTTGGCAACTTTTCACATAAAAAAAATGTAACCTCTATCGAATCTACATATATCCTATCTTATAATGTCTTTACCAGTCCATCTCACAAGAAATAATGTCTCTTTCACTGTCACCCCGCAATGGTAAGAGATTACGTAGTAATGGGTGGTACCCACTAGCTAAGTATCAATTATCCCCTTTAAACTTTTCTTTTTAAATATGTTTTTAATTTATGGATTGATTTATTTCACATCTCGGCGTATAAAACAGCGACGAAATAAGCTTATAAAATTTCGTAGTCCATACGGTAAAGATTACACGTGTATAGGTTAAGACGGCCGTCGTTATTTGTGATACATATTTCATATAAATGCTCCTAGATAGGATACTTTTTAAGAAAGTTGCTCAACCGGCTATCTTCGTTTGTGATGTATATTTAATATAAATACAATTTTTTTACATTTTTTACACAGAGTTATCTAGTCCTAAAGTAAGCAAAGTTTGTTCTATTGGTACTAGGTATAAGCATCATTAAACATACTTTTCTTTGTAATAACATAATATTATAGACAAGTATCTAGTCTATAAGCCCCCTACAAAAACATTATGTTCATGACAAAATGTTATTTCTAGTAGTGGGCGATTAAACCCACTCTCTCTGGCGTAAGAGAGATTCACTTTACTCTACGCAAATCTCTATAAGATAGGTAAAGCAAATACCATTATCTTACTGTGGTAGGGCCACCCAGGTGTATTTTCTGTTGCAAGAACCGGCAAGAATGACCGGCGTGAAGTGGAAGTGTTATACTTCTGCGTTTCCCCTGGTGAGTGAGGTAACCGCGGCCGGCCATTTAAAAGGTGGTAACGCATTTGCAAACTCACGGATGTTGCAGATGGCAATGAGCGGCGGTTATCACTTAACATCAGGTGTACATTAAAGAAAACCATTCTTAGTGGGCTAATGCAGTCGATATGTTATCATAGTCGGTACAAATTTTGTAATGGTGACTTTGACAGTTGGTTCTCAAAGTTTGTTTTACTATTGCAAATTAGTGAAACAAGTAAACGCTACTTTCCTTGAGATTTCTGTGATCATTTACTTTAGTACTGAATTAGTGCGTACACTATTATCACGAATTGTGTAATTTAAATTAAAAATTGCTATTTGGAAAAAAACCGGCCAAGTGCGAATCGGACTCGCGCTCGAAGGGTTCATTACCGTTATCTATAAAAATGGCAAAAAATAATTACGTCTGTTGTACGATAGCCGTACTTAAATAGTTTTTATTCTGTTTCTAGTTATAGCGGCAACAGAAATACATCATATGTAAAAATTTCAACAGTCTAACTGGCCTGCCTGGTGACAGACGGACAGACAGACTGCGGAGTCTTAGTAACGGGGTCCAGTTTTCCCCTTTGGGTACGGAGCCCTAAAAAACATCTAAGCCGTTCAATCGCGCCTATTCTTGGACAGTTGGTGGTGAAAGCGGTGCATTTGCGGCCCGACCCGTCGCTGAGCGCCCAGGAGTGCTGCCTCAAGGTGTCGCTGCTGCCCCTCAGGTTCAACCTGGACCAGGACACGCTCGCCTTCCTCGTCGGCTTCTTCTCCAAGCTTGGCTCCGACGAATCTGCAGGTTGGCTGAAGTTTATATCGAGCTGTCGACCTTTGTTAAAAAATAATTTACAAGGCTCGTACTCGTGACTAGCACTTAGGTGAACAAACCCCACAAAGATTCTGATTGTTGTTTTAGAACAATAAAGAATCCGGAGATACGTGGAAACGACTCGAGTCTTGATCTATTGTTTGTATTATAAAGACAAAGATTAAGTATTTGATTATATTTTATTTAACAGAGCTTGGAGCTTCAATCAAACGCTCTCTCACACATACATACGAAGTGTGTGTGTGTGTTTGTAAGAGAGAGAGAGCGTTTCACAGACACATTTATATTAATGAGCATAGAAATCATGTTACACAAGGTAACAACAAAAAATTAACCTTATTGAAAATACATACCGTGTACATGTTTATAATTGTTATCATAATGTATGTATACATACTATACAAAAATATTTACCTTATGTAGCTAGCACCTACACTTCTCTCTCTCTCTATCTTTCCGGTTTAGAAAATGCCTTATGGCATTTACCCCACCGTTTGTACCAGGTAGTACAATAAAGTGTGCAAATAAATAAATAAATAAATAAATACATACTCATGCACATATAATTCATATTAATTGTTAAGTGACCTGTTTCGAACAGACGACGACGTGAAGAGTGTCAGCGGCCTGTCGACGGATTCGAGCGGCTCCCGCCAGACCACGCCCACTCATCGCCCTCCCGTCATGAGCATCGCCAGCCATCTGCGCGATCCCCCGCCAACGCCCACCTCCATAGGAGACGCCGACTCGCTGTCCCTCAACGAAGCCGGTTAGTGCCAATTTAGACTCTATTCATATGACATTAGAGACCAACTGTGCAGAAAAATTTAGTGACAAGCCACCCGCGCCCCTGCGGCTTTGCGGAATAGCCGTCTTTCAATGAAGCGGGTAAGTGCTAATTTAGACTCTATTGCTATGACGTTACGAGTCCAACTGTGCAGCAAAATTTATTGACAAGCCACCCGCGCACCTGCGAGTTTGCGGAATAGCTGTCGGTCAATGAAGGGGGCAAGTACTAATTTAGACTCTATTGCTTTAAAATTAAAGTCCAAATGTTAGGCAAAATTCAGTAGCTTGCCTCCGCGCCCCAGCATCGGAGACGTCGATTCGCTGTCTCTCAATGAAGCAGCTAAGTGCTAATTTAGTCTCTATTGGTTCGATGTTAAAGCCCATATGTGCAGCAAAGCAATAATAAAAGTAATTTCTCTAATAAGTCTTCATATTCACAAAATTTTAACAAATACAAATAAATCATTGAGTGGTCATAAACGCCTAAAAGTAGACATCTAAAGTATATTTATAAATAAGTAAGAATCACCGCTATTGTTCTATTCAGTAATCCGCGACGACGAGCCCCTGATGGAGACGTACGAAGCCGAACGCCTGGTTTCCGAGAACCTGATCCAGCTCGAGGAGGACTTCCAGAAGCTCGGCATCAATCAGGAGAAGCCCACAGCCAAGATTCCTGTGGAAACGGAGGCGGTCGATGACTCGCCTATCTATTTCAGGTGAGAGTTATTTTATAACATAACATCCCACCACCCAACCCACCCACGCCTTTACTCCTAAATCCTTTGGATGCACTAAAAAGAAAATTTTAGTGCATCCAAAGGTTGCCCGGAAGAAATTACTTTTAGTAATAAGGCTGCCCACTGTACCCATCACTTGTACACAAAGTTTTTGGTTTTTGTTTGTTTTATTTTTGGTGTGCAATAAAGTACATTCATTCATTCATCCAATATCCAAGTACCCAAAAAGACAATATACAAGTGCCGTAATAATCAATCGGTACGGTAGTAATCAAACATTTTATGGTAAGGGAATAATTATGTGACAATGGATGGCTCACTGTCGCCCTTTCCGTTCACTCCTTCTCGCTCTGTCTCTTTCTGTATATCCGTTTGATGTGCACGCGAGTCCGCTCATCCCTATGCCTATTGTATGGTAACAGGCTTAACATAATTATTATTTAATCAACAATGGATGGCTCACTGTCTCCCTTTTCGTTCCCTCCGTCTCGCTCTATCCGTTTCTCTTTTATATTTCCCGTCTAATTGACGGGAGTCTGTGCCCCAACATACGGCTGCTGTATTGAAATAGGCTTAACATCTTTAATTGCCCATGGATGGGCTCCTTTTCGTTCTCTGTCTCGCTATATGTCTTTCTCTTTCTGTATATGTACTGTCCGATGTCCGGGGGACTTCACTGTATGGTAGTATGCTTAAGATAATCCGTCTCTAATCTCCCATGCATAGCTCATTGTCTCTGTCTGGCTCTATCTCTTACTGTATAAGTACTGTTCCGTTCCACGGCAGGCGCGTGGTATTCTCGCCGGAGGTGCCCATCCGGCTGGACTACGTGGGCAAACGCGTGGACCTCTCGGCTGGGCCCGTGGCTGGGCTGCTGATGGGGCTCGGTCAGCTCAACTGCTCCGAGCTAACTCTCAAGAGGCTCGACTACAAGTAATGCCACATCTTCTCTATAAAACACTTCTTCTTTATGATATGTATGGATGTAATTTATATTTAACATGTAATGCTAGAGTAGTTTTTTAATTATCGGGTTGTGGGATTTTCTGTTCATTTAAGTGATAGTGACTTATATCATGATGTCAAAATTGGCATTCATTTCTTCCACAATAAACAATTGAAACTCTATCACTGAAGTGATATGGATGAGAGTGAATGAACTAAAAAAATCAGAATGGAAAAAGCAAAAGATACAAGAGCAGAAAATAATAGAATATGTTTTAATTTTGATGATCTCATTAAAAGGCTATTATTATTCGGCGATATTTAAGTATTTGTTTTCTCGTCTGGTCGGGATTATAAATAAAATAAATATTATTACATATTAGTGTTTCCTCTTACTTTACTTATTACTTTACAGATTGGGCTTATTGGGTTTGGAAAAGCTGGTGCAATGGGCCCTGCACGAGTGGCTCTCCGACATAAAGCGGCACCAGTTGCCAGGACTGCTCAGTGGCATTGGGCCTATGCATTCTCTGCTGCAGCTCAGTAAGTAGTGGCCAAATATAAAATTTCACGTTTTTAATTATTGAAAATAATATTGTAAATTAAGCAAAGGGTACGGACTAGAGAAATAACAGGAGTCCGCGCCACGTATATCGACAGTGGGTCATCGTATGATCTATGTGTGAGTGATAAAATATAATAAATTAACATGTTTAGATACAGTTACACAATTTCACAACACAAGGCGACATTGTTTTATTTTAAACAATTTGAACAACTTTTTTTATGTAAACTGTACCTATATAGACACCGTTCTCGGTGTGCGATGAATGTACGTACAAACGTCGAGGCATCGCAATAAATATTTCTTTCTTTCTTTCATTCTTCTTCCTCTCCTTAGTTACTGGGATCCGCGACCTGGTGTGGCTGCCGGTGGAGCAGTGGCGTCGCGACGGCCGTCTGGTGCACGGGCTGCGTCGCGGCGCCGCCTCCTTCACCGCCAGGACTGCCGTAGCAGCCCTGGACATCACCACGCGGCTGCTGCACCTCATACAAGTGAGTAAATAAAAAGTGCGTGGAGCTCGCGCAAGTGACACCTCGAGTGCCACGCATTCACCCTCGCTCTGTCTCTTTCTATTCCCCCTCCCCAGAAGCGTTGAACGTTTAAGGCAACAGTGCTTTCACACCCCCTTCACATGTGTTTGAAATATTTTCTTTTTTTTATTATTATTATTTCGAAAACATGCAAGTCATCAATTAAAATCAACAATGTGGCGGGATCGAACTCGGGTTGCTCAAGTAAATTGAATTAAAGGCGAGCGCCCGGACACTGGTCTATCACGGCTCATGCAAGTACCGTCCCTCAATAGTTCGCCCACCTAGTCACCGTGGGGGGGAGGGGCACGCAAGACGTAGGCAGCAAGAACTTTACTCACATAATTCCAAACGCACCGAAAGAAGCATGACCATTTAACGTTTCACACACGCAGCCTTCGTGTAACGTACGATTTGCAGGCGACCGCCGAGACGGCCCTGGACATGCTGACACCGGGGCCTGCTTTGGCGTTGCCCGCGGCCTCCTCGCGCCGGGAGCGCCGCCGCAGGCGCGACTCCGCCCGCCACCCGGCCGACATCCGCGAGGGTGTTGCCAGCGCCTACAACACCATGCGAGAGGTGGGTGCTTCATGCTAGGGATGTAGAAAAAATGTCGATATTTTCGATTCTACATATCGATATTTGCAGCCATTATACTTGGATCCGATATATCGATACAAAATATTCAACGGTTTTTTTTTTCAAATCCGAATCCGGCGCAGAGTTTGTAGGTTTCAAATGTTTAATACTTGAAATACCTTTTTTTACTGGACAAAGGCGTTTCTAGGACCTATATCCGATATATCGATACTTTGTTTTCAACATATCGAGGCCGATATTTATATTTTTATAAATATCTATATATTGCGTCACTTTCGACTCCCTAGTTCATGCATGCGCGGCATATTAGGCCAAATGGCTCGCGTCCGAAGGCACGTAAAAAGTAAAGACGCCTGACAGATGTGAAACATCAAAATTTTGTACAGACAAAATGATTGTTTATTTAAATTAAAAAAATTGTACTTGTCACTAGCGTATGGTGACGCATCACCACACCGTATTGGATGCTTCATACTAATCATGCATCGTAGCCGACAGTCCACATTAACTCGCGCACGAAGAGTTCCGTAACATTATCTACAAAAATGGCAAAAATAATCATGTCCGTTGTATGGGAGCCCCGACTGAATATTTTTTTTATTCCGATTTTTAGTATTTGTTGTTATAGCGGCAACAGAAATAGACATCATCTGTGAAAAATTCAACTGTCTAACTATCACGGTTCGTGAGATGAGCCCGGTGGCGCACGTACAGACAGACTGCGCCGCCGGGTCATCTGTTAAAAGATAAGGATGACACTAAATATTATCACTGTATCCATGAACACGGGTCAGGGTTTCGCGGAGACGGCGGCGTCCATGTCGCTGGCGGCGCGCTCGTCGCGCGTGGGCGTGCTGCGGCAGCTGCCGGGCGCGGCGGTGGCGCCCCTGGCGCTCGCGGCCGCCGGCGCGGCGGACGTGCTCGGCGGCGTGCGGGCCGCGCTCGCGCCGCACCTGCACCGCGACCACGCCGACAAGTGGCGGCGCCCCGGTGGGTGCGATGCGGCCCGCGGCCTCGGCGCCTCTGCGGCCGGTCCATTGCCGGCGGTTAACACCCCCGCACACATTGGGCCAGAGCGTTTGCGTTCGCAGTGTGTAGCCGCTCACACATTTGCCTACTGCTCATTGTAAAGCGCCAAGATCCATTGAGGTGTGCTCAAAAAACCGTCAATTCGGATTGCCGGCCAACGTTCGCGCCAACTACGATTTGTCACAAACGTTTCGCAAAATAGCCCTCTACACATTGGTCCAATGCGTTGGCCCAATGTGCACAGGGGCCTTTACACTTAAAATCCAGTCAACCGCCGGCTCGCTTGCCGCCTGCTCACGTATTTTCTTTTTAGCGAAGAAACAATTTTTTACTTACTTGAACTCGGTTTTCTTATAATTTAACAGTAAAACTGTTGTTGAAGAAAAAAAATTACGCGATATTGCCGAGACCCCATCTCCCCCAGGTAAGATTGGATGAGATTCAGCTCGACATTCTACATCCCTAAACACCCAAAACACTGAATAAACGGACGCCCCCTTAATACGAATGGGTGTTAAGCGACCACGTCATACGCAACGCCTACATAATGATAATCCCTAATTAAAAATGTACTGCAAACAGCCCAGTGATTTAATGTGTACACAAACTGTTGATCTAGAAATTTCGCAAAATTACAAACATGTTTCAAGAAATTACGTATTGTAGTATTATAGTACTGATATAGTTTTGATAAAATCTTTTCAGGCGAAAATTTAAAATAAAAAAGTTAAATTTGAGAACTTGTTAGCATATTTCTTCTACTGTGGTCGGGCCATTCAACAGCCCCAATGGGCAGGTCCGTCCGGGAAAGTACCACGACGGAAGTGGAAGAATTATACTTCTGGTGAGTGAGGTAACTGGGACCCATTATATTAAAAGTTGGCAACTCATCTGCAACCCTATGGGTGTTGCACTTATCCATGACCATTATCCAGTGAATGGCCAGCTCGCTTGCCATGTTCTTAATAAAAACTATCAGAATTAGAGCGTGACCTATATATATTGATCTTTGTTATTTTTACAGATACCGCAACAGCCGAGTAGTTGTCCAAACGCGTCACATTGATCTCGTCGCAACATAAATAGAATAGCAATATATAAGGAAAGACACTAGTCCATAAAATACTACTCCTCAGAACAATCTCAACCTTAAAAGATTTATAAATAATAATGTTCAACTTACAACGGAACTCGAGAGGATATTTTTCACTTTCCATTTTTAATATCAAACTATATTTTTGACTATATTTTCATATAAATATTTTAATGTCACAACATTTTTCAACTCGAAATTACTCGAGTGCATATCAATAATGCAAGAGGTGTTCAGATTAGATTTATTATGATAAAAAAAGAATAATTGGTATCACTGGAGCGAATATTTGACTTAAAAACTTTAAAACATAAACAACTTTAAAAATGATATTTCGTGTGATTCGGTACTTTATTCACGTATCGCATGCCAAAAAAAATCAAGACATATTTTCGTAATCGTAGATTTTTTCCATTTTAAAATTAGAATAAAAGGATATTTAAGTCCCTTCTAGAAGGTAGTCTATATGGTGTCACAATATTAATACATAGTAGTAATACTGTCTTTTTCCTTACTTAAAAGCTACAAGTTAAGCTGCATTGAAAATTTTCCATTTTAATTAAAACTTAAATAGATAATTGTTTTGTGGACATTAGTTCTTAGTCGCGATCGCTAAGCGGCGTTTTCTTAATTCTATTGCAATTACAAAAAAACTTAATATCTCGCTTATCGTGTAGAACATGGTGCTTGAATTATGTCGGTATAGCATTTTAGAGCATTTAAATGCTTGTCATTATATATAGATGTAAATATATTTGTAATATTATTTAATATGATTGGAATGACATTTGGGTGCCATGACAAGTGTGAAAGCTTGCAACAAAAGATGTAGGTATTTTGCTTTTCAATGATTTCATTGGAGTATGTGATCATATTTTTTTTTGTTTTCTTTTTTCGCCTTATTACATGGTTTATTTTAATTTTTTTTTAACAAACCTTTAATTCTTAGACTAATAAAGGTAATGTTTTAAGATACTGGTCAAGATAGGATTTTGAATTGCAAATTAAATTCTATTTTAATCAAATTTTTATTGAAATAAAGATTTAAACAAAAAACTTGGTTTATTTTTATTCGCTCTTGAGTCATAGTTATATAAAAGCTCATAAGAAAAATTTTCTTTAGATCGATGTGAAAGCCAAACATCCATCCGGAATCATATACTCACACGAACATTATTAGACGTACAAACGTAAATTATTAAAAGAAGTACAACGAAAAATGTAATGTAATTAAAATTATTTCCCTTAGTTTAATCTACAAGAGAAAAAGAGTTTTCTTTTGTGGTAGTTAACTCATCCATCCTAAAAGCATTCATTCAGTATTATTAGTACTTACATGTAACTAATAATACTTACATCTTTTAGTAACGACACATAATAGCTGTGTGCGAGTCCTCGCTTTTAATTCATTCTAATCTAGCAACCAGAGTCCAAATCCGGGTGCCAGCAACAATGAAATTGTTAATTTTAAATGATCATGTCAGCACGTGATCGTGATATTAACAAATTGGTTCAGCAACCGTGAAGGACAACATTGTGAGGAAACCTGCATATTTTCGAAATAATAATAAAAAGTAAAAATTATTTGAAGATATGTGCAGTCTGGTGTTCAATCCGCAGAGGGGTTACGTGGTAGTTGTTCTCTAATACCTAAGAGGCCTTGGCCAGCAGTGGGACATTTATAGGCTGATAATTTACTTTATACGCCTTTTAGTATACCAAACCAGGAAGATATTTACTTTATCGAAGTCCAGTGAGTCTGTTGAGCTGTATTTCTGCGAATAATTTCACCCATAGTCATATTATTAGGAGCTTAACTCTTAAGAGCAAGAAGCAAAATTGTCAGCCATTCAAAGAGTGAGCTCTGGTTATCTCACTCATCACTAGCAATGCAAAGTTTATAACTTTAGTCTTATCATGATCCCTTTACAAGCGGGTCCATTGATGCAGTTCAGAAACCGTTGCACAGCTCTCCCGCAGTATAAATAAAAACAAAGCAAGTGTTCCATTAAGCATCCAATTATTAAAAGGAATAGACAATAAAGTAATATAATCTCGTCTATATAAAGAAAGGAACGTGGTAAGGCCACGCGGCAGTCTTCGCTGGTGCACAAATGGGGAAAATTCGTCCGTCCGGAAGTACCACGACCTCACCGACTACCGGCACGAAGTGGAAGTTTATACTTCTGCGTTTCATCTGGTGAGTGAGGTAAACAGGGCCGACTATATTAAAAGGTGCAAAGCATCTGCAACCGTACGGGGGTTGTAACTGTCCATGGGCGGCAGTTATATTACTTAGCATCAGCTGAACCTTGAAACTGGCTTGCCATCTTCTCACATAAAAAAGGGAAAAAACTTTCGTTTTCAGTCGAATGGTAGTAAGGTTTTTAAGTGTATGGTTGCATGCATATCTTTCTTAGTTACACTCTACAGCTAAACCTTTAAACAGATTCCAACTTATAAGGTGTCATTTATAAGTAAGAGATTTGTCTTAGACGTGACAAACTACTTTCTACAAGTTTTAATGTTTAATTTTAAGTGCAGAGATTAGCACTATAAAAAACATTAAATTTCTAAAAAGCGATGGCGACATCTCTCGTTCGAAGTTATCGTTGTAAAACGTGTCGTGTATATTCAAAATTGTTTGTATGCTGGAAAGAGTGGAAAGGATATAACAATAGATGCGCCAAGCATTGCTTCAAATGCTAAAAAACAATGTATATAAAGGACGTTAAGATTTTCGTCGGTGTGGCAATCAGCCGTTTAGCTCTTAGTGGCTAAAGCGACAGGCCGCGAATGCCGAAGACGTTGGTTCGATTCCCACAGCGGCGACAATCTTTTCGTACTTTTTCTACAAGTTTTAATGTTTAATTTTAAGTGCAGGGATTAGAACTATAAAAAAACTTTAAAAATCTCTTATTGTAAATAATCACAGTTATAATTGTCTTCTGAGAAAAAGAGAACTTATAATTTTTTTAATATGTATTTTTAATTTAGTGGGGTTTTTTGTTTCATTTGATAATATATTATATTAATAAATAAATAAGTACAATTAAATGTTTCAAAGTTTATTTTAAATCTATCTTCATCAATATTCTACTTCATTATGCTTCTTGCTCAGATTTTGCTTCAGGATATTTATCGTTGAGGAAACTCTTGACAGTTCCATATTCAGTTTTTAGATTGTGTCGAATCTTCTCATGGTTTCTATATCTCTCGAATTTCTTTAGATAAATGTCATAATGTGGCATAGTCTGATAAAATCTAGGGAACTTTTTTCGCCTTAACATAACTTTGTCATTCATGACATACTGAACGAAATCCAGTGTTTCATCTCTGGGTATTTCTTCTTTTGTTCTAACAACACTTGGACTGGCTACTACTGTAGGATAATACGCATTTTCGGCCTTGTATTCAACAAGATGAAGTTTTTTCTCTTCTGCTAGCTGTTGATGTGTCCTCTGCAATTTAATTTTAAGAAATATTTAAGCTGACTGTATGACATACATGTTTTATGTAAAAGACAGAATATTTTATATAAAAGATTAACCTGCTGCAGAAGACCAATAAAGAAAGCTTTTACAACATGTTGCAGTTGACCAGACCCCTCAACTTTGGCCCACATGTCTTTAATTCCAATAGCTTGACAGATCTCTTTAATGGCTCTGTGACACCTTAAACCATAACCTTCATTCTTCTTTTGAACAAATATTTTAGTTTTTCCAAATGCAGTGAAGAAATCATGGAAAACTGAAACCATGGTGTTGAATAAATACATATAAATAGCTATGAGCCTTCACAAGTCTGTTAGTTGTGTGAAATCTGTTAAATAAAAAAAATCAATAAAGTTTAAATTTACATTATATGGAATAATATACTTGCCATGTGTCATATCATGGTTTGTTGAAAAATAATTGAATCAATACTTACTAGTGTGTCCATTGTAAATATCAAAATGCATTAATTTTTTTCCAGCCCTATTTTTTGCCTTCCTTAAAGCAGCTAGTGCCTCTTTGGCCCTTCCAAAACCAAAACCTGCCAAGCCATTTCCATTTCCAGTTACAACCTAAAACAACATTGAATTACAAGAAACAGCATGTTCAATTAACATTTTTAACTAAAAACTTGATTCATTTTATTATTAACTAAAACATAGCTTGAAATGTTTAAAATATTACCATTGCTTGATAGTTTCTAGTTCTACCTAATGTGCCTTTCATAATAAGCAATGACCTCAGTTGAAGCACTTTTGTATCAAACCCTATAAACTCCTCTGTAAAAAAAAATATAAAATGATGTTTTACATGACACAAAATACATTGAAATGCTTTGTTAAGGTCAAACCTAAGTCAAAATTTTAATAATATTGTTAATGTTAGTTTTATAAGGACCCACTGCCTATGTGATGTCAATCCATCAATCTGGACTATAATGTCTGTGTGTCACACAAAAACATGTCCCAAATAGGAATTTAAACCATAGCTTAACAACTGCTGGAACAAGTTGCTCCAGCATAAAGTGGCATCCAGCTATTGGAAAGTTTTGCTACATGACTAGATTTATGAATTAATAAAAATTCATATTTAATTAATATATCTTTTAAATTTATTATGTGTAAATTTCAATTTCCTTATTATGACAATACTTATGACTTATGACTATTTTATATTAAGTTAAAAAAGTAAAATGTTTTTAATACCATCTCCAACTGGGTCAGGAGGACCAATGCTCCGTCCTGGCATTTTTGCACCAGACCACCCTCTTTCAATAGGACTTAGCTTAAATCTTCGGAACTTTGTCATAGAGTCACGTAATTTGATCAACTTCTCCATTCTATAATTAATTATTATCATAATTATATTACCATGTTGATAAAAAAACAAATTTTAAACCAAAAATCTGTTTTTACATTCACAATAGTTTCATAAACACCTCACCTTTCAGGATCATCAGGAAGTCGATGCTGTTTTAACAATTCCCTGCCCCTAATTACGGGAGCAGATAACCCAGGCCATAACATATTAATTTTTCCCACTCCAATTACTTGACCGCGATTTAAATCACGAATTCTAATTCGCCCCGCACCCTTTCCACGGCCTTTCTTTGCTCCAGCATTACTTACAGAGGTTACAGACTTCCATAACTTTTCAGCAGGCACTAAATTCAAATTGGACTATTGAATAAACAAGTAAAAATAGCTTATAATTTGTTATGGGTATTTTATACTCACATTTGTTAAAAAATGTTACACAAGCAATAGACGAGGTACTAAAGTTAGTTAGGTTATGCGTAATGTTATTCTGATATAAAGGTGTCTGGTTATTTACAGAATTAATAGGAATCCGCACCAAATGCCTAAGAGAAAAAAATTTAAGAGCCATCGTGAAGATGAAGCTCTAATTCTAACTTTACAACAAAAATTATGTTACATCTATTATTGTGATAAATTATATTTGAGCTCGAATATTTGATACAATTACACTGTACAGATTTAATAATTAATAACAGTCTATCTTTATTGATTGATTATTCAGTCAGATTTTAGAATTTTTAGATTAGGTTAGGCTAGGCATGAGCAAAAATATCGACATTTTTCCAATTTCCATACAATTATCGATATATATCGTAGATAATTTTTATCGTGATATATCGATATTTAATATTTATTTAAGACTATATCATCATCATCATTTCAGCCTGTTTGAGTCCACTGCTGAACATAGGCCTCCCCCACAGACTGCCATGAAGTACGATCCTGAGCCACCTGCATCCATCGACTTCCCGCACATTTGCACAGGTCGTCACTCCATCTAGTGGGGGGTCGTCCTACACTGCGATGGCCAGTACGAGGCTGCCACTCGAGAATCTTTCTTCCCCAACGGTTATCGGTTCTACGAGCTATATGGCCGGCCCATCGCCACTTCAGCTTGCTAATCCTCTGAGCTATATCGGTTATCTTAGTTCTACTGCGGATGTCTTCGTTACGAACTCTATCACGCAGAGAAATACCGAGCATAGCCCGCTCCATAGCTCGCTGAGCGACTTTGAGCTTCCTCATACGGCCAGCAGTGAAGGACCATGTCTCGGTTCCGTAGGTCATCACTGGCAACACACATTGATTGAAGACTTTAGTCTTCAAACATTGAGGTATATTCGACGAGAAGATTTGCCGCAGTTTTCCGAACGCTGCCCATCCGAGTTGGATTCGCCGATTGACCTCCGCGTCGAAGTTGGACTTACCTAGCCGGAATAACTGTCCTAGGTAAACGTACTCGTCAACAACTTCGAGCTCAGTGCTCCCAACAACAACCGTTATAGGCGTGACATGGACATTAGACATGATCTTCGTCTTATACATGTTCATCTTAAGGCCTACCCGTTGGGAGACACTGTTGAGGTCATTGAGCATAGCAGCCAGGTCCTCCAGCGATTCTGCCATGATGACTATATCGTCGGCAAATCGAAGGTGATGTATTCGCCATTGATGTTAATACCTCGTCCTTTCCAGTCCAGAAGCTTGAAAACATCTTCCAACGCAGCGGTGAAGAGTTTCGGGGATATGACATCACCCTGTCTTACACCCTTCTGCAGTTGGATAGGTTTTGTACTACTGGACTGTACTTGGACGGACATACCGACAGTCAATTTGGCACCGCTGAAGAGCCTGGAGTACCGCCCACATTTCGACAGAATCGAAGGCTTTCTCATAGTCCACATACGCTAGGCATAAAGGCAGATTATACTCTTCGGTCTTCTGTATAATCTGCCGCAAGGTGTGTATGTGGTCTATGGTACTGAAGCCTTTTCGGAATCCGGCTTGTTCGGGAGGCTGGAAGTCGTCGAGTCTGGAAGCGAGACGATTCAAGATGACTCTTGAGAACAGCACATAGACGCAACAAGACTATATAAAATTACCTATTATCTAATCCATGCGGCATGGTACCAAAAACGCTAGCTGCATTTCCTCGCTGAATAGTTATGCTTAACCTTTGAGCGAGAAACGAACCAGCTCTCTTATCACCAGCCGCGGCGTTAAGCTTAGGACACAAACTTTTTCAAAATGTTGATGTGCGTGGACCCCACGGACCTAAAGTTTCAACAACAAATGGCACAAATACATAATCTAAACATAAAGACTCATATTTGCGTCATTTACTTACTTCAGCTGCTTCTGCTGCCGCCCCGGCCCTGACCAAAGTACCCCTTAGATGAGAGGCAGCCAAAGTGTCTACACAAGTGGCGTCCCAAACAAAGGCTTTGGCTCTCTCCCAAGGAATCAAAGTAAAACTGGTTCTTTTCTCGCTCAATCAAAGGTTAAGCATAACTAGCAGCGAGGAAAATGCAGCGTTCTCTCCATGCCGCGTGGATTAGGTTTATTAGATAATATGCAATCATACATAGATTTAATCTTCGAAATATTAGATCAATAAATTGATAGTCTAACGCCCGGTTTCTGAAACACTGATCATCGTAGATGTCAACTAATCAGCTGTCAAATGGCCTTTCAAGTGTTATTTGAGTTGCCAAAAGGATGGCTAAACTCTCTGAATTGACCAGAAGGCCATTTGACAGCTGATTAGTTGACATCTACGATGATCATAAGAGCCGTGATAGCTCAGTGTCCGGGCGCTCGCCTTTAGTTCAATATACTCGAGCAACCTGAGTTCGATCCCCGGTGCCGGCACCAATGAAGTTTTTAACTTTAAGTGCTGACTTCTCACGTGCTCCGCGGAAGGAAAACATCGTGAGGAAAGCTGCATATTTTCGAAATAATAACAAAAAAAATATTTTTTCGAAGATATGTGAAGTCCGCCAATACGCAGTGGGGCCGCATGGTGGACTATGCCCTGATACCCTCTCTATAGAGGAGGCCTTTGCCCAGCAGTGGGACATGTATAGGCTGTTAATTTACTTTACTTTACGATGATCATGCCCAGTTTCTGAAACACTGATAATCGTAGATGTTACCTAATTAGCTATCAAATGGCTTTTAAATTTTCATTTTAGTTGCCAAAAGGATGGTTTAACTCTCTGAATTGACCAGAATGATCTTCTTAATGATCAGTGTTTCAGAAACCGGGCGTTAGACTATCGAATTCGTGCCAATTTCGATATAAGTTTAAAGCAACTCTGGTTTCGTGTTGAATGTTACTAGAAACTCTATGCATGCTCCTCGAAGATTGTTTGAACTTTAAAAAAATGAAATGAACGACCACACGTCTGAAGTGATAATTCTCTGCATCTATACAGGGAGACTTTTTAAAGGTGCCTAAATTTACACTGGAAATTTACACGATAGTATTATCGTTTCTTGAAATAAAAACAAACTTTTTTTTTTCAAAAAATTACCATCTATTCCCTAAAAAACAAAACTTGTTGAAAACGTGGTAGTCTGGCATGCCAGCGCTACGCGTTGTCAAATCGGTGTCAGACGCCAGCGTCAGCGCATTGGTAAAACATTATGTTCAGCACATAACATTTTTTCAGTAATGTAGATCGAACCCACACCCTTTTGGCGCAAGACGCAGTTTTCCTGCTTCCCATGCCAAAAGGGTACTATATACCCACACCCATTCGCATGCGTTAGTTATCTTTCGGAATCTATTCTGTACCCCGTGAATCGTGCATTTGAGATTAAGCCGACTTTATATTCATGAGTTCATAGGCGATCCGGACTATATATTAATGCTCCACATAAAAAAATATTTTTCCCGCTGCCGCTAGAAAACGCAAATCTACCGATATCTCACCGCGCTGCTTTTGGTGGCGAGTGCAAGGACACTACACATCATACCTCAGTGTAATTTCGTACTTATATCGTGTTAATGTTATAGTCATTTAATAGTGTGTCAACATCGCGGAGTAACTACGAAACTTTTTATGCCCAAAAATACTGCCGTGGCTCTTCTATTTTGACCAATGAACGTAATAGGTGATCCGGATGATAGATTTATGTATTGCTCTTGGATCAGGTGATAGAGGTACATCTGCCGATATCTTACTTCGCCTATCCTTCGACGTTAGAATGTCTCCGGATTAAATTGCAAATTCAACCTTATTACTTTCTCTGGATCACACTCCATTATCGATGGCAGGCCGACCAGAGGTTCGAACCTCCATCTGAGAGGATTTTGAATCACAAAAAACAAAACAAATTACCATTATTTTTTTTTCATTCTGGTTACATTTTTGAGTAAGACGTCAAATATCTGACAGTGACAGTGACTTCTTTTCAAATGATAGAGGAATGTCAAACTGTCCTCGCCCTGTTTGCTGGCTGTTAGCTCTGCAAGTCTGCACTATAGGAGATAAAATAACCTTTTGAATTGGCATAGTTTTATTAATAGAACGTGGTAACAAACATGGATGGAGTATCAGCTTATAATGCCTTTATTGCAATTCATAAACCACAATTAGTTTTATCGGGTATTCCTGAAATTTTTTGGCACACGTTAAGCAAAAAATTGCGAGATCAAATTTTCGACTCTGGCTTGACTTTTCAATTAGTTCAAATCGATTATGAAGATGAGGAAAAAATGCCCTACGATCCTATCTGGAGTGTGATGGCTTTACGAGACATAAACAAATCTGATTCTGATCATATTTATCTCGTAGATCATGCGTGGACTTTTAAAGCTAACAGCGTGAAAAATAATCTAAGAAATTTACCCGGTCTCTTAGTAAGAATGTGCGATCTAATGCAGATAAAAAGTACAGACACGGAGGAACAAATAAAAGAAGTTTCAAAAAAAGTCTGGCAGTATGCTCATACCTATGCTATAGCAGGCAATGAATTTTCTGTCGAAGACAGAGTACCTGTTTGGTATGTTCTAGATGAATTGGGTTCAGGAATTATACATTCCGATAATCCAAATTTCCGGGCAGTTCCATTCATTCATGTGCCTGATCAAGTAACATACACTTTACTGTTTCCTATTGAAAATGTTGAAGAGGGTGAAACAATCACTAGAAATTTTGTAGAAGGTAATTTTTCTGATCCACTCCAGAAAGAAGCTATGCTGATACCATGGAAACATTACAATTATTTTAATGAAGATTTCAGCCAGGAAGAACCTGGAAAAAAATACTTTCTAGAAGGGCACATTGTGGAAACCCTTCCAAATTTAGAATTGTTACAACTTAGGCAAAGTTCTATTAGTAAGTTGAAGGTTTTCTCAGAATATAATCTTATAAATGAGTATTTGACTTCATCAGAGTTTCAAATTGTGGATAATGAAAATGATGCTGATATTTTATGGTTAACAAACCATTTTAAAAATTATCAAGAGTTTAGCATTGATTTTCCAAATAAGTTTGTTAATCAATTTCCTTTCGAGTATGTCTTAACTGTAAAAGACCTCATAGCTATTGTGTCAAGAAGGTACTTGAAGGAAGATAAAAATGTGCCAAATGACACACTTGAGACATCACCTCCTTGGTTACCTACTACATTCAACATGAAAACAGAACTTTCTAAACTTGTAGCTTATTATATGAGAAGAAAGCAGAAAGGTTTCGATAATTATTGGATATGCAAGCCTTATAACTTAGCTAGGGGATTGGATACTTATATAACAGACAATCTTAACTTTTTGTGCAGATTACCGCTTACTGGACCGAAAATAGCTCAGAAATATATTCACAATCCTGTTTTATTTGAAAGACCAGATAAAGGTTTAGTAAAATTTGATATCCGCTATGTTATTCTATTAAAATGTGTTAATCCCACGGAATTGTATGCATATAATAACTTCTTTCTTAGATTTTCAAATAAACCATTTGCTCTTAATAACTTTGAAGATTATGAGCAACATTTCACTGTGATGAACTACACAGAAGGGGCTCCACTGTTCAGAATGTTGTGTGCAGAATTTAAAACAGCATGGGAAGAACAATATGCTGATTTTAGTTGGGATGAAGTTGAGAAATCCATATATCAGATGTTTTCAGAATTGTTTACAGCTGCAACATCTAAAGAACCACCATTTGGGGTTGCTAGGAATCCTCAATCTCGAGCGCTATATGCTGCAGATTTAATGTTAAGCTGGGATACAACTAAATCCTCAATACAGCCTAAGCTATTAGAAATCAATTGGATGCCAGATTGTCGCAGGGCTTGTGAATATTATAATGACTTTTACAATGACATTTTTTCTGTTCTGTTCTTGGAAAGAGAAGTTAGTACTTGCACAAAAATTCTATAGTATAGGATATAAATAGTGACTGATATTTAATCTGTGTCATGTATTATATTTACCATGTTTGGTAGAAAAATGTTGTATATGTATATTCAATTAAACATGAAATTCTTCCCTAATTATTCAATACTGGCTTGAAACTATATTTCAAATATTAGGCAAATAAACAAAAATCATGTACACCATCAATAAAATGCATTATTAATATTGGAATATCTATGTAGATTTGTTTAAAAACTTGCTTATGAACAAAAAATGAATAAATTTTGATAGATAGGGCTTGAAGTTGTGAATTCACTCGGGTATCTATGATCTTTTATGGTGTAAATAAAACTTTATTGAAAATGTTGTTGTTGCTATAGATCTTGTAAAAAAAATGATATACAATTATGCCTGTAATAAATAATGTCAGTTCAATATATTTATGAAGTTATTTATTTATTCAAATTGTACAATCCTGGTTAGTTCAACAATTAATTAATCATAATAAATTAAACTTAATATGCATATCACTTTGAAAATTGCTTCATTTCTAATTAAGATTGACATAATTTATTGTAGGCAATACAGGTTAATTCTTCTGTAAGATTCTTCTGTCATCTTCTTGAATGGACCCAAATGGATTGTCTTCATCAACACTCCTGTGGCTTAGTAGTAGTAGGATTATTATAACTGCTATTAGTACAAATAGCATAATCCAGTAACGCCTGTAGATTCCACCTACTCTTCGCACGCGTGAAGTCGGAAGTGTATTCCTAAAAGAGGTAATAGTAGGAATATAGAAAATATTCAACAATTTGCAGGGAAGAGGTGACCTCTTGGATTGGATGATTAAGGAAAAGATGGAAAAAGCAATACAGATATTCTAAAGATAGATAATAAGCACTCATGCCTAAAATTAAAAATATTCTTTTCATGAAACAGTATGGTGTCTTCAACATCCACACATAGATACAAAAATAAAAATGAAAAAGCAATGTAGTTAAATGAAGTAGTAAATGTAAACTTGATTTTTCTTGGTGTAGCGATCAACAGTTTTGCTTAGTGGTTAAAGCATCTGAGCGCGAATCCCGAAGATGTTGGTTCGATTGCCACAATGGCCAATAGGCATTAAGTCCACCCTTTGTAACCCCATTTTTAGGTGTTTTCAATTAAAAGAAAATAAATAAGATTGGCGAAAAACTATTCGTACTTTTTTACACAAAATTTAATGTATCATCTTTAAGTGCAAAGATTAGCACTATAAAAAAAATTATGTATACAGCGTGTCGTTTCCATCGCGACAATAAATGAACACGCATATAGGGGATAACTTTTTAAAGTTGTATTAAACATTTAAATTCTTTAAACATCAATATTTACAGAGTTATTAAATTTTCCAAAACAAAGAATTTTAGAACACTCTTACCTATAAAAGCGTAACATAAAGTTCATTTGTAAAGGTCACTAAGCATATGAATGGGTTGAATGAATTTAAAAGAGACAAAACATACTGTTAGAAGGAGAGGCTTGTAATACGACGCTGTGACGCGAGTTGTATAGGATGTTACAAATTTTATTTCTTTTTTACTTAATTAGTTTGTTTGAAAAAAAATTTTTTAGTTATGGATTTTGTTTAACGTTAATATTTTTTTATGATTATTGGCAAGTAGCGGTAGACGTGTGTTAATTTACTGTCGCGATGGTAACGACACGCTGTATATGTATATAAATTTTTCGTCCGAATTACCGGTTTCCCGCAAAATGGGTTTTTGGGGGTCAGATGATCTTTCTGAACCATTTGCGAAAGAAAAAAGGCTGAGTATGGCTAGCTAAGCTACTAAGGCTTTCTACCAAAAGAAAGATCAGCACCTTATCACATATAAGAGTAGTTCCATTCAACTCAATTTGACTATCTACTGACCAGACAATGTCATATTGGCAAGGGTACTAAATGTAAAGTCATTCCTGGGCCCAAATTATTTTCTTTTTCATGGACTATTTCTTTACCCCGAAAGAGAAAGTAGCCGAGAAACGCAAACCAGGAATCGAGTGATGGTTGCTGATTGGACTGACGCAGAAGAACTTTCCGGCAGAGGTTAAGTCATAAGCTCTGCCGCTGTTGGCGACAACGAACCTTTTCTGAGCACTGTAGGAGTACCCAGTGTTCCCCTTTTTTTTGGTATCGGGGGAAATCTTCGAAAGATACCCTGTCACTTTATATGACAGGGTTATATGGGGTTCTTACCCACTAAAACCCCCTCAGTGGCCGCCTTTCGTACATTTGGAGGGACTCCGGTATCTCCCATGGGACGCACCGGTGTCCCTTGGTACTACGCCTGAGCACGCCTCGGATAAAGTAAATCTGGAAGGGTACGCTTGAGAACAGCGGTCTAAAACTCAGTTTGGCGAAGACCGACTACATGGCTTGCGCGGGTTCGCGCAAGATTGAGCTTTCGCGCGGTTCGATGCTCAATCCAAATAAGTAAGGCAAAGGCCAAAGTAGAAAGGCAGACCTTGGCAATAGCCGATATTATTGGCAGGTAGAAGAAGAAGAATAACCATATTGTAAAAATAATAAGATGATGAAATAAGAATAATTTTTTACTCACTTCCACCACCTGTTGATCCAGGAAAATGTAGATTTTTGTTTGTATTTATTTTCATCATGATCAAAATTTGATAAAAGGCCAGAATTGTCTGTGGACCTAAAACTTTTTCTTGGAGCTTGACTAGCTGAAATTTTAAATTGTGTCTGAAGTTAATGAACAAAAATTAAAGTGATTTCGGGAATTTATAAATTGCAATTATATCGCTTTATAATTATGTACTTTTTTAGGTCCTGTAGAAAATTATCTTATTTTAGACTTCCCATTTGGTACTGACAAATATTTGCACTGTTATAATACTGTCACAGTTAAACAATCTTACATGCACTGCTGAAAGAGGTATAGGACATACCTCCACCATATTTTAGATAGATTTGTTTGTTAAATAGTGAAGCATCTTTAAGCAAGTATAAAGTATACAGCGTGTCGTTACCATCGCGACAATAAATGAACACACGTCTAACGCTACTTGCCAATAATCATAAAAAAATGTTAACGTAAAACAAAACCCTTAATTAAAAAAAAATATTTTTCCAACAAACTAATTAATACTAACTAATTAATGAGCCGTGATAGCTCAGTGTCCGGGCGCTTGCCTTTAATTCAATATACTCGAGCAACCTGAGTTCGATCCCCGGTGCCGGCACCAATGAAGTTTTTAACTTTAAGTGCTGACTTATCACGTGCTCCGCGGTGAAGGAAAACATCGTGAGGAAACCTGCATATTTTCGAAATAATAACAAAAAATATTTCGAAGATATGTGAAGTCCGCCAATCCGCAGTGGGGCCGCGTGGTGGACTATGCCCTGATACCCTCTGTATAGAGGAGGCCTTTGCCCAGCAGTGGGACATGTATAGGCTGTTACTTTACTTCTTTACTTTAAACTAATTAAGTAAAAAGGAAACAAAATTTGTAAAATCCTATACAACTCGCGCCACAGCGTCGCATTATAAGCCTCTCCCTCTAACAGTATGTTTTGTCTCTTTTAAATTCATTCATATAGGTAGGGTGTTCAAAAATTCTTTGTTTTGGAAAATTTAATAACTCTGTAAATATTGATGTTTAAAGAATTTAAATATTTAATACAACTTTAAAAAGTTATCCCCTATATGTGTGTTTATTTATTGTCGCGATGGTAACGACACATTGTATAATGAATATATTAAAATTTACTAGATTAAATGGACTTTTTCTACTAGGTCTTTTGAAACAACTTTTCCACTAGATCAGGTAATTAATGAATTCTATTAAAATAACCAGATATAAGCACACAAACTGATAAAATTAAAATGCAATTACTACCAATTTATACCTTGTAAGCTGTCATTTCTTTTAGATGTACCATCATATATGTTTACAGGTTCATCTGTAATTTGAACAATGGAATGTGGTGTGCTTGTTGCTGAACGATTTGCAGATTCGTCGTCACTTGCACCAACCGGTGTACCACGTTGGCTGTCCATAACATTATTGGAATATTGAAACTTATCAATAGGGGATTGGCTGCGTCTACTTGCAGCTCCTTTCATATCCTGGTCGTCCGAAAGCTGAATTTAAAATGATGATAAAAATTTGAAGTTATGGGTTGTAATTATTTAAAAATATCAAATTCACAATGTAAGGAGTAACATAAAATAAATTTTTATGGAAGTAATTTTTTTTTTGTCTAAAGCACTACTTTAAAATGTTGACAAATACACATGGACACAAACCAACATAAATTATACACAATAACATTATTCATAATGAGAACAAACCAATGGTAATCCAAGTCCAGCTCTGGCCCAGTTAACACCGGCAAGTTTCTCACGGAGAACATCAGCTACAGGTGAAACCAAGTTAGATGGTGGGAAAACTGGCGTAGCGCAAGAAGGGCACTGGTAACCAGCGGGAGCAGTAGTACGTGGAAGGGCACGATATCGCGACTCTGCGCACTCCCAATGAAATACATCTGAAAAATAAACTTATAGAATTTTCTGTCTACATTTTTTTATGTGAGAAGGTGGCAAACGACCCGGCAGTTAACCTGACGTTAATTGATAACCGCCGACCATGGACGATTCCAACACCCGAAGGGTTGCACTCTTTTTTATTTATATATATGTATGCATTTTATAAAATATATCTATATATTGTATAAAATGCATGCTTTAAGTTAACGAAAATAACAAATTTCACTTACGATAGCATGTAAGCCGAATACACTCTCCGTCAGATAAACTGTTTGTGCATATTTCGCAGATGGGATTGTAATCACTATCTTGTAGCCACTGAAGATATGACTGTATTATGCACTGTGGACATAAATATTGGTTATTTTTTAATGAAATGAAATTTACTGAATAATTATAGACCGTACTTATGTTCTTTTTACCTTTGGATGGTTTGTTACCATACAATTTTCGCAAACATTAACTCTATGTTCAAAACAAAACTGATTGGTCACTCTTCTTTTTGGACACTTGCACAGACCCATCTTTTACGGTGTACAATAACGTTGGAAGAGTAAACAAATAAAAACAGTATTAATTAAGAAACATTACTTTATATATAAACAACATGATTCAATGACCTATCTGTCAGCCACGTAAATTGTATGTCAAATTGTCAACCTTACTTACGTCACAGATCTATGTGACAGTTTATACACTCAGCGTCACAAAAATCGCACCTCTCTGAGTTTGCGCGAATAATGGCTGTAATGGCTAGAAACGAATTATATTTATATAAATATTGGTATGTTTGAAATGGGTATTTGAATAGCTTTACATTATTAATAAAAAAATCATGAAATCATTAAAACATTTATCATTATAGAGCGTCAAAAATAAACACTGTCAAATGCTCGTTAGTAAGGACGTCTAGTTACACCACCTAAAAAAGGGTATAAAAGGGTCGATCTGGATGAAATATGGGTCCCAATCCGTTAGGTGTAGAAGCCGTCACTTACAAACCCCTACCGCTAGGTTCGTTCCGACGCCAATGGCGCAGACCACGACACGTACTCGATTTCTCTTACGATGAGACGACTATCGCCATCGACAAAATAAAACAATTACGCAAACACATCAGATCACACCGCACTCGCCGGCGAGTGTGGCAAACATATACTAAGTTCCGCCACGTACCTGGCAGGTTTTCCCCCGTTAATGATAGAAGCGTTGCTGGAGTTTCTTCCGCCACTTCTTCTCCCAGCGCCAACGCTTTCCGAAGTGGTAGTAATGTTAGATCTAGAAATTCTCCCAGTCAGATAATAGCTACCGATCGAGCCGAGGTCCGGCCCTCTCGGGCACCCTCGAATCGGAATGCTAAACGGGTATTGAGTGACAGTCCAAGCGGAGGTTCCCTCTCGGGGACCCTTGAGCCTGGTCACTCCATGGAGCGTCCGCCAAAGCGGCCTAAGAGCTTGACGGCCTCCCAAACCGGTAATAATAATAGCGTGACGGCCCGAGCCGAGGCTCCCTCGGGAGCCCTCGAGCTTAGTCACCATAACGCGTAATAATAATATGCCGAGGTTCAGGCTAGGCGCCCCGAGCGTCCGGCCACCTCAAGTCCGGCGAAACTGTAAAGGCCCCTAAGGCCAACAGTGGCTCATAAAGCAAAAAAAAAAATATGGGTCAGTCGTAATTATTTCGACTTTGCAGTGAACACATGTGAAGAAGTAACCCAAGTAAGAACAAGTAAAGATGGACACCAGCTCTGAAGAAGCCGCTCAAGTGATTGCCCTATTGCAGTCGGGGATGCGGCAGTGTGACGTTGCTCGACAACTGAACCTGTCCCGTTTTTCAGTTCGACGGGTGTTCCAACGTTTTCAGCAGACTGGTGGTTATGTTAGAAAACCTGAATCTGTAAGAAAACGGTGCACATCAGAAAGAAATGACCGTTTCATCGTTACGACATCTTTACGAAACCGTTTTACAAGTGCTGTTGAGTTGCAACAACAGCTTCGATTAACTCGGAGAACATCTGAGTGTTTCTACGATAAGAAGAAGGTTACACGAAAAGAGTTTAACAGCCCATAGACCTGCTAAAAGTCCAAAACTTACTGCACAGCATCACAGAGATCGCCTAGAGTTTGCTCGCAATCATTGCGAGTGGACTCTAGAACAGTGGCGGACCGTACTCTTCTCTGATGAGACGAGAGTCTGTCTCTTCTGCAATGACAGACGTAGAAGGGTCAGAAGACAGGGGGAGAGGTTCACACAACCCTGCTTCGAAGAATCCGTCGAATACGGGGGTGGCTCGTGTATGTTTTGGGGCGGCATTTCCGTCGACGGGAAAACGGAACTTGTGTGCGTTTCCCGGACTCGGAGGGGCCGTGGGCAAGGGTCATTAAATGCTGGTCGGTACATTACTGAAATCCTGGAGGAACATGTGGTCCCGTATGCTGGTTATGTCGGTGATGGATTCATGTTAATGCATGATAATGCTCGTTGGCACACCGCGGCTATTGTACGGGATTATTTACAGGAGGTCGATATCCCTGTTATGCATTGGCCAGCACGAAGTTCAGACCTTAACCCAATAGAACATCTCTGGGATGACCTAAAACGGCGCGTGCGAGCTCGAGATCCAGCTCCAACCACTCTTCAAGAGCTCCAATATGCGGTACTTGAAGAGTGGGAACAAATACCCCAAGAGGCTGTTACGACCCTTGTAAGGTCCATAAAAGATCGCATGGAAGCCGTTATCAAGGCAAGGGGGGTAACACTAGGTTTTAAGAACTTTTTTTGTATTTATTATTTTTTTTTTAAATTATTAATTTGCAAATTTGTACATACCCTGTCTTTTTCTTTAATTTCTCTTTCGTCTCGTTATAAAAGTAAAATTCAATTAAAATTCCTGAAAGCTAATGAAATACCTTTCGAATGATACCCTCAAACCACAACATTGCCATTGGCCTGTTGTGTTAAAATAGTATTTTAATTATTTTTTTCGAATGTGCGATTTTTTTGACGCCGATTGTAGTTGATAGTAAAGTCGTTTGATAATAACTCGGGTTCCAATGTTTCTGCCTTAGATGCATTAATGTAGATTTATATTTCACCGGGGTGTCTGAACATGCTGTTGGTGATACCCAATTGTAATTTGACACAGAGACAGAAGTAGTTGTCCGTTACTGTTCCATGGTGCCTATACCATGTCTTCCCAAGACCTTAGGTTAGGTTTCGAAGTCACGACTCCAAAGAACCTTCTCTCTGGAGCATCCTTGAGAGCCTGCGTGGCGTGAGCTCTAAGTAAAACCGGACCGTAATATCATCATTATTTGTCAGTGTAAGTACACATCACTATACTTGCACTGACAATGGATAAGAATAAGAATACAATAATTACCTATGTTCAGCAGTGGACTTTGGGTGTACCGATCACTGTCTCTACGGACCAGGGAATTATAGTGCAATTCACACAGACTGAATTGACGGTGATTAGAAAAGATATTCATATTGTTATAGAATATAGACCATAAATTCTTGCAAACGGACACCGATTCCAATTAGGGACATGATCAAGGAGTTTAATGTTATTTTCATTATTTATTAGGTCTAGGTCTACGACTATCCTTTTTTATGTGAGGAGGTTGCTGATGTTAAGTGATAACCGTAAGATTACAGATGCCTTGCCACCAAATATAGTGGTCCCGGCTACCTCAGTCACCAGACGAGGAAGTATAACACTTCCACTTTACGCCGAATTTTTGTGAGGTCGTGGTACTTACCCGAACGGATCTGCCTATTCGAGCAACAGCGAGGATTGTCATGGGTTGAGTGGTGCAGAGACAGTCGTAATTACTATCTACAAATGTGTATGCTGGGACTAGGCCTTTTAGGACACCCTTTCTCGTCCCCTACCCGGACTGAGAAAAGTAGGGACTCTATAAATATAACTGCTATGTCACTCGGTGTTGCTGAATCGCACTGTTAAGCCCAGTGTAGGGCAGTCTCTCCGTCCCGCCCGCGTGCAGACATCAAAGTCAGGCATCATGGCGACCCGACTCCTCTACCTCTGTCCATCGCCGCAGGACTTTTTGAACATCTGAGTCCGGTATCAAGTGAAGGTGTTGGGCATTAAATATTATAATGTGAGAGAACACTAAGAACGCAGAGAGGTAGGGACGAAAAACGTCGGTGCTAGCGAGGCCTCTATCGGCAATTTGGCGATAATTAATGCGAGTCATCTCTTGCTATGTAAATCCATCATCGAACGAATGACAACGCTGGCGATACGACAGCTGCCGAGAAGAGCACACTTTCCCCCAGAATTGAAAACCGACAAGATCATCCGCACCTGCCGAAACCCGGAAAGGACCGACGTCTTCCGTCCAGCTAGAGGCCCATTACGTAGGAAACTTTTGAGCGGCTGCCTCTGTGGAAAATGGTCCCCTTCGTCGAATTGCGTAGGGTACATTACGGATCCCGCAGCAGCCACAGAACGCTAACAAATTTCAATAAAACGAGCGAACTTTTTATTCACTTTATTGATCCAGCATGGATGCATATCAACATCCATTACAGGAAACATGATGTTCCTTACGAACTAATTAAGTTATTTGATAATATTAATCACATTAGATTTTTATAAATACATAATAGTTTTTGACGAAAAGTCGCGTTAAGACCTTCCCCACACTGCATATTGAGATCGCACCAACGGAAAACATTGATTATAAAAACATGTTGGCAATGTAAAGACTAGTCGATAATATAAGTATAAATTGGAAAATTGTGCTTAACGTGTCGGAGGCCTAACACGTAAATACATAGATACACCTAAACACTGTTTCATCCAGTTATAACAATGCGGCGTAATTGCGTTACGTAATCGCTTAACCCACTTACGGTGCAACAAGTTTTGTTGCCCGACACAATTTCAATATCCGTCTATGAAGGTTTTAATTGGAGTCGGAGTCCATGTGCTTCCTGTAGTTGCGGCGCGCCTTCTTCACGCGCTGCCGGAACTTTAGCGCCTGGTACTCCGGATCGTCGGAGACGTCGTCCATCGGTAGGGAGTTGCGCGTACTGCTGCCCGCGAAGGTGCCGACGCCGCTGTCGGGCGTGCCGAGCGCGGCGGGCGGTCGCCACGCGCCGCCCTCCGTACTGCAGCTGCTCTCCAGCTCGCTCTCGTTTGTCTCGTTCATCAGTCGGGCGACGGTCGCGCTGTGTGTGCCGGATGTGGTGGCGCTCTCGTGCTCTTTGGGCGGCGGCGACTCGCTCGAGTCCGTGCGGCGGACGCTAGGCCGTCCGTTGCGTCTCGCCCGCCTCAGGGTCATCCGTAGACGGGTCTCGGGCGGAGTGTTGACGCTGGCTGGTACCGGAGCGTCCAGCCGCAGCGACTCGCCCAGCGAGTCCCGCGAGCCGTTGACCGGCGTCGGCACGATGCTCACCAGGTCGCTGGGGACGCCCTGCTCGCCGCTGTGTGTGCGCGGCGATATCGGCCGGCTGCTCGCCGACTGGTCGTCGTCGGAGTCCACCTCCGCTATGCGGAACAGCGACGAGCTCTGGCCTCTGTAACCTGAAACCGTCGGGGCCGCTGGATGCATGATTTTTTTAACCCTGGCCATAATTGTGGGGTCGGCCGTTAGTTGCGTGATGTATTTTTTTTTTAGCAATTTTTTTCAACAATGTGATAAAAATGTCCAGACGGACCTTATTAATGGACTATTTCTTTGTATAATGTGATCAAACTACGAATAACTACGAATTTATTTGTATTTTATATATATTTCACTGATAGTTTTTTTTTTGCATGCCCTGGTCAGTAATGGGATTATATAGTTTAAGTTGCTTCATACCTGTACTAGTACTTGGCAGTGCTAAGTTATCTTCGAATTGATTCAAATTAGAGAAATTATTGTTATCGCTATTGTCCTGAGCCATTGTTGTACCTGAAATAGAAAGAAAAACATTAAATAACCAGTAAAAACAAAAAAAAATTAAAACAAAAAAGGTGCCTTACCATTACTCCTTAAATTCATAACTTTCCTATAACTAGTGACTTTCGTTTTCCTCTTTGTAGTCCTCGACAGGTTCATTCGCCTTCGCAATGGTCTGATGATCTGAAATTATTAACATAAATAATTTAAACAGATTCAAGACAATGGAAGACAATGGAGTGCTGTTTAATAATATATTTAATATCATTTGGTTTCAACCCTTACGATCTTATCTCCTAAAAACCCTAGGTAATAAACGATAACGGATTTCAATTTGTCCAGTGTTGGCCATTCAAGCAAGTTTTTAACTTCAATTACACAGCTACCTTGTGATAATGGGCATATCAAAAAATAGTTTAATACCTCTTTATATCAAAGCGGTATCTGATATTCCACAAATGTGCCGAACTATTTATGACCCCTATATAATACATTATCTATGAATAGGCCTTGTCGAATACTCAAATATAAGGAGGAAGAGCTTGCTTGAAGAGTAATTATTTGTCAGCTGTTAGTTATTAACACAGATGGTGTGGATGTCCGTAAGCAGTAAGAGTTTAAGATGAGCCCCCAAAATAAAAGAGCTTTAGAGTTCAGTGTTCGGGCTCTCTCGCCTTTAATTTATTATACTCGAGCAACCAGAGTTAGATTCCCGGTGCCGGCACGGCTAACTTATCACGTGATCAGCGGTGGAGGAAAACTATCATGAACACAAAAAAAAATGTTTCAAAGATCTATGTAGTCTGCAAATCTGCGTGGCTTTTACTTTACTACAAAAAAAAACCGGCCAAGTGCGAGTCGGACTCGCGCACGACGGGTTCCGTACCATTATCTATAAAAATGGCAAAAATCATGTCTGTTGCATGGGAGGACCGCTTAAATATTTTATTTTCAATAGGTCCCGTTTACCCTTTGGGTACGGGACCCTTAAGAAGGTCACTGACCCTGCCCGAGTTCCTGTAGAGGCAGTGCGCGGGCTCGTCCGAGTCGGTGCGCTCGCTCGATGGCGCGGAGAGGCGGGCGCGGGGCGCGGGAAGGGGGGCGGCGGGGGCGCGGGGCGTCGACCGCCTCGCCCCGCGCGCCCTCCGCGCCGGCGCGCGCTTGCCCTTCAGCCCCGCGCCGCCCCCCGCCCCCGCCCTTGCCCGCCGCATTGCACGGGCGCGCCTGCTTGCTGCGCCTGCAATTTAGAGCGCGCCGTTCAATGACCTTGTTGAGAGAAGAAAGAAAGAAAGAAAAAAAATATTACACAAATACAATAATAAAAGAAAATACTAATATTAATTATGAAACAGATTTCACACACCACAATTATTGGTGTGGCGTTTACGGTAAACAACGTACGATACGAGACAACAGCGCTGATTTTCAGTGAGCTTTGGAATTGTATGATGTAAGAACGTCCTCATCAGGACGAAGTCCAGAATAAAAATAGCACTTGAAATAAAAATCGTTAAAAAATAAAAACGTTTATCACCTCTGTGAGTCTCTCTTTTGTGAGCGCGTGTTTTTAGGATACCGCGAAGCAACCAAACGTGCTAGTCTGTTTGGACATCGCTGACTTCGGTTCCCGTTAGCGTTCGCTGTGGAATAAACATTTTGTTTGAGACGAGTAAAAAATTATTATATAAATAAAGGATAACCGACAATATAACCTTATAGACCTGTAAATATAACTGTGGTAGGACCACGCAATAGTTTTCGCTGATGCACGAATGGGCAGGTCCGTCCGGCTAAGTACCACGACCTCACAGAAGACCGGCGTGAAGTGCAAGTACTTCTGCGTTTCGTCTGGTGAGTGGGGTAGTCGGGGCCCACTTTATTATAAGGTGGCAACGCATCTGCAACCCTACGGGTGTTGGAAATGTCAGCTCGCTTGCCACATTCTCACATATTGAGAATAAGTTGCACACGTTATTAATGACTAAAGTAGATTTTTTTTGAAGAACGGGTGTAATTTTTGCATAGTTTCTTCTTTATTAATTGGCATCATATAATGTTTATATATTTTAAATGACGAAGAAGGCTCTTTAATTTCCATGTTGAATAGCTGGTATGCTTTCTTGAAAACAGCCCAACTAGAAGATAAAGACGAAGGAATAGAATCTTAAAATTGATCAGAGGCATTCGTGACTGAGATCATTGCGATCCACCGGAATATGGCACTGGACAAAGGCGGAGTACCGCTCATGTTAATCCAAGGTCATGCCCTAACAACTAACTCGAGCATTAGATTTAACAAGAGTGCATGCGTGAGCACGTCACGAACATCTAAAAACAGAGATTTACGTGGAACAAAACAAACTATAATCATGTCATATGACATGACGTCACGCTGCTCACAGATATCATCGGGCAAAGGTGTGCACCCACGTCAAGTCACTTCATGCCAAGACGGCGATCAGCAGAACGCGAATGTACTCTCCCGGTTCTAACATTCAGCGGGCGACACGGTGCGTCGCGTGTCGCGTGACACGTGTCGTCACGCGTGTCACGTGACGCGTCGTGTCGCGCCGTGTCGCGTGACTCACCGCGCTTGGGCTGCAGCGGCAGGAAGTCGGGCGGGGCGCGGTCCGAGTCGTCGCTGTCGTCGTTTGCGATGGGCGAGCCGGTGCTCGAGCCGTCGAGCGAGTCCGTCTCCTCGGCGAGGCACTCGAGCTCGCGCTGCACCAGCGAGTCGAAGAACGCCATCATGCGCTGGTCCTCGCGGGTCGACTGCTCCGCGTAGTTGTGCGATATGTACTGCGGCGCGGATAACGCATGATGCAAATGCGTCGTGTGACAACGTAAGATATTATCATGTGTAGCGTCTAATGGCTAAAGTCTAAACGAAATTATTTAACGGTTTTTACCGCGTTTAAAAAGCGGCATTTTGAACGCTTTACAGCGTTGCATGGTCACGGGAGAAATGTGGTGTTCGAAACGGTCGGTATTTAAAATCAAAATAAAACGCGATAAAATATGTATTTTTTTTAAAGTAAAACTTCTTTAGGCGCGACTAAGGGGGTAACTGAATGCTTTGGACGACGACTATGCAACGGAACGCGTCAGGGAAGCGTTTATACAGTATCCGATTTTTATATATTTCCGATGTTTGTATGAATGAAATGTATCTGAACTACAAATTTACAATAAAAAAAAAGATTAGGTCATTTATTACTATTAATTATTAATTAATTATAAATAAAATTATTATTAATTATACATTTATTTTACATTTATCTCATTAAATGGCTACCCTAACTATAACATTAAAAAAACTGACAATCTTAAATCATCTACTATGTCTAAGTATGGAGATTTGATTGACATTAAATTGTCGTTATTTATAGAATTGCCTACGTTCAAGTACCTTATATTTACAAATACTATTCCGTTAGACTTAAGAGCAACACTTTCTCGATTATTCTTCGATGTGGCTTCTTGTGTCGTTCACATCCAAATTACTATTGACGTCAGAAGAAATTTATTCCTGTCGCTTCTGAATTGCTTGCCGTTGTATACTCTCTATAACAGAGGGCGATACTAAAAGACGCGCCCGCACATACATATTTAATGGAAGCTAGCTTTTATACGCGTTAATACAAAATTCGACCGTCAATTTTGTGATACATTTTTATTTTAAACTAGCTGCTGCCCTCGACTACGTCTGCGTAGAATAGGCTGAAGGCGTAACATTTAGACAGAAAGACAGATATTCATAAAAATATGTATATAAATTATAGCCTATGTTTTATTCTGATGTATAAGCTATATTATTGTAAAGTTTCATTAAATCCATTCAGTAGTATTTGCGTTAAGAGTAAAAAACATCCATCCATACATATTACATTATATATTATTACTTCTATCTCTTTCTTCTTAAATAATCTCACCTGCCCGGTGTGATGTACCAGGGACACATAATCCTCATGGCTGTAGATCTCCCGTGGGTTGTCCGAACCCTGGGCCTCTTCTAAGAGTGTGCCGCGCATTTGCGGATACTCCAGGGCCGACCACACCTGAAACAATGGCTTTGCAAATTAAACCGACGAAGAAATCAAACAACAGAAAATTTTTACAATCTCGCAAGTTCCAGTTTTCACCGACAAGTGAAAAGTTTTGAATGGCGATTTAACAATTTGCATTTTATGCGTAAGGACTTGTGGTATGTTTTTCAAAACCTAATTATAATTACGTAATTTTAGCGGACTGTTCCCAAATTTTAAATAATTATTAAAAAACAGACAATACAACAATAGTTACTACAACCGGCTGATAAAAGAACAAGAAAGAACGGAAACGTAAAAGAACAAAGAGAAAGAGGAATAGTTGAAGTCAACCGAATCTGGAATGTAACAGTCTTTAAAGCAGGATTTAAAATTAGAACTATTTCATGAAATTACGCTGACATTAATTTCTTAGTAGCAATGATACATACTATCTTTGTTCTATTTTTGAACTGTTTGTTCATTTAATTTTTTCCACATAAGGCGTTAAGATAAAGGAGGTCCTATTCAAATAGACAGAGGAAGTAAATCACCTTAATGATTTTCTCCACGCCCGAGGAGGCGACCAGGCAGTAGTGCGGGTTGTACCGCACCTGGTTCACGATCGACCTGTGGCCGTAGAGCACTATGTGCGGCGGCTCCACCACCGCACCTGTGGATAAATTTGACTAAGCTCACTCACAGCTCATAGTTTAATGTTTTTTTTGTGCGGGGAATAGTGGCGCATTCGTGCGAAAATTAGCTTGAATCTCTAATTTTTTTATTATGCTAAGCGAGCGCCCGGACACTGAAGCTATCACGGCTTATAAAGCACTCAGTACTCAGCGAAAAGGGCTTGCAGGGAACGCATCCCTAATGGAATGTAAATGTATATGTATGGAGCAGACAGCCTGTGTAAGCGTACGAACCGTAATCGCCGCCGCCGTCTGGTACCTTCCACATGTACAGGTTGAAGTCGTCCGAGCCGGAGAGCACGAACTGGTCGCCCTTGCCCGCGAAGCAGCAGCTCTTCATGGTGCACGAGTTGTAGTAGTCCTGGTGGTAGAACTCGGCCACGGGTTCCGGCGAGTGGACCGCGTAGAGGACGGGCGCGAGGCGACGCCGCAGGGCGAGCACGTGCGTGCCCGCAGAGTTGAAGCGGACGCTCATGCTGTTCTGGCACGTTCCGTGGTTGCCCGCGTAACGGAGGACCGGGCTGAGGGGGTTTTGTCGATGTGAAAACCTCTATGGGCACATTGGGCAATTTCGGATGGGGAAAAATTCTCAGAGTATGAGCACGTGCGTGCCCGCAAAGTTGAAACGGAAGCTCATGCTGTTCTGGCACGTTTCGTGGTTGCCCGCGTAACGGAGCACCGGGCTGAGGGGGTTTTGTCGATGTGAAAACCTCTATGGGCACATTGGGCAATTTTGGATAGGGAGAAATACCCAAAGAGCAAGCACGTGCGTATTTGCTGAGTTGAAGCTGATGCTCATTTTGTTCTGTTACGTTCCATGTTACGACGAGAGGTTATCAAAGTGAAAACTTCTATCGGCACGTTAGGCAATTTTGGAAGGGAAAAAAATTTCCATGTTGTCAGCGTAACACCGGGCTGAGGAGGTTTGATTTAAGTGGAAACCTCTATAGACACGTTAGGCAATTGATTTAACAACGTACCAAGAGGTTTTTACTAGGTAAAAAAGCCACATTGGCCAATTTTGCATGGGAATAATTGATAAGTTCGCGTCACCGGTATGCTAATGTCACGTGTTTTGTCGTTTATACTGACGTTCGATGTCCAGCGTTCCACAACAGCGCCATTTTCAAGGCATTTCCTGCCTCTCACAATCACTCTGTGGAACCAGCTGCCGCCGGCGATCTTTCCGAACCATTACGAGCTAGGAACCTTCGAGAAGAGAACATACTCTTTTCTAACAGGCCGGCAATGCATTTGTAAGCCCTCGGGTGTTACAGGTTTTCATGTGCGGCGGTAATCACTTACCATCAGATGAGCCTCCTGCTCGTTTGCCCCCTTTCTCCGCAAAAAACGTTCGCACAACAAAGTTCATATTGACATTTAACATATAAAGTGGAGGATACACGACATGTATTATGAACATGGAACTTATACGAACAAAACCCACTTCATATTCAATTTACAATGTTCCATATCGAAGCCGGTTTAGTATAATAACGTCTGTACATCATATATTGATAAATCGCAAAGGTTACATAGGCCGCATTGTTAATACACATAATTATGTAAACATAACAAATACCCAAACAATGACTGCCTTATTACTAAAAATAAACTATTTAATTTACATTGAAGTGACGCTTAATCTTTTTGTGATGATTTAATTGGCGGTGATTAAACATCTTAATATTTTTCAAAGGTGTTTTTGTCGGTGCGTCATAACTTCCATAAATCTTCATCAGGGTGAATGATTGTAACAGCATATGTCTACCGCTATTGACTAATAATAGACAAGAATAAAGTTAAGGTTTTAATTAAAAAAAAATTATGTAACGATTTTATGATAATGCCATCTATTGACAATTTCCTTTCATTGATATTTTAATTCGTCTATCATTAAATACTTATTTAGACATTATTATGTTACGGAAGAAGCATGATAGACATTAACCAACATGATGGCATAAGGGTTCCCTCTTTCATTTTGAGGTCAGGAACCCTAAAAACTTACTGCTTTGGCGATCGGAGGTCCCATAGGGCGACGCCGTCGCGCGCGTTCGCCGACACCAAAACGCCCACCTGTTGCGGGTGGAACATGACGCCGTGGAACGCCTTCCGACTCCGCGATATCACCAGCGACTCTTGAAGAACGGAATCAAAACAATATGTCTCTGAGACACGATGTTATTGTGACGCCCGGTTTCTGAAACACTGATCATCTTTTAAAATCGGAATGATTTTCTTAATGATAAGAATGATCAATTCAAAGAGTTTAACATTCCCTTTGGCAACTCAAATAACAAATAACAAACTCAAATAACATTTGAAAATCCATTTGACAGCTGATTAGTTGACTTCTACGATGATCAGTGTTTCAGAAACTGGCCGTGAGTCTTTTAAAAACTTCTGTCTCATTTATAAAAACCGATAACTGATAGACAAGAAAGGTTCTCTATGGTAGCCTCTTATTGACCATCGTAGATCCCCACAAGATGGAATGGCGACCTGTGCAAATGTGTGGGAAGTGAATGGATGCTTCGTGGCTGTCTGTGGGGACGTAGACTCGATGGCGCAGTCGATAAGATATTAGCTTCGACGCCGGGCTTCGCAGATTCGATTCCCACCCTTAGCAATGTATATGCGTGCACCTCATATAATTGTTTCGGTTCTAGCTGATTATTCCCAAGGACGGTGACGTCAGATAGGCGGCCATAAAAACACTAGCTAATACTATTAATAACGGCATGATTCATATGTTGTGCAGACCCCATCTAGATGGGATAGCGGCAGAAGACAGACGGAGATAAACATCTTAAGGTTCAACCACAAAAGATGGTACTATAAACAAGATGCTAGAATGTTAGAAAAACATTAGGCAGGTCCGATCGAGATCTCGGTTCCAGTAATTCTCGGCTAAAAATCAAGCTGAGTTCTCGGTCTTGTTCTCGGCCTATAATCGCCGAGAATATCGGCCATGGCCGAGACTGCTCGTGGCCCGGTATTCGGCAAATTAGTTGTTTTTATTTAGATTTAGAACTTATCGCTCTAAATTTACCGAATAATGCCCTTTTGACAACGACAACTTTTGATAAAGACATTGAAACACGTTGGAATAGCACGTATTTGATGCTAGAAAGTTTGGATGAACAAAAAAATTGTCAGAAATTTCTATCGCAACGAAGGAGCTCATTGAAGAAATTAATAGTGAAGAATAGAATTGTCTAAAAAATTTTGTCACATTTATTATGCTTGCTTTTATCCAGCGACAACATATACGCATAACCAAACGAAAAGATGAGTGACATCATATCGATATGATATTATTTTGAATGAATGACAAACAGACCACTTGGCTCGAGAGCGTGGGGATGTCCACAATAAAGGAATAGAAGCCCATTCAACATTTATTACACTGAGATATTTTACGAAGCTATCATTGGCGTAGCATGAAATTAAATAACAAATTTTGAGTTTACATTTAATATTAAACGTGACTTTAACAGACGATTTATCGAAAAAAATTCGACGATATCAGAATTGATCTCTGCGGCTTATGTGCAATGTGCCCCGGCGCTCTAGCCTACTGCGCTAACTTCATCTTCAGTACTAGCACTAAAAATAAAATATAACTAAAAACAATATTAAACTCTCTTAAAAAGGTGGTAATATAGAAGGCACATTGTAATGTGCCTTTACAGTATATAGTAGGGAAAGAATTTTGCCAATATACATTCCATATTACGGAATAACATTTTATGTATCAAAACAACTTAATTTGTGATAAAATAAGATCGTTACAATTTTTATATGGAATTTGAAATCTATATACCTACATAGTTATACAAACTTTATACATATTTTTAATGCCATACAATAATATCGGCACTGCATTATACAGACAAAAGTGCTATATCTGATTCCGTTTGTTATGTTGTTAGACTTAAGATACCTATTTATCTCATATACCGTTCACTCTTAGTCCACTATAACTGTTTGTGGCAAAAGAGCAGTTGGTTCAACTGATGTCAAGTGAGTGCCATCAGATGAACAACCGAAGTTTGCGTTGCCAACTTTCAAAAAAGGGATAATACTTCCATTTCAAACCGGTCTTCTGTGAGATCGTGGTACTTCGACGCCAGTCTGCGAATGACTGCAACAGCGAAAGCTACCATCCAGATAAAAGTAATTTTACTCTTACTAATAATGCCGCCAGATATAGTATATGTAATGTAACAGCCTGTACATATCCCACTGCCGAGCAAAAGACTCGTCTGTACAGAGGGTACACTGCAGATTGGCGGACTTCACATATCTTCGAAATATTTTTTTGTTATTATTTCGAATATATGCAGGTTTCCTCACGGTGTTTCCTTCGCCGCTGAGCAATTAACAATTTCTTTGGTGTCGGCACCGGGGATCGAACTCAGGTTGCTCGGCTATATTGAATTAAATGCAAGCGCCCGGGCACTGAGCTATCACGGCTCTCCAGATATAGTATTAAATAAATTATATGTATACTTTCTTGGTTTACAATAAAGTATATTCATTCTCTACTCTACGTACATGATAGGTGTTACATATTATTATTGCTTGCCGTTCTAGACACCCGTATTGTGTTACGTAATTGAATCACAATCGGCTAACTCGATAAGATAACCTAAAATTACATTTGACGTGCACCACGTACAAACAGCTGTTGCGATGATTCAACTCTTTACTCTTTAGTATTGGAATAACTCTATTTTTGGAGCGGAACATTTATAAAACATTTCACTCAAAATATGGAAAATAACGACAAAACAGTATAAGTTCGTATTTTAAACTGACTTCAAAAAAGGAGGAGAATTTCAAATCGGTTGTATTTTTTAAATGCTTGTTACCTCAGATTTCGTTAATTTATTACCCGATATTATAAACTTTATATTGTGTTGGGTTCCGTTTAGCTACCATGTCCCCTATTAATTTCAATGCTATTGTATCTTGGATTCCGGGGATACACCACAAAAACGACTAGAAAATGTATACTGAAGTCGATTTTGTTCTTTGTTAATAAAAATGTTATAATATTTTTATCTATACTACAATTAATTATTTATACTTTAAATAATTAATTGATAGCCGGCCGTGATAGCTCAGTGTCCGGGCGCTCGCCTTTAATTCAATATACTCGAGCAACCTGAGTTCGATCCCCGGTGCCGGCACCAATGAAGTTTTTAACTTTAAGTGCTGTCTTATCACGTGCTCCGCGGTGAAGGAAAAACATCGTGAGGAAACCTGCATATTTTCGAAATAATAACAAAAAAAAAATATTTCGAAGATATGTGAAGTCCGCCAATCCGCAGTGGGGCCGCGTGGTGGACTATGCCCTGATACCCTCTATATAGAGGAGGCCTTTGCCCAGCAGTGGGACATGTATAGGCTGTTACTTTACTTTACTTTAAATAAATTATTAAATTTAATCACAGAAGTGGAGGTATTGGACGTTGTATTTCCCCAGTCGAGGGAGCCTATTAAAGATACGATACAGAAAAACCTGTGGGGGTCTACCACAGTGGAAAAATGTCAAAACCTAAATCAAAGAAATTTTACTTTGATATTACGAAGAATTTGAAATAACTTATATGAAAACTTCTGATCATAGTTCATGCTGTAACTACACGACGATACAATGATTTTCCAAAATGCCGAAAAAAAAAAAACATTTTACTGACTTTAACTATTAAATTTTACCCTTTTAAAATTACAATTATTCGAATTTGATTTTAAATTTACAATTTTAAAACTGGCCTGCTCGATTGTCGAGGTACCACTGCCATACGAAAGACTGGTGTACATTCCATAGAAGTATTTGTACTTTACGTTTCGTCCAGAGAATAAGGTGTTGGCCCACTCCCTAAGGGTTGACTAGTGCTAAAGTGCTTGCTACTTTCCATTATGAAAGGGAAATTTTCTGACAGGTTCTAATTAAACGTTTATGATTTACGACGGCTTAATAATGAGTTCTGCCACTGTCTAAGACTAGTCACTGCCAATGGTATGACAAGTTTTTCCAAACTTAGAATTCGATCCAAAGTTTATAAAACAAATTTAAGATGTAATGTTTGATTAAAATTAAATAAAACGTAATTAATTATTAACGCTTGTCGGTATATACACCATTCTATTCATAATTCGACGTAAGAAAACCGCTGCAACCCACAAAACATTGACTTTTTACCGGAACCGTAAAATATTACAATACTAAAAAGTCATAACTTCAAAAGTTGCATATTTCTCTATTCAACCGACTGCAAAAAAGGAGGAGGTTCTCAATTCGTATTTTTTTTGTGATTGAATGTACCGATTTTGATGATTCTTTTTTTATTTGAAATCTGTTGTGCTTCCCATGTGGTCCTTCCAATACAAAATGAAATTAATATTACTTTCATTTTGTATTGGATAAATTATTTAAGTAATATTACTTTCATTTTGTATTGGGATCTGCGGCGATACTTAGGGAACTGCTGAAAATCAATACAGACCGAGATATTTAAAGTCGGTTTTGTTTTTCGTTAATGAAAAAATTTACTTACGTAGCTTGTAAAACGCTACGTATTATTTGTACATAACTACCACTTTTGTGTTGTTTTACCTATATGTTCACATGTTATTGGAATGGTTAATGCCCGTGATTAAATGAAATGGGTATAGAAAACTCATAACCGTCTAATTTTAGGACAGCTATGTGCTAATCACTTTGTACAAGTCTATTTAATCTTTTATGTGACAAGTGAAAAGCATACCTGGCGGGTGTCCAATTTAGGACTAAGTTATGAAGTTTATAAAAAAACATTTTAGGTGTCGATAATAATGAAAAAAAAAACTGTGCGAAAATAAAGAAACATAATATACCATTGACTATTACCAAATATGACCATTGACTATTTTTCATCATTTGAAATTTTATTAGAACAGTATTCCTCACTTTATAGTCACACCATTATAATGGGAGATTTCAATACTTGTCTCCTTAAAAATGACAGTAGGCCGCTTGAAATCTCTCGTGAATGGCACTAACATGCAAATACTTCCTCTTTCAGCTACTCACGCATTTCCCAATTGCGCGCATACTCTTCTGGATCTTATACTTGTTTCTTCCATTGACCATGTTGCAAAGTATGGACAATGCGATGCTTCCGCTTTCTCGTATCATGATTTACTTTACCTTTCCTATAAAATAAAGCCTCCTAAAGCTAAGCGAAGGATCTTTCTCCAGCGCAATTTTAGTAGAATGGACCTGGATCAGTTGCGCGAAGATACTGCTAAAATCGACTGGTCAGTAGTTTCGGGTGCTGATACAGTTGATGAGCAGATATCTATCTTTAACACCTTACTCACACAACTGTATGACATTCATGCTCCAATTCACCCACTTCGAATTAAGCATCTTCCTGCCCCCTGGCTTACTGCGGATATAAAAAAGTTGCAAGAAAAAAGGAACATTGCGAAAATTAAATATCGTACGAATCCTAATGATTCCAATCGTGAGAAATATCATAGGGCACGAAATCGCTGCAACATGGTGTGTAGAGATAGTCAACGACGCCATATCTATAAATCTGTTGTTGAAGAAAATGATTCAACTAAAGTTTGGAACTTCCTCAAATCTTTAGGAGTTGGAAAGGCAAAGCAAAATGTAAATTCTTCTAATTTGGACTTAAATAACCTTAATAGGCATTTCCTTTCTTCTGCTACTATAGATAGTACAATGAAAAAGAATACTATTAGTCAACTTTCTGCTATATCAACTCCTGCCTTCTCCTCTTTCTTCTTTATCCAAGTTACTGTCAGTGATGTTAAAAAGAACATTTTAGCCATTACTTCTGACGCAGTTGGTTCCGATGGCATTAGTCGTAAGATGATTATCCCTATACTCGACCTTCTAGCTCCTATCATTACACACATTTTTAACCATTCCCTTGATTCTAGTGTTTTTCCCTCGTCCTGGAAAGATGCCCAAGTAACTCCACTCCCTAAGAAATCCAATCCTACATATGTAGACTATCGTCACATATCCATCCTTTCCTTTCTGTCTAAAGCACTCGAGCGCCTTGTACACCAACAACTGAGTAAATTCCTATATAATAACAACCTATTAAATTTATTCCAGTCTGGCTTCCGTCCCGGTCATAGTACGACAACTGCTTTAGTTAGAATCACTGATGACATTCGGCTGGGTATGGACAATCAACAAGTTACAGTCTTGACATTGCTGGATTTCAGTAATGCCTTCAATACTGTAGACTTTGATGTTCTGCTCGCTGTCCTCAGTTCTTTTAAGATATCTCCTGCGGTAATTGGTTGGTTTCGTAGTTACTTGCATGGACGCCGGCAGCGTGTAAAAATTCAAGATACATTTTCTGACTGGTCTGCAGTCAAGGCTGGCGTCCCGCAAGGTGGCGTGTTGTCTCCTCTATTATTCTCTACTTTCATCAATTCGATCTGTTCCCGCATTACTTCTACGCAGACCACCTATATGCAGACGATTTACAAATCTACTCTCGATGTAAGATTGCGGAATTACCCAATACAATTGGCTTAATTAATGAGAATCTTACCCGCATTTCTCATTGGCGTAACTCGTTTGGGCTTAAAGTTAATCCATCGAAGACCCAAGCTATTATTGTTGGGAGTACGAAATTAATTCTTTTTCTACCGATCCTTGACTACGCGGACACTTGTTATCCGGATCTATCTGTGGAGCAACTTAATAAACTTGAGCGGCTTCAAAATTACTGCATAAGGTTCATATTTGGGTTGCGAAAGTATGATCATATCTCCGAATTCCGCCATAAGCTCGAGTGGCTCCCGATTCGTCTTCGCAGAAATACTCATATTCTTTATCTTCTTTACTGCATTTTGTTCAATCCCACCACTCCTCATTATTTAAAAGATCAATTTATATATCTAAATGATTTACACTCTTTTTCTCTACGTTCTCAAAATAATTTTCTACTAAGTACTCCTAGTCACTCCTCTTGCTAATTCTTTTACGGTTTCTGCTATACGTCTTTGGAATTCTCTTCCTTTAGATATTAAACAATCTAAATCTCTTCACATTTTTAAAACTAAATTAAAATGTCATTACCTATCCTCTTAATATACTATCTGTCGTCCATCATATATCTTTTTCTTTTTCTGTCTATATATATATATTTTTTGTGTATTTACTATGCTTATTATTTGTTTAGTACACCCTACCACTTTCTTCTTTTAATGAATCCTCTGCCCTAAGGTTGCCTGGAAGAGATCGCTGTTTTAGCGATAAGGCCGCCTGTTGTACCCATGTGTCTTTAGTTATAAATCCTTTATTTCTACTGGTGTACAATAAAGTATATTTTACTTTTACTTATACCAGTTAAGGCGGCCAGGATGAATCATGAAATATATTATCATAACTAGTGATAAGCGGCTATGTGCTTTTTATGCATTTGACTAAGGCATTCCCTGCTTTATCTTATTAGCTTGGGTTGAATAATGCTACTAAAGTGAGAATTATACTGAATTCACCGGGGATAGGGATTCTAATCCTGATCCAACCAAGGAGCCCAAGAGAACCTTGATACTACATTATATTGAGCGATTTCAATAGGTGTTACCTCCTTTGATGTCAAATGTGCTTTGGGTCTCAATGATTAGTGGACCAGTTCATTTTTTTTAATGCGAAAAGTTGTCAAACGAGCAGACGGTTCACCTGATGTTAAGTGAATATCGCCGCCCATGGACATCTGCCACACCCGAGGGTTACAGATGCGTTGACAACCTTTGGAAAATTGGGCTCCGGCTACCTCACTCACCAGACGAAACGCGAAAGTATTTGTCATACTTCCACTTTACGCTGGTCTTCTGTGAGGTCGTGGTAGTTACCCGGACGGGCCTGCCCATTCGTGCAACAGCCGAGGCTGCTGCGTGGCCCTACCACCGTAGAGATTCTATAGGTCATTCTATAGGAGTTTTAAAAATTTCACCTCAATAAACAAATTTGAAATCCTTAAAAAACTTTATAATTTCGTAGTACCTATATGGACGTATTAAACATATATGTTCAGAAATAATACATATTATTGTCTTGATTGTACTACGCCTTATCCAGAAGGAAAAATGCGTTAAACGTATTCAGAATGGCGCGTGAACGATGCGAATTACTTAGATAGAGCGAAAGGTGGTTTTGTTGTTTGCCCTTAATATAATAGCATAACACTTTAATAACAAATTACGATGCTCATTTTAATTTGTTTATTCTGGCCTGTTTTATTTAATAAGTAAATCTTGTAAATTTAGTAAATATTGCCTTATTGAAACTATACTTCAAATTGTTTCCATTAAAAATGTTATTTCATTAAATGAAGCCAAGAATATAGCAAAGACCTAATTGCTATTCTTAATACTTACATAACTCAAAAAAAATGGATAAGTATCAATTGAGCATTTACATTTGTAATTAACAAGCCTGACATTTATTTTTTTTTTATTTTATGCGAAAAGTTGTCAAACGAGCACACGGTTCACCTGATGTTAAGTGAATACCGCCACCCATGGACATCTGCCACACCCGAGGGTTACAGATGCGTTGACAAACTTTTGAAAATTGGGCTCCGGCTACCTCACTCACCAGACGAAACGCGAAAGTATTTGTCACATTTCCACTTTACGCTGGTCTTCTGTGAGGTCGTGGTACTTACCCGGACGGGCCTGCCCATTCGTGCAATAACCGAGGCTGCTGCGCGGCCCTACCACCATAGTACTTTCCATAAATGTACTGCTAAGTATATCTATTTATGGTAATAAAACGAAATCAAATAATGTATTTTTACAAAAGGGACTTACAATTTTAGAGATAGCTCTACATGTATACAACTTATGTGCAACATTTATGAATGAATTATTTCTTTGTTTATAAACCTCTACAACCACTCTTCATTAAGGTTTTGACAAACCAAATAGTGTAGTGTATAGTGGATGCATCTATTGTGCCAGAGGGTGTTTTGGATCCCCACTACTTGAAAAATATTGTGTGATGAACATAGTGTTTTTCTAGTTTCTAGGTGTTTAAACTTTTTACATCTATAATATGTATTTATTTACCAAATAAAAAGTATGTTTATGAGTTACCTAGTATCCATAGTCTAAGCTGTGTTTAGTAACATAATGTTGTGTACAAAAAGAAACAAAAAAAAAGAAATTGTTCTATTAATTCTTATCATTACATATTATTTATAGATATTAATGAAGTTTTAAAATTTTAAGATGACTGAAGGCTAAAATAACTATCAATAAGAATAAACGCATCTATCTCATTTTGTGCCTTTCTGAGACTGAATTTAAAATACTCCTACTTGTAAACCAAATTTGTGCACAAACATTATCATAAGGGGCCAACAACAAGTAATTTAAATTTCTTCAGCTCTTGAATAAAAAGGATGAATTTTAACACATTGGCTCCATGCATCAAACTTTACGAAACAACTTTTATGTATTGGTACAAATTGTAACATAAGAAAAAACACCATGCACTCTCCCTTATTTTACCCTCTTGCCAACTGCTCCCTCTGAGCTTTCTAAAAATTGCTTGGTAACTGATAAGGGGGGTCAACTAGCACACTGCAATTATACATGACATCATTTATTGCTTTTTCATTTACTTATTCTCAAACACAGTCAATTTTTTTCAGAAGCATGTTGTTAAATGTAAATTTTAAAAAACTTCATCACCTTCCAGTATCCAATAACGTTTCATTTATATACATATTCACTGGAATATGTTTATAAATGCATACTAATACATATATTAAAACGACACTTCCACTCACCATGAACAGACTGCCTAGTATCAAAAAGAAGCAGTCGACCATCATTCCCGGCCGTTGTTACTACCCGTTCATTGAATGGGTCTATGCTCAGGCTGCACACGGCTCTCTGGTGTTGGAGTACCTCTAAGGGGCATTTGCTCTCTAGGTCATGCACTATCACCTGTAGGGCACAGACATAACACATGGCAATTCATTGCTTTGTAGCTCTTGTATATTTCATTGTTGTTTCTCTTGCATTAAATAGTAATACTATTAATGTCTCACATTTCACCTAATGTTCACACTAGTGTAAGGGAGAACTTTTCTTTTTTTTAATTTAAAATTAAAGTATATATACTGCTTATGCTTATATTTTTTTGCCACCAAGCAGTTTTCTTCACTACTACAAGTTATAAAAAACATTGATAGAACTCATTGACAACAATTATTAGACTATTGTTACAAAGTAATTCCACTATTAGGTATTTAACATTAAAAAACAATTCAATATTATCCATATAACACTTACAATGTCGTCATTCCCACCAGAATATATTTTCTGATTGTCATTTGTAATGCCAAGGCAAAATATATTTGACTGGTGTACTGCTTTCATAGGTATTGGCTTTCCACAATCAAGTATTGCTTGGCCAAACTGCCATAGCATAACTCTCCTGTCATCACCCCCTAAAACATGGCAAATAGTCTCAAATTATATTGAAAATCCAAAATGAAAGAAGAAAATAAAAAATGGGTAAATAACATCCAATTGTGGTATAAAATAAATTTCTAAGAGTAAGATTAATCAGAATAGAAAGGATAAATGAACACTGGGAAACCTAAACGAAAAAATAAGTAAGAAAAGATAAATAAAATGAAATATCAGTTACAAACACATTCCTTAAATTTACAGAAACCAAGATTTAATTCAATTAAAACTTTTAATAAGCATAAATTATTAAATTTTACAAAAAACCCAACTGCCCAACTGTCTTTTTGAAGACACCAAATTGAAATAATGTGCCTTAAATCGTTCTAAAGGTTTATTTGCAGTGTGCCAAAGAACTTGACATATATGCATACAGAAATAAATAAACTCGAAAAACATTATCCTTTATTGCTGTTTAAAATATTGGAATAGCTTAATTACCACTAGATTGTCTTTTAAAGCTACTTTAGCAAAGGCACATTTATATATTCATTTTATATCTAATATTTTATTTAAGAAGAAAGGTACAAATTTAACTGCAGCAGGCTAGTATAAGGAAATCTTAAGGTTCGCACACATTAGCATTTATTTTCATTAATCCTCACATAATCTATGTATGTGTATTAAATGCTCAAATTACAATTACATATTCCCTGTGTACACATGAATTATGTTGAGTAACATGCTAGCTTTCAATTTATTTTTTTATTAACTGTTTATAATTTTGAAGAATACTATTTTATAATACATTCAGATTTCATTTACAAACAATGAGTAAATTACGTTAAAATATGGATTACACAAAAAATATAATACGAGTTAATTACGAATAAAAACATACGAACTAAATTTTGAATTTTTGATATCAAGGGAAGGATACAATGGTTATTTTAATAAACTCATTATTATTTATTTATTCTTTTTTTAAACTTAGGAACAAACCTGTAGCAATAAATTTTAAATACATGATTAATAATACAAAATCAATTTACCTGATACAAGTAACTCGCCATTGCTTGAAAACTCGATAGCGTTTACACATCCGAAATGGCACACCAAGTCCCGACGATATAAATTTTTAGCTGCATTAAGACGTTTGTTGAATAGTTGAGATTTAAGATCAGGGATAAGTCCGTATTCTCTTTTAGTTAAATAAGGTAAGGGATTCGCAACATTCGCCATGTTTAGAGTATTACCACCATTTTCCAGCTCTCCAGTACATAGTACACTTCTTTCTTCTTTGACGATCAGCTGTATTTTATTTTTAAAAACACTTAACGTTCCATTATACAAAATTGATTAGGGTTGGCCGAAATGTCATTTTCTGTGATGTAAAATGCGTTCAGCACAAGCCATGAAATTATTTACAGAAAATAGCTAATAACGCAGAAAACTGTAAATTGTATGGTGATTTTTTTGTATTAAAAAAATGGAATAAGCTTTAAAATCTCAATTATTATATTGGTATTTTGTGATATTGCCTGTTTTGTCTGTTTTAGAACCGTGCCATTTGACATTGACAATATTTCTGTTCTGTCAAATCAACCGCAGCGCAGAAGCACGTGTGTTGTGTTGTGTGATGTTTTTGTTGCGGTTACAGTAGTCATAAAATTGCGGCAGACAAAAGTAAATTTTCTTGTTAATTTAGTTGATTTGATACTAAAGATTTTTTTCGGTTGAATGAGATCAAGTCATCGTTTGTACGGCAAAACATGGTTGTTTCTACAATGACTAAACCTGCTGTTAAAGTAACAGGTAATTTTCTTAAAATATTACATACAATAACAATTAACATAATATAAATGTTGTATTAATACATTTTCATAGTGTCCGACTCCGGCTCTGATAACGAAAATGAAGAATCCGAATACGAAGCGGACGATAGTGACGAAGAACAAAATTCAGCGAAAGAATCATTCGAGCATAGTGAAAGTGACGAAGAACCCGTCATGATGACAAACGAAGGCTGGGCTGATTCAGTAGCCAAGATTTTGAGTTCGAGTAAACCCAAAAATAAGAAAACATTAGTATTATCTAGGGCCAAGAAACATTCTGAGATAGTTAAAAAGGAAATTGTAGAAAAACCAGCTTTTGAAGTAGTTGGTAAAACTGAAGAAGTTAAACCTGAAATAAAAAAGGAAGAAACTGTTTCAATAGAGCCTCCAATTAAGAAAAAGGTAGGATTCAAACATTATTTTTTAATTTGAATTATTTTATTGCATTATTATTATTCACTCTGTTTTGGCTGACACAAATTAGAAATCAAGAGCATAGTACTTACTTGCTTAATTATGTTATGATGTATTGATATCTTATTATCATGGATATATTTTGCATTTAATTTGAGAAATCTTTCCATTTCAGAGACATGAAAAATCAACCATTCGAATAAAACCTAACATTTTGGAAAAAGACAGAGAAAGGCTTCTATCCAAGATAGCTACAAAGGGTGTGGTGCAGTTATTTAATGCAGTAAGAAATCAACAAAAAACATTGGAAAAAGAATTGGACAAAGATTTAACTGAAGCCAAGAAAGAGAAGATTTTAAAAAAATTTGATAAGCGAGCATTTTTGGACACCCTTATGGGTCAGACAAAGTCAATTATTGTAGATGAACATACGCAAAATTTGAAGAAAGAAGTTAAACCTGAAGATCAAAAACCAAAATGGAATGCATTAAGGTATTTTAATTAATACACACTACATTTTCAATGCACATACAATTTTAAAGAAATTAATGTGAAGTTGGTGACACTGAACATATTAAACACTACATGTGTGTTTGATGCAGAAACCTAGGCAGGCAATCTTAATTAAACATTAATTATTTTCCACAAAGGTATCACATCTCTTCTACATCCATAAACACTTACAGAAACTTATCATGAATTATTTATTTATATTATTACTATTAGTTTATGTTTAAGTCATAATTTTTAATCATTATGACTGCTGTTAGTTGTTTTTGCACTCAATTATTGGACAGTTTAATTATGCACTTTTTACTGTATAAAATTTATACCCCTTTTTTCAGGGATGATTTTATGATGGGAGCAAAAATGAAAGACTGGGATAAAGATCCCGAAGAGGAATGATAATAATACAAGTTTAATTGATTTTAAGTATGTACATAAATTTATATATTATTAAAACAACTTAAGCTTACATTTTCTTATTATTTACTGATGTTCACTTAATGCATAATGTATAAGCATCACTGCCCACTGAATGTTGTGTTATTTGCTTGGGTAATGTAGAATAAATTTTCACAGGAAGATTCCATACCATAGTCTCTATGGGTACATTGAGTGGTGCATTCCAATCCATTTCATCTGGATTTGGGGAAAGGTTTTCATTTGTAGTCACAAACTCGAAATGCAGACGCCATCTCAGTGACACTGAATAATAAGAAATAGTTACTTATCATTATAGACATCTAGAAAAATTATGTAATGATACAAGGGATGTGGCAATTGTTAGTAACCCTTTAGAGAAGGAACTAAAAACTATTACCTATTTTTTGCACTACTTTAATATGAAACAAATTGACATATATATTTCTGTTAACAATTTTGAAATCAGCTATAAAACTATAATTAAAAAGAAAGTCATCCTAGATCTTACAGGTTTTCTGTAATGGTGATAATATAGGACTTATTGCATCAATATGGAATAGGAATGAAGTTATGAAAACAATTATATTGGTGTAGTTAATGAAGAAAAAAATTTATTGTAATTAAATACTCATAGAGAGAATAGAATTATGGTAATTAAATTCTCTTTTTTGTTCAAGTTCATTTCAGTTGTAGTGAATTATGCCATTTTATGCCATTTTAAAAATTATTCTTTTCTTATTCATCCTTGTGTACATACTGTGAATTGGTAATTATTATACAATTTAAATGAGATAATATATATGGAATGAAGTAAAAATCTGGTACCTATCTCTTTTTATATTACCTCAAAGGCCTAAAGACTAACTCTCAAATCATTATATATATGAATGTTGTTGGGGTAATTTGTCATATACTAGTCTTTTAACCTATTTAGAAGTATTGACATCAGAAACGTTTTTGAAACCAATGGACCAAAGATTGATTATACCTTCATTTACATCAAATGCTGGGGTGATATGCAGTGGAATTGGGAGTATGAGCTCAGAATGTGTTAATCCAAGAGTGACTTCATGGTACCTCGCCACTGTCATTGATCTACTACTTGTGTCCTTGCTCATATTCTTTGTTGCATTGTGAGATTTCACTATTTCTTCTGGTTGTAGTGAAACGGAGACCTGAATAAAAATGATACGACTATTCTTATTGACTATGTGCATTATTATGACAAAGACTTAAATAATTATGTATAAAAAGGACATTTTTAAATCTAGTAAAAATTATTAGATGAAAATACTTTATTGTCATTGTTAGTGTTGCAATTACTAAAGACGAAGAGTGTCATAAGTAAAGCAAATACGTATTTGATGGCATCAAGATTTTTTGATGTATGAAATATGTAAAAAGTTAAATGTCCAGTAAAAAATTGCATACCTGCATGCATCTCACGGTGCCTACAGAAAAATCAAATGTTCCAACTATATCTTCTCCCAATTTGTAAGCAGATTTAAAAAGACAGAATCTTCCAACCTTCCCTCTGGTGTTAGTTATCATATATGAATTTGGACTCCTTCGGGCTGTAAGATTCTATAAGAACAAAAAAAAAGTACATAAAAGAAATACTGTGAAACTGTTTACATTAATGAAAAAATGCCATTGCATGCAGTAAATAAAGAGAAAAATTATAAAAATAATTCATTAACAAAAAAAATTGAAAAATGTGAAAATCCCACAGTGAGCCTCAAGAATATTCCATCTAAATAAAATCAAGTGTTAAAAATATACATTGTCTTTTTAATTGTTTTTGATAGGTTTCAAGGAGTTTAATTCTAAGTGGTGCAATTTAAATTTATGAAAAACATGAATTTTCTTATTTGCCTTACTTGTAAGATTTGTAGAGCCATTGTTAATGGTGTTTCAACTTTTCTTTCTTCAGAAAATGGATTTGTTGGCTGCAATTCCTCAGTTGTCTCATTGCCACAGAGTGCTGCCAAGTCTTGCATATTCATAATCGGACTTATGGGTAATACTCTGAATGGTATTCTCACCATTTTTATGTGTGAGCCAACTTTTTGGGTGGCTATTGTTATTTTGTATGAATACTTTACTGCTGTCCCCCTATATGATGGTGCAGCTTCTATCGGCAGTGATTCTCTATACCAAACTGTAAAATATGAATGTATAAAAAAAATAATTGATATAAAGCACTCTCTTACTATTCGATAATGTAGTATTCAAAAGTTTAATGAAAAATAAGGAACAAACCTTTTACATATTTTTCATTTACTTACATGTTTTAGATTCACCTAGTGGAATTGTTAGGTCACAAAATAATATTTTGGGTTTAGTGTGAAAGACTACATCTCCAATATCACATGATGTTACTTCCAGAGCAGTTGTTTTTTCAACAGTAACAGACTTATCGGCTGAGTTACCTGAAGTCGAGTAGAAACAGTGTATTTGAGCAGAAGCCCATGCCAAATTTTCTAGAATATCACTAAAAAAAGAAAAGGATTTTTAAGAATGTATTATAATCTCTGTAGTAAATTTGTAATGTTTATTATCATTACCTGTGACTTTGTGAATTTCTGTGCTCCGGTTGTGTAGTATGACAAAATGTAATGCAACATTCTAATGCTTCACCAGCCAAATAAACGGTACCTGTAGTCAACTTTGCTGAAAGTTCAATCATTTCGATAATGTCTGAATTTCTTGCACAGTATCAAAAATGGATTTATATTTTTAAGAATTTTTATATTTTTCTAGCATTTTTGTTATACGTGGGTGTATAATTACGTTATGTTAGGAATACACTCGTAACTCATAATCGTTGAATTGTTGATTGACTTGACAACAGTCAACAGATCTATTGACATCTCATCTCATTCAGTCAATTGTCAACAATCAACAAATAGTAGCATAGACTAAAATAAAACCGTTTAAAAACTTTTAAGTTAAACGGTTTTATTTTATGTTTTATTTTTTGTAAAATTTTTTTTTGTTAATATTTTATTGTCATCTAAATTAAATGTGTGTACCAAATTTCAGATCAATCTGACAACGGGAAGGTGCTTAAATTTTAATTTCTAATTTTGACCCAAATAAATAAACAAATTCCGTACGTGTCGAGCTAAATAAAAGCGTTTAAAAATATTAATAAAGTACAAAATAAGTAAACAACATAGTAACAATATTTACATCTCAAATTATCAGGACCAGGCCTTAAAATCTTTATTAAAAAAAATATCAAATTGTCAGGGTAGGCTCTACTCGATACACAAATTAATAAAAAATATAAACTTTGCTTCTCTCAGTTACTAAAGCAGCTCAGCAAATTATATCTTATATCATATTATCTAAAAAAAGAGTGGCTTGGAACAATAAATTCAATTCAATTTTATTTATGTATGTGTCTAAAATATAAGTATTTAATTTATATTTAATTTTTTCTTAAACATTCTATTAAATATGAATAATAATATACCGTTAAATGAAACGCAACTTGTAACGAACCAAGTTGATTTGAATGAGCAATTTCAGAATCCTGAATCAGTTTTCACAAATGATTACAAAAATATATACGGACCTAAAATGTTAATATCAGACGGCATTAATCACGGAAAATTACAGTCTATCATTGTTGGTGAATTGAAAAAGGCTGGATTAAAGCACAGATTGAAGAAGATCATCTTAAAAAATGTGAAAGTAAATATTTCCGGTTGCAAAATTTGTGTATTTATAAACGGCTGTAGTATAGAATAATCTCACAAAGATAAGTCTTTCTTACAGGATCACAAAACTGTGTTCGGAGCACCTCTAGTTAAAGTTCCATCGTGTAGTGTAATTTGTTGTGGAAGTACATTAAGTATTCCTATTGTTGTGAGTGAAATGTCATCAGTTCTTCGAACGAATGCTCACGTTGAAGGGTTATTCCGCAAAGCGGGTTCACAAACTCGGCAAAAAGACATAAAGGTATTTAAGTTATGTGTGCTATTAAATATTTTATTTAAGGTGTTTGGTATTTTATATAAAAAATAAACTTGATTTAGGTAATTGGTAAGGACAAACTTATGTCTAAAGTACCGTATGTCTTAAGGCTTACGAATGTTTTATTGTTCTTCTATTTTAGCGATTATTAGATGCAGGTGGATGTGTATCAGAGGGCCATCATCCAATAGATGTTGCTAGTGTCCTGAAATTATATCTTCGCTGTTTGCCTGAGCCCTTAATCAGTGCAGAAGTGCAAGATTTACTTTTAAGATGTAGAGTGACTGCTGGGGAAGATGGCCTTAAACCAATGCTACATACTCTATTACTATTACCAGTATTACATGTCCATTTGCTTCATTACATCATGGAGGTAAAATAGTTGCACTATTTATCTAAGTTTATACTATATACAGTGTGAAGTTACAACCGCAACAATAAATGAACACACATCTAATGCTATTTACCAATAATAATAAAAAAATATAAACATTAAAAAAATACATAATTGAAAAAAATTTTTTTTTCAAACAAACTAATTAAATAAAACAGGAACAAAATTTGTAATATTCTATACAACTATAACTGACTGATTCATACATTCAGAGACTTTTTCATGCGTTGCCACAGCATCGCATTACAAATCTCTCCTTCTAACAGTATGTTTTATCTCTTAAATTCATTCAACCCATTCATATGCTTTGTGACCTTTACAAATGAACTTGACATTACACTTTTATGCGTAAGGGTGTTCTAAAATTGTTTGTTTTTGAAAATTTAATAACTCGGTAAATATTCATGTTTAAAGAGTGTAAATGTTTAATACAATTTTAAAAAGCTATCCCCTATTTGTGTATTCATTTCTTGTCACAGTTGTAACAACACACTGTATATAAATCACAATAGAATTTACTCTTACAATCGGCTGATCAAAATTAATTTTGTTACAGTTTGTACTTAAATAAAACATATAGGGTTGTCTTTAATTATTTTATTCATTGATTAAAAAAACTGAATTAAAACATAAATGTAATAGTTAGATGTTTTCAATATATAGCCAATATTTGTAATGAGATTTTTGACTTGGTAAAAATTATATGATTAATTTATACACCTTCATTCTAATACATTTGTTTATTTTTACATATTTATTAATTGTTCAAATTGTTCAATTTACTTATTTGTTGCACACACATGAATCTCTGTTAAAATATCATAAAAAGCAAAAAATTTAAGATATATAAAAACCCTTTTATATTAAAAATACTGTACATTCCTACTTTTAGCTCCTTAATTTTATTGCATCAAGACACAAGGAAAACTTAATGGACTCATCAAATCTCGCCATAGTGATGGCTCCCAGTATTATGCCCTTACCTGCAGCATCATCAGCTCAGAGGCTTGAGCATCATGTTGCGCTTGTTAAGGTAAAACCAATTAACATATATTTATAACTTGTTGTTTTATTCTATTACAATCACCTTAATCCTGAAAGCATGTGAGTTAGCTCTAGTGCCAAGATTTTTCACCATAGTACAAGCTTTGCTTAGTTTGGGACTAGAAAATGTTGTGTACAAATGTGTCCTAAAAAAATTATTTATTTTATTTTAATACTCCCTAAGTTTAAACCCCATGTGGTCGAAATCCGTTACAATTACGGCGAATTAGTCTGGATTAGTACAAAAAGTGTTTGAACAGATGTCAACTCAGTAATCCAGTTATAACGAGTGACACATTTACTTAAAAAAAAAAACTTGAAGAAATAAACAGCTCTTAATTAAAGCTTTCCATTTGTTTAACGAGTCTCACTTTTTAAGGGTATATTTTCCATTAAAATTAACTTGTTTATCTTGTGTAACTATGTTGTGATGTTGTTGAGTGTAGAAACAAACCTTATCTTTATATTTTTAAAGTTATCGTCATTGATATTCTATCTTAACATTGCTGAGTGCATTTAAAATAAAATAACAAGTACTGGACATTGACCGTTCATCCTGTCACAGGAAATATAACAGATAGTAAATGTGTTGTCTATCATTTGAACATCAACAATCCTGTTAGCTTTGAAAATTGGTATGATTAGATTGTAAAACAAGGTTATTCCTGTCAATATGAGAATGTAGATCTGGTGATGAATGGAGTATATAGTTAAATATCATAAAGTTGCAATATGAAAAAGTCTTAAATGAATAGGGAAACCCTGTCATCGCTCATGCCATAGAATAGGCGTTTGAATTAACTGCGATCGTTCTAAGCACGTTAAACGCTCGAGATTGAATCGCCATCGCATAATATGATAATACGCCTTATTAATAGGTCAGGCCGTAGATCGACCTTTAATGAACCCGTACAAACCCCAGCAAGATTTGTAGAACAATTAACTTATTTAAGGCAATTTATTCAAAACAGCCTTGGATTAGCTTCTGTTTCGAAACTTTCCAGATATTTTCAGTTTTGGCTACTACTATCCTGGGCTATTCAGGATATAATTTTGTAAATTATACTTACAAAATAATATTCTGACTATGTGTACTTTAATATCTACCACGTATAACTTTTTACTGCGACATTGCCACGCAGCAACATCTGCTGTTGCACGTATGGGCAGGCCAGGGGAAATACTACGACCTCACAAGACCAGCGTTTCGTTAGATGGGTGAGGTGCGTATTTCTTTTAAAGGTTGGCGACGCATCTGCAAACGCCCGCGGCGCTAATCAGCTAACATCAGGTGAAACGCGTGCTTGCCAATTTTTGACACATAAAAAAATATAACTGTGTTGATCTGAATATAAATAACACGTTATGTTCGACTTAGGGGCGTTCAAGAAGACAGCATATTCCTACCTCTTAGGCTGGTAAAGCGTTTGTAATTCTCGTGTTCAGTGCCGATTAGCGCTCGCTCGAATGTCACCCTTGGTAGGGGAAACCAGTTTATAGACGATTTAAATGGTTTTTATCGGTTACAGATGTTCATCGAAAACTCCCAACACATCGGCCTGTTGACTGACGACCTCATGAGCCAGTTGGACGATGAATCAGACGCGTACCAGTCGAGAAGGAAGAAGAGGCGTAGCGGTTCTCTTAACCGTTCGTACCTCCCTATATTACATCATAGAGGACCTTCTAAAGTATAATTTAATATATGAATACGAAACCGATCGCCATAAATCACATTGTTAACTAACGAATGAAGCCACAACAATGTGTCTGATGCCAGTTGTACATCCATCGCAATTCATTATTAAATTAAGCCATTTATACATACGGACATTGTCGCTTACAATTTAACTTGAGTTCTAGAACTTTCGAATGCAAGATACATGATAAAATCCGTAAAAAAAAAGTTAGATTTCAGAATGTGTATCTTTAGCAAAGTCAAGTAACAGCCTATATACAGCGTGTCTCTACCACCGCGACAATAAATGAACACAAGTCTAACGCTACTTGCCAATAATCATAAAAAAATATTAAAGTTAAAAAAATCCATAATTAAAAAAAATATTTTTCAAACAAACTAATTGAGTAAAAAAGAAACAAAATTTGTAACACCTATACAACTACATCTGACTGATTCATACATTCAGAAACTTTATCATTCGTTGCCACAGCGCCGCATTAGAAGCCTCTCCTTTTAACAGTATGTTTTGTCTCTTTTAAATTCATTCAACCCATTCATATGCTTTGTGACCTTTACAAATGAACTTTACATTAAAGTTTTATACGTAAGGATGTTCTAAAAGTCTTTGTTTTGGAAAATTTGATAACTTGTTAAATATTGATGTTTAAAGAATGTAAATCTTTAATACAATTTTAAAAAGTCAGCCCCTATATCAATCACCGCATCCGGACAATGAGCTATCACGACTCGCATAGCTATCACTTTTCCCTTTAATATAAGAAATTATCACCCATCGCTATAGGGCACCAATGGCATTTTTTGTCAACAGTCCACCGAAAGAACTTCCCAATCATTTGAGGTGATAGTCTATTTAGAGACATATTTCCTGTCGTTCACTGATTACTGCTGGAGTTACACAAGGAGAGTTTATTGCATGCTAGCGGCATTTTCTTGCCTTGCAATAATGTAGCGCCTCATCATCATAGGCCTCCCCCTTGGAAAATCACAACGAACGACACTTTGCCATTTGCGTCCACCGGTAGAGGGAGGCCTTCCATCGCAACGTCTTGAGGTTCGTGAGCCATTAGTCACCATCGGGCATCAGTTCTTCGAGCGATGTCGCCTGCCCACTGCCACTTCAACTTACAAATCCGGAGAACTATGTCGTTGACTATCGTTTTGTGTAAAAACGATGCTACTTTTCCCACTCGAAAGCAATCTGACCGCGTGTGTAAAAAAATCGTAAGAGTTTCGCCATTCGATTTTCGTTAGAATTTAGAAAATAGCTGTAGTCAAGTACTGCAGCAATTTTGAGTTTGTATTATTTATTTGAATATTGTGATGACAAACAAATTGCTTCTCTTTCATTCTTCTATTAACTTATAATATTTCATTACACAGTACAGTGCTGGGCAAAGTCCTCTATGTTTTGGATGTAAGATAGATGAGAATTTTTTTTAAGTGCCCCATACAACAGACATAATTTTTTGCCGTTATTATAGCTTTTCGCCTACGGCTCCCGCATGCAGTACATTTTGTGTCGTGCTCAAAAAGTATCTACGGTACCCTCACCCATCGCACAAATGTTCAATGTGGTTATTTAAGTTAATATATATTTTTTTATTTATGAATCGATTTAAATAAAATTAAAACTAAATGTTAAGTAAAGCTTACTACAATGCATTAGTAAAAGGTGCACCCAAATCTGAAATAAGTGCGCACAAACGCACAGACAAAAAGCTAAACAGACAAATACAAAAATTTTAACAATCATTGTTTTGGGTTCTAATGCGTTGATAAAGGCCCCCGATAGTAACTTTTCTCAAATATCTTCCATTTACAAACTACGATCAGTTACATTTCTATTAAATGTATAGATGGCATGGAAAACCCTTCGTTCGCGAATATATTATAGAACTAGCTGCTGCACGCGACTACGTCTGCATAGAATAGGCTGATGGCGTAACATTCAGACAGAAAGACAGATATACATACAGATTTACGGTGGTAGGGCCACGCAGCAGCCTCGGCTGTTGCACGAATGGGCAGGCCCGTCCGGGTAAGTACCACGACCTCACAGAAGACCAGCGTAAAGTGGAAGTATGACAAATACTTTCGCGTTTCGTCTGGTGAGTGAGGTAGCCGGAGCCCAATTTTCAAAAGGTTGTCAACGCATCTGTAACCCTCGTGTGTAGCAGATGTTCATGGGCGGCGGTATTCACTTAACATCAGGTGAACCGTCTCCTCGTTTGACAACATTTCGCATAAAAAAAAAAAAAAAAAAAAAACATGCATAAGCCATATTATTGTAGTTTCGTTAAAATCCGTTCAGTAGTATTTGCGTGAAAGAGTATCAAACATCCATCCATACATACAATCTTTCGCGTTTATAATATTAGTAAGGATATAACTTATAACATGCCTTCCAGGAATGCTCAGTGGCTTACGCAAGATGGTGTCCGGAAATACGAACACACCAGCGACAGTGCCAGAGAATGGTAAAACACCTATCATAAGCAAGTCGGCGTCGAAAAGGAAATTGGAGGGTTATGAAGGCCTTTCTGCGAAAATAAAGTAAGGAAGCGATGTTTCATCGCACTATTATTGTAAATACGAATGTTTTTGTTTTTTTTTTCTTTTTTTTTTGAACTCGCAATCAGATTTCGAATAGGTATAACTTATACGCGGCATAGTATTTGTATCTCGTCATCGCTTGCTAGCGTCTCACATATTATACAATAACTGGGCTGAATGTATTAGCGAAAAACTATGTATGTGTAAAGTATTATCTATATCAGAATCTTGCAGACACATGGATTTAATATATATATAATTTTTATAGTATTGGTTGTATAAAATAAGTAGCATGAATATTTCACTTGCTAGACATAGTAAAGTTGAATTGGTAATGATAGCAAAGAACGGAACTATATTATAACTTATAGTTTGTAAGAGCTTATATTTAATTTTATTAATATTATTTGAATGTAAACAGGAAAGAAGTAACGAAAAACCTGCCTCAAAGGGAGTTGTCTTTCACGCCAATGAAAATGTAAGAATTTTTATTCATAGGAGTATGTTTCGAATTTGATTCGTAATATTTTATTTAACAATATCAAATTTACAGGGGTATTACAGAACGAAAGAGGCTACGACTAAGTCTCATGGATGTACGAGGTACGCCAATCGTGAAAACCGAGTTAAATTCTCACAAAAATTCTGAAACCAGCGTCAGCAGTGAAGACATGTTGACTTCCTCTGAAAATTTGTTCAGTGCCCACGACACTATAGACCTGTCACCCGAAATGAAAATAACGGATAAGGACTACGTGAGGATATCCAAGCAAGAGTACGAAGAAATCAAAAGCAGAGTGTCCGCAATCGAAAATAGACTGTCTAGAGAATTTACGGACGTAATACCGAGGGTGCAGCCTTTGCAGCACGTTCAGAATGCGTACGAACAAACGTTAGAGGAGGTCGCTATGTTGAACTGCCCTAACTCGGAACATCTAGCGCGCCGGCTGAGCAAAGAACTGAAGATTCGACCTAAGGAACAAGCTAAGATAATACGCTCCCCCAGTGCGAGGAAAATAGGCTCAATCAGGCGCCGATCTAAGGAGAACATCATCAAAATTGTTAGGCACAAATCGTGGAACGCGTCGACACATTCGCAGGCCAGTCATGATTCGGACAGATTTTACCCCTACAGCGGAATGATTCCGAGGGAGACAACGAGCACAGCAAAACCTGTATCGGCACCAAAAACGCCGAACGCCACGGATGATTGGGACATCTCTGCATCGGACCACTCAATAAATAACACCTCGAATTCCGCTCAAAAGTATAGGCAACGGAAGCGAATTAGTCTCGCGCCCGATTACAACTTGGACAAGACAATAGGCAAGTCCCAAGCCAGGAGATCGCTAAACATTACCTCGAACAGCTGGGACGGTACCGCCTCCGAGAACTCTCTAAACGGCACCAGCGGTAAATCAAATCCAGGTCAAGTGCAATGTTATCGAACGGCGAAAGCAAAAGTACCAACAAGTTGTGCGCGGGCAGACCTCCGCAGCAGAAGTGGCGTAGTGCCGCAGCATTTTTTATGGACAAAACGGGCGAGTTGGAGAGCAGCGGTGCCTCGGGGCGTCCGTCGGTGAACAAGCTGCGGCAGCAGAACGCTGGCGCGGTGCTAGCCAAAGCGAAGCTTTTCGAATCCAGCTCCGACAAGTCGTCGGAGGGTAACGATAAAACTGCCCATTCCGGTTTCGCGCGGAAGCCACGCACAAACGCCCAATGTCAGAGCAGACCTCAAAAATCTACTGCAAGCACGAAGTCCAAGGTTCCTTCAAATTTCAACTCATCACCTAATATCCCCAGTCGATTTAACAGAATAGACTGCAACAGTAAGAACACCTTGCGACCCTATCCAACAACAAATCAAGGAAAAGAAGAGGTAAATAGCTGGCGACTCAATCGTAAAACGACGCCACCTATTAAAAAGGTAGTTTCGCCACAGAATCAACCCTCAAAAACTCCCCAAACGCCGGCTTTGAAAAAACCTCTAGCACAATCGAGAAATTTAAGAACACCTTTGCCTTCTAATGATATGAAAAAAGTGAACACACCCCTCAAAGCAGTCCATGTGTCACCAAGACGACGATCCCCACGACAGAAACTACAACGGTCGTTCAACCAATTTAATTAATACAGTATTCTATATAATCGAAATGTATTAAAATAGTAAGATAAATCCAATAAAGCAATCACGTGTAAATATATATTGTAGATAATAAATAAAATTTGTTTTATTTGCTGACAACTATTTTCTTTGTTATTCTTCCCAGATGTTAAAAATATATTATAAGATAATTTATCTTTGCAACGTATTAGTTAGATACCAACATATGTTTTGTGAAAAATTTGGACATTTAAACCATGAGAAAAGCAAATTCTTTGGACATTCGGATACTGAGTAAATTAATCTGTAGGCATCGAGATGTAATGTTTGGTAGTCCTTACTAGATCGTTCATTCCCATAACAATTTAATAATATAAATTATTTCTATCTATTATACTGCAACCGAATCATCATCATAATTTTAGCCTGTTTGAGGTCCACTGCTGAACACACCCCCACGGACTGCATGATCCTGAGTCACTTGCCTCCATCGACTTCCCACTCTACACAGGTTGTCACTCCATCTAGTGATGGTAGTCTTACATTGTATAATAAGGCTAAGATGTCTGTCCGAATAGCCAATCGCTATCGTTACCACTAGGTGCCTGTTCGTTTGCCTCCATTTCCATAAAAAAGTGCAAAAGGGTGTAAGACAGGGTGATGCCATATCCCCGAAACTTCCTAAAAAGGACCTTGGTATATACTCAATTCAAACTCCAAAAACCTCAAAGAGTATACCAACAGGTTCTTAAGATAAAAAATGTATAAGATCATATCTAATTTATATGTCACGCCTAAGCCGATTGTTGTTGCACGCTGTGCTCGAAATTGTTGACAAGTATTTTAACCTAAGACAGTTAGTTCGGTGTTTTAATCAATGAGTGCTGCCAGTCATGACTTACGGAATCGAGACTTGGTGCTTCACTGCTGGCCATGTGAGCAAGCTCAGTCTGTATATAAATGTATCATGGCTCAGCGAGTTCTCAACGAAGTCATCCGCCTTGAAACAAAGATAACCGACAAAGCTCAGAAGATTGGTGAAGAAAGGTTCTTTGTGGCAGCCTCGTACTGGCTATCGCAAAGTAGGACGATGTTGTTCAATCTCGGTGCTGCCACAGATCAATAAATAATGAAGTCATCGTTTCGTAACATTTTCTTTTAAAGCTGTATCTGTACTCATTTGTTTTGTTTAGTCATATCTATCGAAAGCGGATCGCCAAGTTAAAGCGTTAATTATAGCAATAAGTTTTTAATTAGTTCAATGTAACTTAACTGTAATTTGAATGTGCATGTCTTCTGTTTTGCGCGAATAGGCAGGTCCGACCGGGGAAGTACCTCACAGAAGACCAGCGTGAGGTAGCAGTGTTATACTTTTGCGTTTCGTTTGGTGAGTGAGGTAACCAGAACTCACTTTATTAAAAGGTGCCTACGGGTGTTACAAATGTTATGGGCGGCGGTAATCACTTAACATAAGTGAACAACCAGCTTGTCACATAAAAAAAAGATAATGAAATAGTGTCAAGCAGGATTAACAAGCTAAGGGGGCGATTCTAGTCATATTTGCAAAATACAGGTATGTGATCCTCTTCTTGTTGCTTTTGATTTGCTAGTTTGAGCATGGACGATATTTCTTTCCAATTTTTTTATAACCGCAACATCAAGGGGTGAAATAAAATTCCAATTTATAATATTATACGATGTATATCACGGCTTTTACAGTGGTATTTTCAGGTATAAACAAAATATCCAGATTTTAATTCAATAAATAATGAACATACTGACAATTCAATAAATAACAATTTCCACATTCAATTATATAAAGCTTCGGCGCCATAATAATTTTGATGTTACAATAATAAGTCGTATTCGTTATGTACGTGGGATCAACTAAAATATTTTCACTTACACATTTATCGATGATCACAGATTGAGGATTATAAAAAAAGAAGCAGATTCAAGAACATACCGTGCTATGGAGACGATTTAACAATTCGAAATTTGCAATAGTGATTATTGAGTAATTTTGATTTTCATTATAGCTTATTGGCTAACTTATCACTATCAGCACACAGAGCGCACGGGGCGGCTCAATCCGGTCCTAACATTGCTTGTCGATCGATATCAATACCACATATTTAAATTAACAATATAATAAAATATCAATTGTACCTAAGATCTTTTCCAATTAAATACGCACATCCGTTCTTAATTTGCATTTTAATATACACTAACGGGTCACGGCGGCGGCTAATGATATCCGTGACGCGGTCCCATCCGACCGCACATCCTCTGAGCATAACGTACGTACTTCATAATAATTAATTAAACATACATGTTGTGATCAATAATAATAAAAATATAATGATACAAATACATTAATTGCTACATTTTCGATTATTGTGTGACATAAATATTTACAAAGCGCATCAGGAGCGCCATTAAACAGTTAGGCTAGGCGAACTCCCAAAAAAGGGGTGAAAACGCGCGGTGCCGTCGACCCCGGCCGCGTCGACGCAGCTGTCCTGTGCCCAAAATAAAGAGAAAAACCTAACTTGCCACAAATATCTTTATTAACTAAAACGCGAACAACATACTCAACCGCCAGGAGAGCCATGTGTTAAATGCTCCGAAACAAAAGTCCTCTCGTCAAATCGATAAAACAAATACTTAATAAGAAATCACTTTTAAAAATAGCTAGCTAGCCATCCTGACCGTCACAGTCGCCGGATCGAGTATCACGTTATTTAACTAAACAATGCATGGTATGTGGTTGTATTTAAATTCATTAAAAAAAAACATAATCATCTCCATGATCACGGAGTTACAGTAGAAGATAATACAACAATACTACTAGTACATCTTACAAAGGAAAATATTTTACTCTAAATATCAATGCAATTTTCGAGATTATGGTATGATTGATTACAATTTGGGAATGCATGATACTACACGACAAATACATAATTATTAAGTACCGATGATAAAAAAAGACGCCTCTACATATACAAATAGCGTAACAACATTCCTTCGTCATCTATAATAAAGTACAAAGGTAAAATAGATGGTTATGTAACCGATTAGTGCTATAAATGGCTGCATGACAACGAGCAGCAGCCGAACTCAGCGACTCACGAATATGAGAGCAACACGAGGTTTTAGGTAATAAAAATAATTGTTAGGTAGAGTGAGGTCCAAAATGAGTGCACAATGGCATGCATCGCAACGCTATGGCCATCCTGCTGAGCAACAATAATTGAAAATGAACTAGACGGCAGCGTCAGACAGGCCATTATCACTTTTGGGATCATATCCCATGTCATTTGTAAGACAACAGATTTAAATAAAAACTTATGAGAAATGAACAATCATTTTACACATACACTTATGTTAATTACTTTTTCATATTAAAGCAAATAATACAATACTAAATTGCGTATTATCGTCTCAACCTGTTGTCTTCTCAATGATCATTTTATTGTGAACAAATATATTTATCTATAAACCGCAACATGTTGCCACTTGGCTCAAGTACATAAACAGTTTAAGACAATCTGCAGACTAGATATTGACTGGAAATGATAATTTTTTTTATAGGCACCCATATATGCGTTTTCCAGAATATGCATTTATATGAATGGCAAAAATTAACGATCCAAAACAGCTATTTATTTACAAATAAATCGCAACTTTACTCACAATCTTGTGTTTCATCCAATTAAAATTAGTTATATGCCCACATTCTGTGATACTAATTTTAACTTCCAAACAAACTCAAACTCATTCACTACACATTAAAACGTTTCCGATACCGCTGACTTTAGTATCATAACTGTGCGAAATATCTCATCCAGTGCAATGTTATGTACGCGGGCTACACTCCGGTCTGCAGATTTCTCGTCTCGGTAAATCAAACTGGGGGGCAATAATGCAGCGCTGCCGTCGCGACGTCCGAATGCGGGCTGCGCACGCGATAGGGCTCAGTTCGGCGTGCGCGTCGCTCGGCGGGGTGGGGGCGGGGGCAGGGGTGGGGCGTGCGGTGGGCGCGGGGCGGCGGCCGGCCGGCGCTCAGTTCACCATCAGCGTGTGCGACTCCATAGGCGCGGCCGAGTCGTACAGCGTGTCCGTGTCTTGGGTGGGCTCGCCCTGCAGCTGGCACTGGTTGGACAGCGTCCCCGCACCGCAGTCGCAGAAGAATCTGCGGAGTGCATTCGCATCGTTGACATAACAGAGATATGACATTGTTGCACAAAGATGCAACAAAATTCGGGTACTAGTAGATAACTGATAAACATACTTTTCTTTTGTAAATAAACACATATTATACATATATAAACACCCAGACACTGGAAAAACAACATGTTCATCATACAATATTTTTCCAGAAGTGGGGGTCCAACCAACACCCTCTGGCGCAAAAAACAGGTTCACTACTCCCCACGCCAATCAGGTCGTCTAGTTTTCATATTATGAAAATATTTAGAAAAGAAATTATTTTAGCATAATTAATGTTTGGTAATGAAAATATACACCATTAAAGTTGACCATGTATAATCATTCTTTTTTAAACATTGTTAATAAATAATAACAAAATATATAAGAATCAACTTCTACTATTAACTTCCACTGTGGTAGGGTAACACAGCTATTGGGGCAAAAGGGCAGTTACAGAAGACCAGCGAGAAGTGAGTATTATACTTTCGTGTTTCGTCTGGTGAGTGAGGTAATCGAGGCCCACTTCTAAAGATTGTCAACACGCCTGCAAGCCCTCAGGTATTGCGGATATCCATGGGCGACAATAAGCAATTAATATGAGATCAACAGATTGATTGCTCACTTCACAAACTTTTGCTTAAAAAATAATTTAAATAAGGTCTTACCTGTCATGGCGTATAAATTCTACATCATGTCCTGAATGGCATGTTTTAATGCAATTAACACAAATTGCATTACGGTCTGTCGTGTTGCATGTCTGGCATCTGAAATAATTTTAAAACATAATTATGAAACAGCCAGTATAAGAAACAACTATTATTATCATGATTACGGGGGATATTAATTTGTTTTCTCGTCTGGTTGGGTTTATAACTAAAAAATAGACAATGCAGTATTGCATATAGAGAATAAATAATATGAATAAAAATAAACATATAGATATAAATATTGTATATAATACAAATATAAATAGGACCCAACCAGATGGAAACCCTCGGCAGGGGAGACCAAACGGCCGAGGGTTAAGGTGAGAGGGAGGGAAACCGGCGGACGATGCGGGCGGTATCGCCTTCTGCTTTGAGCTTTTAGCTTTCCGTCTCTGAGTCCCAGTCGCCTCAGATATCCGGAGAGGCTGACTGGGATCAACCCATTCACAGACAAGACTATCGGAATAATTTCGGCCGGCACACCACCCCACACGTCGGTCACCTCGTGAACCAGGTCCAGATACTTAGTCTTCTTATCTGTTTCGGCTTTCACGAGGTTTTCGTCATATGAAATGCTAATGTCGACCAAAAATTCCCGCGACTGTGCCCGGTTCATCAACACGATATCAGGTTTGTTCGCGACAATCGTCCTGTCCGTGATGATAGGCCGGTCCCAATAGAGCTTGGCGCGGTCATTTTCGAGCACGGCCTCCAGGTAGTACTTGTAGTAGGGCAGTTTCCTTTCCACGAGGCCGTATTTCAGGGCGAGCTCCTGGTGTAGGATTCTGGCTACTAGGTTGTGTCTAGGCAGATACTGAGAGTTAGAAAGCATGGAACAACCAGAGATAACTCCCCGGAATGGCGACAAGCTCGACAGATGTTGACGGTGCCATCCCCAAGGATGATGATTTCTGATAGTTGTTATTATTATTATAGTAATAAAACTATAAAATCTGTCTAACGGAGTCTATTATGAAATTAAGAAAGTTATTATTCTGAAGGCCTGTCACTAGGGACCGAGGACATCTTAAGAGTTGTGAGCAATTGCTGGATGTAAAGTGGCGTTCTGGCAAAGATGAAGCCTTTGTTCAACAGTGAACACATCTTCCAGCATACATTGGACTAGACTTTAAAAGAACCATTAAGAAACTACAGATTTCTTAGTTAAATGTTTATAAATATTTTTTTTATTTGTGAGCTTAGGTTGGGATTTTAAGATAAGCTTATACAATAATATTTTACCTGTAGAAATCATGCATTGGAAATGAGGTGTATGACGATATCTTGTATAGGCACTGCCCGCCGCCAACAGCTTTTTCCACGGCGTCCTGATTGCTGAATATTTTATTGCCCCGAACCAGCGGCGACACTCCGGATGCCAGGCAGAGGCCTTTAAAAAAATAAACAAAGTTACACATCATCTCAATCAGGTATCCACTTTAAAATTGTTGAAATAAGTATAGAATTAATAAAATAATACGAAATAATATGAAATAAATTATCAGCTAATAAAATCTTTATATTGTTTGTACTACATTATAAAAATTCGAAATATGGGTTTTCGAAAGGTACCAGCTGTGAATTTTGCTATTTTTATTAACAAAAGAAAATGAATGGGACTAATTATATTTACCAGCTTTGAAATTTAGAGTAATCAAAAAATTCATAACTAATTATTCATTTTACTTTTTAATATCGTTTTATTTATTTATATAAATATTACTTTGCCTTCACTAATGTGAATAATAAAAAGCAATACATTTGCATGATATATAATATAATAATATAATAAAAACATTATAGCTGTATTGCATTACTTGTCTATTATTAAAAATTAATTTGAATTGCAGAAAACTGAATTAAATGAATTGAGCAAATTACATAAGTTCATAAAACCATACCACTGATAGTAAAAAGCATTCTCTAAAGCTAGCCTATTAAACTAAATATAAAGTAAATTTCAATTTGTCCACATTTATTCTTTTTTAAAAAGACAATGCCCTTACTTTAGGAACATTATCCTGTGTTGTAAGGATGTTTTACATACATTTCACGCGGATAAACACCCAGATACGAAACAATTATTTGTGGGTCACCACAGCACATTGCATATTATTTTAGATAAAAAAAGTAAAGTGTCAGCCTATATGTGTCCCACTGCTGGGCAAAGGCCTCCTCTTTACAGAGGGTATAGTCCGGACATAGTCCACCATGCGGGCACGTAATAATTCAGCACTTGAAATTAACAATTTCATTGGTGCTGGCACTGGGGATCGAACTCAGGTTGCTCGAGTATATTGAATTAAATTGCGTCCGGACACTGAGCTATCACAGATTACTTTGGATATAACGTAATAATATGATGTAAATCAAGTCTAATCAAGAAATAAATAAAACTAGGTAGGCACTAGTAAGTGCATTATTTAGATAATATATTGAGTATACCTCCGAATCTGTTATTGAAAATCTGGTTGTGCTCGAGGGTCGCCGTGGCGTTGTTGGTGATTTCGACACCGGCGGCGAGTCCGTCGAATATACGATTGCGACGTAATACTGGATGGCTTTGAGTTGAGATTAAAACGCCCGCTTGTGCGTTGCGGAATATGTCGTTCTCCTCCAACACACCCTGCATCAAAATAGAATGATTATTATTATTTTATACAACATTATATTCAAGAGCGTTGCTCAGATGATATCAACTAGGTGAGGTGCGGTTTGTAAATGATATCCAGGACTTATATTCTACTAAGCGTAATCTAATCTTCCGTCAATTATACTGAAAGGGACAAGTGAGTGCGTCTGTGTCAGTGCGAATTATTGCGGCACTATGATATATCCCGCGCAGTTCACTCTATTGTGGCAGTTTATAGATGTCGCCATGGTCGATATCGGTCAGGAGTAATCAAATTGTTTTGCATATAACCCTGACTAATTTGTAAAGTAGTATTATTAATGGACAATGTCGAATAAGAGAAAAATTATGTGCTACAATTACTTCCCGTTACAATCATACTCCTTTTAAACCCAAGATAATAAATTAAACTTTTGTTTGTTTTTCAGAGGACAAAATTGATACAGGATGAGCGGTCGAGTATAGTAGATGTTCCTTCAAACAGAAACCTATCACTTGAGCGATGCGAGAGAGCGTCGTACGTCGGTGAAAATCTCACCTTTCCTCCGTTAAAAATGCAAATGCCGCCGTCTCGCCCGTCAAAAATTTTGTTTCTTTTCAATGTGGGGTTGGAATCAGTCTTTATCCAGACGCCGGCCATGGCGTTATCGAATATCTCATTCTGTTCGAGCAGGCCCAGCCCGCCGTTGTAGACGAGGACGCCGCCATTTTGTCCGCCCCATATCTTGTTGCCGCGGATCACCGGATTACTGCCGGTACGGATCTGCACGCCCGAGTATAGGTGGTTGAAAATGTCGTTGTCCTCCAGTTTGCCGTGCCCATTGTCGTAGAAATAAACGCCCACCTGTGGACAATTTCATCGTTCCGTGAATTGTTACTGTAACATCCCTTCGATCATCCCTCTTGGCGATCTCCAGGCCGCGTTTCGACCGTGGCAACATCTTCCGAAGTCTCAACGGTGAGAAATGCCCCCGCAGGATATATCATAGAGTCACACAATCTTCATAGTATTTGCGTCTGTGCTGCAAAGGTAAATCGGGGGGAACTTTCGCATGGGTTCGAAAACCATAATAGTTTACAATACATCCAGAATTAAGAACAATGTATTGACTAATCGGTTGCAATATTGAAGTTAGCCTGTTTTCAGCATTCGAAATATACATATAATATACATTCCCTCTACATGAACGAAATATTGAATGACTTTGTGAGAAACTCAATAAAAGTTTAAATTATGTTAAAATTTTCCCATTAAGTATGTTACAAATTTGCCTAAAAGATGTAAGAAACAAATATGTCGCAAGCGTTTCCTAGTTGCACGCACATAACATCAATGCAAATTAATTTACAATTTCAAAATGTAACAGTAATTCTATATTTGCTTTACCCCTCAACTTCATTCTATTAGTAAGTGTTAATAGGTGCTATTAATACAGTTATTATATGAAGACAACTAGAGCAGGTTTTAGTTATGTTAGTGGCCAATAAATAGTCAACGAAGCTGTGGGCTAAAAGCAATTTAACAATACAAAATTCTTCAAACAACAACCAAAAAATACTAATACTTTACAAACATATATTTTTTTTATAACAATTCTTGTTGAAATATTTTTTGGGTACAGTTTAAACTTAATAACTATGGCTAACATTACAATTCAATTTTTTCCGATTCATCATTGATAAAAAAAAGTTGCAGTTCAGATAATTAATAACAGATCCATAGAATAAATAATTAATGCAGTGAAATTAAAAAAAAAAATACTTTATACACGTAGTAACATTTGCTTGAACATAAATGTTTAAATTGTATCCAGCTGTAATATTATTTCTCAAATGGAATATTTTTTTAAAATAATGAATATTTACAAGTTCTCTGATGATTGACATTTCACTCTATACCTTTCGTAATTTACATATTGCATAAGTATTGATGATTTCCTGGGCGATTTCGACCGTCGTTTCCAGACATCTATGATATTTACAGCCTAAAAATTAAACGTTATCTGCGCAAGCAATTGTATACAGGAATAAGTGCACAGACACACTAGCACTCACTCATCTTAAAAACTCGTAAATAATGCTATTAGAAAATATAAACAGCTAACAGAATCGGATACTATTTAGATGTATTCCATCACACGGATGCGAGAGTGAATTCATTCGCAAAGATCTGCAATTGGGGTGTCTCTCAACCTTGGTAAAAGCCTTTTATGTATGGAGAGTATTAGGAAATGGTGTAAAATTTAGCCTGATTGCAGATTAGATAAAATAATCAAGTAATAGCAGCAATGTCGGCAATAGCAGTTCTGGACTTGGAGCATTAGTGCAAACTATAAGTTAGGTATAATTTGGAATGTGATTGTTATTAAACAAAAAAAAAAAAACACCTTAATCTTGCATTCACGGATCTTTGCGAATGGGTTCATTCGCTCAACGCTTGCCATGAGGTCGGACCGTTCGTTCGTTCGGTCGGATCGAACGAATGAATGAACGAAGGCTGGGGCGTGCGTACCTGCTTCCCCGAGTGTATGCGGTTCCTGCGCAGGACTGGAGTGGAGCCGGTCGTGATCCAAACGCCGGCCAGCGTGTTCGCGTACACCTCATTCTCTTCGATCAGGCCCTGGCCCTTCTCGTGGACGTATATGCCGCCGTGCTGTCCGTGATGGATCTTGTTGTGTCTCACGATCGGGTCGCTATTTGTGCGAATCTGTAAAAGAAGCATATTTTATTGATATTATTATTACTGATAGATTAAGATGACGAGTTGTTTTGATAATATTATTATAACTACATTGCCATGACCAGTTGTCAAGATTTGACAGTTACTTAGATGCAAAAACTTGCTTGAATGACGAAATAAAAAAAGGTTTAAGCTTCATTCTACTTTTTTCACTGTTTAATTAACCTGTCAAATGTCAAATCTGGAACAAGGCTGTGACAGTGACTTCAAGCAATTAGTTTCAGCAATTATGTAAATTATAGACGTAAAAACTGAATCACAGTGAACCAGTATCAAATTGAACTCGGATCTTTTAGAACACGGCTTAATCTCTAAAGATGGCTCTGTTAATTTATTTCTAAATTAAGTAACAAGCACCTCTAATTTAATAGTTATAAGTGCGCGTCGGTTCATAAAAAGCGGCATACACGTACCTGAATGCCGGCGAGAGCGTTCCCGTATATGTTGTTGTGCTCGATCAGGCCGCGGCCCTCGCCGAATATGTAGACGCCGCCCTGGTGGCCGTTGTAGATCTCGTTGCGCCGTATGGTCGGGTTGCTGTTCGACGTGATCCATACGCCGGCGAAGTTGTTCGAGTGTATCTTATTGTCTATGAACTGGCCGAGGCCCGACTCGTGCACGTAAATGCCGCCGGTCTGACCGTGGTGGATCTCGCAGTGCACCACGGTGGGGTTCGCGCCGGCCTTCACTTCGAAACCGGCTATCCGGTTGTTGTGGATGTCGTTCGCTTCGAAGTAGCCCTGGAAACGGAAACGGTTGTTGGTAAAATCTGATAGTTCATTTGTTTTAGCGGGCGCCATCTAAAATAAATCTTAAGTTGTAACAAACTCACAATGAATCTATGAAGTGTAAAAATTTTCAAATTGAAGACTTCCAAAACATACATATTGTTCATTACATATGCTTCAGATTGGGGGAACCAACGCCATTTATCTAGCGACCCAAATATGATAACTATTTGAAATGTGTACTATAAACAATGAAAATGATGCTTATTGAAACAAAATAAGACAATTCATACATAATGTAAGAAATACACAAGGTAAAAAGTACCTAATGCCAGTTCCTTGACAGATAGAGACGAACACAACCAATAAAGCGTGGATATGTTTACAAGTCGATAATGCATTGGTAATTTTCCATGCAGCCATTTTTTAAGTCATCTAGGAACTTTTTAGGCAATGTTAATAATCTTGGAGAGTGATGAAGTAAAGTAATCGTCGAGCGACGCCCCGCAGGAATTAATCGTCTAAATAGGCACTCACCAGGCCATTCTCGAAGGTGAATATTCCGACGTCGCGGCCGTGGTGTATGTGGTTGCGTCGCATGATCGGATTGGCGAAGTTCTTCACCCATATGCCGGCGAGGGCGTTGCGCGAGATCTCGTTGTCCTGGTACGCGCCCTGCGCATAGTCGGTCACGTAGAGGCCCACGTTCTCGCAGTCGCTTATGTCGCAGTGCTTGATGACCGGGTTGGCGCCTGCGCCGCTCACGCACACCGCCGCGCCCACTGTACTCACGCACACATGTGCGGTTCATCGTATCAATTAATAAGAGTAAGACAGGCATAACGCCCACGTACACCGCCGCGCCAATTGTACTCACGCACACATATGCGGTTCATTGTATCAAGTAATAAGTGTAAGACAGGCATATGAACAACAGAAGTGTCCATTGTGCTGCCAAAACAAGATGACTCCGTAATGCGGTTGCCAAGATATTGCCATCGGCAGTAAAGTAACAGCCTATGTATGTCCTACAAAGGACTCCTCTGTACAGATGGTATTAGGACATAGTCCACCACGCGACCCCACTGCGGATTGGCGGACATCTCTGAAACAATATTTTTATTATTTCGCAGCAAAATATGCAGATTTCCTCACGATGTTTTCCTTCACCGCAAAGCACGTGACAAGTCAGCACTTAAAATTAACAATTTCATTGGTGGCGGCACTGAGGTTCTACCTCGGGTTGCTAACCGAATTAAAAGCGACTGCCCCTACAGCTAGTACGGCTCGGTGGTTGGATTGTGAATTAGGATAATATTATCCTACACTAAGTGCAATGTGTAAAAAATCAACCCTCTAAATGTTTTTATTTTATGGTCACCCCACAGCACCTCGAGTCGATTTTATGGGCATACGCAATTACATAGGTGTAGTATTGTAGCTTTCTGTTACTTAAATACATAGGCGGATCTCTCTCTTTAGATATTATTACTCCCTTAAATGAACCGGTTCATAAAGCAGGTGCACGCATGGCTGTACCACAGTGAAATTTAGCTAAAATTATCTGCTATAAGGATTTCTTTTTTATCCGTGAATACAAGGACTTTGGTGTATTTTAAGGTTTTTTATTTTTTTAACATCCGTCCTACTTATACCAAATAAAAGACCATGCATCAATACAAACATTTTTACTGATTTCAGTCTGGTAGAGTGACGGACTTACCATCTGTGAGACAAAAAGCTTGAGCCCCGAATGATGTAAGTAACAAGATAACTGAAATGTCTGCCAAGCTCATTAAGGTTGAAAGAAATGGCAGTATTTGTCTTGGCAACAATTTTTTTTTGAAAATTTTACTAACACATTTCAGTAAAAGCAGTCATCAAAAATTTATAAGTGGTTAGGGTGCTCAAACTGTGTACTTAGTTCAATAGGATGTACACATTGATTATAGTATACTTATTAACATTCATTAACATTCATAGTAATTAACATTCACTGAATGCATACTGCAACCTTCTACAGGATTTTTTTTCGTTTGTTTTCATAAAACTACATGGTACTTGTTGTACTGTTGACAACGATTTTTTTTCATATGAAAAGGTGACAAACGAGCTGGCAGTTCACGTGATGGTAGTGATAAGCGCCGCCCGTTGACATTTGCAACACCAATAGGATTGCAGATGCGTTGCCACCTTTTAATAGTTACGCCCCGGCTACCTCGCTCACCAGACGAAACGGAAGTACATACAACACTTCCACTTCACGCTGGTCTTCTACGAATTCGTGGTACTTACCCAGACGGACCTGCCTATTCGTGCAACAGCGAACTTTCTACGTGAGCGAAAACGGTCCCATAGATTTCCCGTTGCTGGCAAGTAATATTTCTTGTAATACAACTTAGTGCCGTCTTTGCCGAGCCCAGTCGATTGTTAATAGCAACTTTAAGCGCCGTTCCATCGCATCGCAAGGAAACCTGCATGCCCAAGAAATCATTAAAAATATCGAAGATCACACAAGTCTGCCTTTCCGCATTGAGTTCGCGCGGCGTGTACGAGCGTGGCGTTGTTAATGGACGAGAGAGAGCGAGAGGGAGAGAAAAAACAAAAACGAAAAAGAAAAACGTATAAAGGCCGACCGCGCGCAGCACCGACTCACCGACGCTGGCGCTCCGTATGATGCAGTGGTCGACGGTCGGCGAGCAGTTGTCGGAGACCTCGAGGCAGTAGTGCTTGTGATGCTGCATGGTGCTGGTGGCGTCTGGCGAGAACTTGAGCGTCATGTGGCCGGCGTAGGCGCGGTTGGCGCCTTCGGCGAACGTCAGCGTCGACTCGGCCTCGCGCTCCAGCACTACTGACTCCGCCACGTTGCCGGGGGCACAACCTACGGGGGGGCACGGCAGCGTGAGTCTTCGATATTTTCGCTTCGTTTCAGTGTCATGCGCGATGCGATGAGAGCCTCGTTATGTTTTTCAGTCGGTAACGTACTGGTTCGTACGCGTGTTCTTTAAGTGAAATTCCGTTTCGGTACAGATTTCATTTGGCCATTTCTCTATAAAAAAAATTAACATGTAGTCTCGTGCACCAGGTACGTGGGGCATTGATGGTTTTTCTCTTAATACATTCAGGCTCGCAAATCCCACTCATTCAAGCTCGTATCCACCTTCCATTTCCCATGTGTCTTAAGGATAGAGTATGGAAATTAGTCAAGAAACACAGGGTTAAATAATTTTATTTTGAAACGCTAAGAAAGAACCACAATGTTATCACATAATGAATATAGAGTTGATACAATAATACGGTGATTACACACTTAGAACCAATATAATCTGTATACAATCAGACCCGATACAATTGGTAACACTACAAGCAAAATCGAGAAAAAACTACAGAAACCGCGAAAACGGTTCGAAAAAATCTAGTTTCGAAAATCCGACGAGAAATGCATGCGTTCGGGCCGTGTCAGGCTGTTAACCAAACGCCTCCTGGCAGCGACGGTCTGGGGCCTGCTCGAGCGGCGGGGGCCGGTCGATATGCGCTCCAGCCTGCAGACGGCGCCGACCATGATCATGCTGTCCACGTCCGTGTGCCGCAGGATCCTGTTCTCGACCATGTGGGGATCAAACTGACCGATGAGCTGGACGTCCGTGTCGATCGCGAGGCACTCCTCCTGGTAGAGGCCCGCGTGCACGAAGAGCAGCGCCGGCTGCTGCGCGCCGCGCCGGCACGTGCACGCGCTGGGGCCGCAGCCGCACGCGCCGCCCCCCGCACCGCACGCCGCGCCCGCGTGCTCCTCCACGTACTCGAGCGCCGACTGCCCGAGCCCGTGTACGTTTTTAATCACAACTTGTTCTGGGGTTTTGTCCTCTTTAGGATATGTCATTTCTATACTTGGGGATATACTCTATCCAAGTCATTGTGAGAACACTGAAGCAGCATGTATTTTTTATGTATAGCGTTAATCAAGGGGGGTGAATGGGAGGTCCATTTACTTTTGAAATACCCGTAGGTTTACATATGCGTTGCCGCTTTATAATAAAGTGGATCCCAGCTACCTAACACGCCAGACGAAACGCAGAAGTATAGCAATTCTACGTCACGGCGGTCATCTGCGAGGTCGTGGTACTTACCCGGACGGACCTACCTATTCATGCAACAGCGAATACTGTTACTTTTTTGTTGATAGGATATACGTGAAAATTCGACAATCCAGCAAAGATTGCGGATGCGTTGCTAAATGATAGAAAAATGGTCCCCAGTTACCCCACTGACCAGATGAAACGCGAAAGTGTAATGCTTTCACGTCACGCCGCCTGGAGCTGTGTACAAGATCCCCACCGTTACCATTATGCAAGTCAAAGTCAAAATTTCTTTCTTGTTCAATATAGGCTTATTTTAAGCTCTTATGGAAAATCACCATCATCGGGTCCACTAAACTAGGCCTGTCCAGAGACGAGCCGGCAAGAAACTTTGCGGTCATATTGTTTCTTTCTAATAACATGTAAGTACAAAATCAGTTCGCAAGACGATATATATTACAAGTGTGCGTGAAGTCGATGGATGCAGTTGGCTCAGGATGGTGCTTCGTGGCATTCTGCGGGGGAGGCATATGTTCAGCGGTGGACTCAAACAGGCTGAATGATGATGATGATGATAATTATATTTTTATCAACCGTCGGCTCACCCGTATGGTGTTGAAGAACTTGATCCGCGTCTCCCGCCTGGGCCGGTAGCTGGGGCGCACGTGGATGCCGTAGTACAGCTGCCTGAAGCTGTCCTTCCACGGGTTGTCCGCGTCGCAGTCCTCGGGCGCAACGAAGTCGAACTGGCACGACGCCGGGTGCATCAGCGGCGCGTCGTACTCAAACACCGACTGGTACAGGCTCTTCCTGTACATCACATAATCGGTCACGTGTACGTGCGTCAATGATATCATATATCAACGATATGGTCGGTTAAAAATGCAATGCCGCCACACTCACCACAGCTCCGTGTCGTTGGCGATCGTGTTGAACCGCTTGCAGACCTGCGCCACGCGGCAGAGGTCGCGCTCGGTGAGGTGCGACAGTATGCAGAGCAGCACCTCGTCGGGCAGCTCGTACTGCAGATACTGCGACACGTTGCACACGTCCACGCCCTGGGACAGCGAACTGCGGAATGCGAGCGCGACATGTTATGCTAGTGCGGGCGTAAAGGCAATCTCCCAATCTTCCGATTCATATACAACGGCGAATAAAAAATAATTTTCATTGACAAATTGTTACATCATTTTTTGATTACCCCTAATTGTAAGAATAGTTAGATAATATAACTAAATTTTTTCTTAGACAGCAAATACTGTATCTTATGTTGGTAAACCAATAAATAAATAAAAAGGAAAACATACTTTAAATATCTCGCTGACTAAATATTTCCTACTTGATTTTGAGAGTTCCGTCTGATGAATATCCGGAGAGCAACGTCCCAATACCAATGTAATTAAAATGGGAGCATGTAGGTTCATAAATGACAGAGTTCTGAGGTAACAAACATTAAAAAAATATAAACGAATTGAGAACCTCCTCGTTTTTGAAGTGTGTTGTAAGCTTACGTCCCGATTATTAAAAAAAAAGTTAGAGGGAGACGGGCGCGCCGCGGGTCGTGCGGTGTATGACTGTTGATAATTGTTTCCCATATGAGTTCCTGGTATTACCGCATTTGTAAAACGCATATACGCGGCAGAATTTTGTCTTGACTTACATTAGGAATATGTCATATTAGTTAAAATTACGATGTTCAACGTATCACCGTAAGCGAAGCGAGTATTTTTAATAAATAATAGTACAAGTAATAATATATTATAACTCAGTGATCCAATTTAAGCTATTGGCTTCAGCGCCGTCGTGTTGTGGGTCTTTGGTTCGACTCCCAAACGGGATGTGTGACGTTTTTAATGGTATTTATTGACTAATCAATAAATACCATTAACAACATAGTTCACATGTTGTGTTCACCTAAGTGGTATTAAGAAAAGAGAAGAGTTGCTTATAATTTAAATTTTATTTAAACTATAAACTTGTTCTCGATTAAGACTGCTTAGTTATAATTCTTTGTAGAACACGCCGTTAGTTGTGCTAGGAATGTGGGTCAGTGATGACAAAAGTGAATTTTTTGATGGTGACGGTGCGGTTTGTTTATTATTATGTTCCACTGCGGTTTTGATATAAAACTAATAGTACGGATAGTCCAAAAAGTAACGCGGCCTTACAAAAGAGCGGCGTGAAGTGGAAGTATCAGACTTTTGAATATTAACTTTGGTGAGTAAGGTAGCCTGAGCCCGATCATTGCAAGCTGGGCATCGCAAATGCAATACCACTTGCGTTGTAGTTATGCATAGGCCAAGGTTACTATTTAACATCAGGGTAAGTAATAACAGTAGCTAGGTTCGCCTTCAACTTCATCGAATAAAGAAAAATATCTTCACAGAATATGCAATTATAAATATGCAAATGTATGGTATTTCAATACTTACACCTGCTTTTCTGAGTAAATTATAAAAGAACATTATTTCTAACAATGTAAAAGCTAACAACATTTGAATTCAACTAGAAAATATTGTGTGGTTGAACAAGAAGTTGAGATTATTACTCCTAAGGGTAAATATATAAAAAATAGGGAAATCTTCATTTATAAAATTTCTAGTAAAATACCATTAAGTTATATGATCATTAAACAATCATTGTCTTACAAAATAAGTTCTCAAACTTTAAACAAAAATTACTTTATATACAAGTATATATGTTAAAAAGCAACTTACATAATAAATGCAAATCATAATTTAGGTGCATAAATACTATTATGAAGATCCATAATGACTATGGCTAAGTATTAGTTAAGTCTTTGTTATTAATTTACCATTATTATATATTATTATTTCTAATATTACTCATGTAGTGTAGTGCATTAAATGGAAGTGGTAGTTACACAAAATTATGAGGAAAAATAATAATCTTATATTATTCAAACAACAATTACATAGAAAACAATAATTAACTTTGAGGAATTTGGGATTGGAAGTAAGGAAATAGAATAACATTGATAAGTAATTTTAGTAAAAATAACAGTTTTTAGTTTTAAAAAAATATGTTACTTTTGTTACATTATTATATAACAAGCAGACAACAACAAGATTATCCATATTAATTTATATTACCTAATATGAATATTAAATTATCTACAAAAAAGTAAATACACTTTATACAGAAATAATTAAAGATAACACTATTCTTGAAATTGTAATTTTAACTTAAAAAAAACATGCTGAAATAGAAATTTCGAGAATATTTCTAACCATATATTTGTGTTTTATTCACCTCATAATTATACACTATTGAGTATAACTAGATCCTACATATATGCCCACATTATTCATTATAATACATTATGGATAGAAGCAAAATGCAAAAAAAGATTTACTCTTTCAGTACAACAAACAATTGACTTATTTCAGTACCTAAGCAACTCTCTTAATCAAGATTCCCTGCAAACATCATTTAAAACGCAGCAGCTTGTAAGTTTTCAGAAGATATGTTGTGGTAGACTGTTAGGGTGGTTCTGCTGTTGTGCAAATGGCAGAAAACTAGTGTGGAGTAAACACAAGAAAAAAAAAGCTGAATGTTTTCTTAAGGTGTCATTCACTCACGTTCCTTAGTCTTTCTTGAAAGCAGAGAGCAAGCACTGGAAGGGTCAGTTGCCATATTTAAAAAAAAAGAAAATCAGGCACCAATCACTCACAGAAGAAGCATTATACTCCTGCTCTTTATCTGATAAGTGAGGTAACTGGGGCTCTCTTAATTGGCAATCTATCTTCAACCCTATGGGTGTTGCAATGTCTATGGGCGGCGGTTATTACTTGACATCAAATTAAAAACATTTTTTATCAAAGAGACGCCTGCGCGTTCGTATGAAACATCGAATTTTACATAAAAGACACGTTCGTAAGGTACCGGCCAGCTCGCTTGCATTAAAAAAAAAGTACATCGGTCCACTCACGTGCGTGGTCTTTTCCGCGCGGGCAGAGAGCAAGCGCCGGAGGGGCCCGGCTCGTGGTAGGCGGGCGGCGACTTCCTGCGCAGGTCGTAGGGGCTGTGGTGGCCGGCGGTGGTGGCGGCGGCGGCGGCCGGCACCGGGGGCGAGCCGCCACCGCCGCTGCCACTGGGGCCGGCGCACGCGGTGGCCGCCATCGCGCTGCCTGTCACGTTGTTCGGGCAAGGTACAGATTCACATGGCTCACCTAGAATTCACATCAAGTGCAAATTGTAACGCGCCCGCACACACGTTCGCCAGCTGAACGGGTGGATTTGCCTCGACCCCGCCCAAATGCTCTCATTAAAAATTTATACATGCCTCGACTAGAATTCACATCAAGTTCAAATATTAACGCACTTGCATGTTTCACTAGTTGATTTTATTTTTGTTTTGTGAAATAATATATTTTGAAAGTAAAACTTATATTTACGTTGCAATCAGCAACTGGATTTTTTTGTAAAACAGGTATTCTTATGCATGTATGACCTACACCATTTATTCACTAATTTTCAAAACCACTTACCACTACATTACCTATAACTACAAAACAATCAAATAAATTCTGAAGGATACATTTAATAACTAACTGAACGAGCTGCACACCACCTAACGGGTGGCATAATTCATGTGCATAATTCAACAAAACTATAACAAGCTCTATGGATGCTTTAAGAAAATTATGAGAAATTAAAACGTAGAAATTGGATATGTAAATGATTGTTTGGAAAATCTTTATACTTAAGCAAAAACATATTTTAAATATTAAATTTAACTACTACGTTTAAGAAACTCTTGAATGCAAATAATCTTCTATTAAAACTTGCTTTGCTGCCAAGGGACTTGACCTATTTCAAATGTAAATCGAATACCCATTGCAAAAATAAGGTAACTGATTTCTATTCTATAGCTAAGAGTATTATTAAATGGTATGTTTACTCTTGTTACACTTAACAACATAAAATAAATTTATATATTTGTAATAACATTTCATAATAATAATTATACAAAGTGGATTTGTATTTTGTACAGATTAGCTCAGTACTTGAGCTACGGCTGTTAGAAACATGGCAGCTATTTTGAACTGAGCGGTCATCATCTTCATCTTCCTGCCTTTACCTCACCTAGGTGGAGTCGGCCCATGTGAATCATGTTGTAATCGATTTTTTTGTTATTATGACCGACTGCCTGCCTGACAAATAACTTGCTTGGGAAATATTTTGGACTGAGTGATATCTTTTTATTTGTTACCAATAGTATATACATATATAATAATAGTACATACAATACATAGTACCTGTTTTAAAATTAAGAATAAGATTTTTAATCAGAATATAGCTTTCAGTGGCAAAGGTCAATATATACATATTGTACAATATAATATATATACAAATTTCTTATGAGAATTTATCTATCAACTTCATCAGTTTTAAGAATTGCCAATAGATAATGAAAAAATAAGTTTCATTTGCATATTTTTATTACTTTCAAAAAGATTTCAATATTCATATAAGTATTAGAAATAAAAGGGAATAATTTATTATCCTATGTCCCATGAAGTCTTATACTAAAAGTATGGAATATAATCATAGAAAAATGGTGGATACTTTATGTAGAATGTATTTCTTTATAAAGCATTTAGTGAGCAATATCAACAGAGAATTTAACTTTTTTCAAATATTTTATTGCTACTTACACTAAGCAAATACATAACAAAAAACATGAGCAAACATTATTAGACTCATTAGAGTATTAGCAGAAAATATTTACTTCAAAATTAATTTAATTTGTTAAGTATTTCAGATCCCATTAAAAAAACGAGACGTAATATTGATAATTAGATGATTACAAAAGTTTTGAAAAAAATAATATTTAAGTAATGTATTATGTCATATATATATGATTCTGTTACCCTTATTATTAACACTATGTTCATCAACTAAGATCAAATAGAATTTTGCAACTAAACGTTCATTTACTAGTAGATTTACTCCAAACAGCTGTTTCGTTGTCGCGTAAAATAAGACTTCATGTAGCAAATCAATACTCATATTGCGCAAAATGTCGCTGAAATGCGCTACTCAATGTATACATGCAAATGAGAAGCGCTGAGGTTAACAAAAAATTGAGTATCCGACGACAGACGGAGAACAATGATCTTTGAATTTTAAAAATCAATATGAAATGTAGGACTTTGCTTTAAATAGAAAAAGGCGACACAAATGAAAATAAATACATATTTCGTTTCCCTGTAATCTATATATAATAGCAAGAAAGTTTAATATACATAAATATTAACGTACAATGATGAAAAAGTTCGATAACGAGCCATTTGTAAAACTTGGTGCGACATCAAACGACCCGGATAACTTACTTGATTGAGTCCTGGATGGTAGTGGTATTCTGTGTCCGCCTTTTCTTCGCGATCTGCGGACGTAAGAACGCGAAGAGGAAAACGAGGCACTAGGCATTATTTCTTTTGGTGCTTATTTCCCCCAGAATTCAGCCTAAACAAAGGAGACACCCGCACCAACACCGTCGGCCATTTTCTGTTTAGAATAGATTTAAGAACCGATTCAGGAAATACATATAAAACAACACAATTGCGACAAAAGATGAATTTTAGTTGTTTCGTATATATCGCACTAATCACTAATACTAATAATATTAAAGTTAACTGATAAAAATCATTATTTAAATAATTACGTTTAAAATTCACTCTACCCTAAAAAGCAAAGGGCGACTCTCAGAAAAATATGGCGGATTTTGAATTAACATGGCGGAGTCGATACCACCGCCACCTGTATATGTATAAAAACTTTTTTACATGCGTTCAAAATAATTACACTTACAGTAACGATTTAATTAACATGTTCAAATGACCTTCACATGTTCGAAAATTTACTATTATAATATGTAAAAAATTCTATTAAAAATGTAATATCTTTGTAATTTAGTTCAAATAATTTGTAGTACAGATATTGTTAATTTAATACAAATCAATTAAAATAGATAATATTTAACATACAGATGAATGTAAAACACTAAATTAAAGGTGTTCAGGAAGATATTTCGCATGAAATATTATTTTTATATTAATTATAAAACACAACATAGACTAAGGCTGACTGAATTGACTGAATGCCAGTGTACAAAAAAACATAATAAAGTACTGTTTGTTTATTGCTCAATGTCACTCATTCATTGATTTGATTGCTATTGATTGTCAATTGTTGTAAATTTGTAATATATTATATTTTTATTTCCTCAGTTTTCATTTCACCTGTGGTTTTCACTCTTATCACTGATAGATGCAGATTGTGCTGAGTTAATCATTACATTCTTAGGGAGAATTCAAATAATATTTTCTATCGTTTTATTTTTGTAATATTATGACTTAAAATTGCATTTTAATTTTAATTTTTGTAATATTTCCCAGTTTCCCACATAATGTCGTTAAAAACGATACTTGATTATCGCGCTTGTGTGTTTTCCGTTTTTGCTAGCGTATTTTTAACATTTGCATATGTTGCTAGTCTATATGTTTGGAGAACGAATTTAAGCAGGTAATACTATTAAATTGTCTATTTGGTAAATGATTTTTAAAGACTGCAGAAAAAATATTATTCATAATGTACTCTCTTATAGGGATCATCCGTCAACGATTAAAAGAAGGTTCTTTAGTGTTTCCTGCATAATGTTACTTGCGCCATTTGTGACAAGATTTTTTCTTAAAGAGGAAGTCTTAAATAAGGCCGATGTATATGATCAATTGGGTTTGCGCCTACCAGGATTTATCGCGGCGATGGTTACACCACTTGCTTTGACTTCAATTTTATTTTTGGGGCCATTGACTATGCAAGTTATATCAGGAACTTGGAAGATATATTTAGGTATTTAATATCAAGATTTACTATAATGGGTATTTCATTAAATGATTTTAAATTGACATTAAATGACATAAGGTTTGCAATATTATATCTTTCTTGATTAGTTGTATTTTTGAGTAAATTTTGTAGTTACCATGTAGTTTTAATACTATGTTATCATAATGGAAGGTAAGATTGTGTTAGTTGATATTTTATATTGAAAATATGTATAAATTTTAATACACACATTTTAGAACCAATATATTGGGTGGCTAGTTGGCAAGATTTGACATGGGTGAGGAATCACGTTATGGCACCTCTAAGCGAAGAGTGGGTATTCCGAGCTTGTATGATGCCCTTACTATTACAATGCTTTGATCCCTATACTGCCGTGTTTGTCGGTCCTTTCCTTTTTGGAATTGGTGAGTGACATATAATTGTTTTACATTTTTTTTAAATTTAAGTAAAATTTAATGTGGATAAAATTACATTTAATGGTATAACTGTTGTTAAACCATTAAACAACAACTTAACTAACAGCTCCTGCTGCATGGATAGCCTGGCTTAACTGGTAAGTAACAACAGTCTAGTAGAAGACTGAGTTGGAAGTAAGCACTTTAGTACTGTAAAATTTTATTCGGTAAACTGGTTATATAGAGGCTGATAGCTGTGTCCATGAGTAGCCACTATCTCTTATTATCTGATAAATCACATGTTCAGTTAATATCTCTAGGAAATAAAACAACCTTTCATATTAAAAAAAAATAGTTTTTAGTATTCTTTGGATACAAAATAATTATTCTTATGAATAATTATTTACATTTAGTAGTTACAATGCTACTGCAAGGCAAGAAAAAAACATTTTATAATTTATAAGGCAAAAAAAATTGCATCTTCAAAGTTTACCTAAACCGTTTTCAGTACAATTTTAGTATAATGGCTATATGTGACACAATTGTTTTACATAAAATCAATTTTAGTCTTGATCCTATAATATAGTAGTGAAAATCATGAAAAAATTACTTTCTGATTGTGAGTAGAGACACTACAATTGAGAATTTTTTTTAATTTAAAGTTAAATCTGCCCAAGTTGTGTAGCTAACTTAACTGAGATACATAAACATTATGTGCAAATGCAATGTAAATAAGATAATCCTTTTATTTAGATGTTTTTCCAATAATGTAGATGTACTGGAGAATACATGAAGAGTCATGATAGTTCGGTGTAGGAGCCAATAGCTATTATTTGAGCAACCAGAATTCAATCCCTGGTGTCAGCACCAATGAAATTGTTAATTTTAAGTGCTGAATTATCACATGCTCAGCGGTGAAGGAAAACATCTTGAAAAAAACCTGCACATTTTCGAAATAATACTAAAAAACGATATTTCGAAAATATACTGAGTTCCGACAATCCGCAGTGGGTTCGCGTGGTGGGCTATGCCCTGATACCTTCTTTAGAGGCCTCAGCCCAGCAGTGGGACATTTATAGGCTATTACCCTTTTATTTTATTTTACTGGAGAATAAGATAACACCGTGTTGGAGAAGTGTTGTTCACATATATTTTGAAGAGCTGTTACTTAACCTAGTTAAAATAAACTTGAAACAAACTATTTACAGCACATTACCACCACATTTTTGAACAAATGAAGGCAGGATTTGATCTTAAGACTGCATTAATGATCTCAAGTAAGTTGCATATGTATAAGGTTTTGTTATTTTTGTCTTTCATGATTGATTGATGTTAAAAGACTTAGTTTAGAAAAAAGTTCGAGGATTCTTTGGAGTTATATTAAACATTTCTTAGTAAAGATTATTAAACACACTAAAATGCAGACATGATAATTTTTTCAGCTTTCCAGTTTATGTACACAACTCTGTTTGGTGCCTACTCTGCCTATTTATTTCTACGCACTGGTATGTTAACTTTTTTTAAATGAATTTCTGTTTTTAAATCTACATTGTAATTAACTTAGCTTTACAAATGTGACATTTTTCTTTTTTCATCTTGCGACTGTATATTACAATAAACTTCAACTGTGGTAGGGTCATGCAGCCATTGTCGCTGTTGCACAAATTGGCAGGCTTGACCGGGGAAGATCAGCCTCACAAAACACTGGCTTGAAGAGGAAGTATTAAGTCTTTTGTATTTCCTGTGGTGAGTGAAGTAACTGGGGCCCATTTTTTTTAAAAGCTGGAAATAAAACCCAATGGCTGTTGCACGTGTCCATGGCGGCGATATCACTTAAGGTGTACCATTAGCTCATTCGCCACCATCTAAAATCTCCTTATTGCACACTAGGTGGGGTCAGGACAAAATGTCAATTTCCTTCTATTTTCCTCTAACAGCAGTGATCTCAATACTCATTTCTCAGATATAATATATCATTCTTCACACAGTCCATCCAAATCTCTCATGGTCTTCCTCTAGCTATACACCCTTGAACCACATTCATACTCATCACTCTTCTAGTCACATGACTTCCATGACTTCTCCTAATGTGCTCATACTATTTCAACTAGTGCCATCTTCTAAGATAAAAATCAAAATTATAAGTACCTACACATAGGTACTTATAATTTTGATTTAAATTAAAAGTGGTAATTTTGTTTTGCAGGTCATTTTGTTGCACCTCTGGCAGCACATATGTTCTGCAACCATATGGGTTTTCCTAATTTCGGCGAGATATTTTACTACCCCCTCTTGCAAAGATTGCTTATTATAAGCAACTTTGTGTTGGGCTTCACAATGTGGTGCTACTTGCTAACACCCTTAACAGCACCACAGTATTATGATAATAAACTACACTGGCTTACATAACTTTTTTGGTAACATACACATAGTTTTATGTAATGAATTTATGAATATTATTTATTATAAAAAAAATCTCAGTAAATATAAGAAAAGTTCATTACTCAGCAGTATTGCTAAAGTAAGACATTTCTGAAGTTAACTATTACAATATGAAAGGAAATTACTCAGTGCTTAATAAAATAAGTGAGGTTTATGAAGAAAGTCATAAGAAACATGATTTTTTTGCAGTATACATATTTTCAAAATCCTTTAATAATGTTCCTTATTGAAATAAAATTATTTTTCTATAATAATTTTCGTATGTATAGAAATCGGTTTTGATATTAATTACTTAGCAATTCCTATTGCTGTTAAAGAATATTTTGTACATCTACAGCGCGTGTCGTTACCACCGCGACAATAAATGAACACACATATAGAGGATAACTTTTTAAAATTGTATTAAACATTTACATTCTTTAAACATCAATATTTACCGAGTTATTCCAAAACAAACAATTTTAGCCCTTACGTATAAAACTGTAACGTAAAGTTCATTTGTAAAGGTCACAAAGCATATGAATGGGTTGAATGAATTTAAAAGAGACAAAACATACTGTTAGAAGGAGAGGCTTGTAATGCGACGTTGTGGCGCGAGTTATATAGGATGTTACAAATTTTGTTTCTTTTTTACTTAGTTTGTTTGAAAAAAAAAATTAATTATGGATTTTGTTTAACGTTAATATTTTTTTATGATTATTGGCAAGTAGCGTTACACGTGTGTTCATTTATTGTCGCGATGGTAAAGACACGCTGTATAAACAATGAGAATGGTTTTCAGACAGACATGATATTATCGACACTGATATTAACATTCTGTTGGTGCTAGACTAGTCGCTATTTGCTATTCACTGTTGTGAATTATTTTTATGGATAATAGAAATTCATTATGCACTTCACATGAACATGTTTAACATAATTTAATTAGCTTTGTTACTTTTGCCAACATTTTTGTAAATCTTAGTATGTGTGCCATTATAAAATGATGAATATTGGAACTAATTTTAAGGTAATGACAGGGTCTGTGTATGTATGGGTAAGAAGTTGCTTAATGTCTCTCTAGTCAACTTGTTATGTTTTATTTTAGTTAATGTCCATTAAATTTTGAGTTTAGGTAACATAGATAGTTCATCATTGTGCCATGGGCTTTTTATTCACTTACATAAATAGTTTTAATAGTGCAAAGCGTATTTAGAATACAATAACACAAAAAAAAAAAATAAGAATACAAGCGTAAAACTATTTTTCCATTTGTGGACACCATCAATACTTATGAACATGATTTAAATTCATTGCATTATTTAAATAATTTTTTTTTAATTAATTAAATTAACCTTTATTTAAATTGTATAATCCTAACTTGTGTGAATTCCATAATCCATGTTCAAAATGGCTTAATAAATAACTTAGAGCATCAATAGCGATGATATTATATGCTATAGGTATGTTATATGCAGTGCTGCCAATTTAGGGCTTTTAGCCCCTTTAGGGCGGAAATATGCATTATAAGCTTTTTTTTTGGGCCGTGATAGCTCAGTTTCCGGGCGCTCGCCTTTAATCCAATATACTCGAGCAACCTGAGTTCGATCCCCGGTGCCGGCACCAATGAAGTTTTTAACTTTAAGTGCTTACTTATCACGTGCTCCGCGGTGAAGGAAAACATCGTGAGGAAACCTGCATATTTTCGAAATAATAACAAAAAAAAATATTTCGAAGATATGTGAAGTCCGCCAATCCGCAGTGGGGCCGCGTGGTGGACTATGCCCCGATACCCTCTATATAGAGGAGGCCTTTGCCCAGCAGTGGGACATGTATAGGCTGTTACTTTACTTTACTTTTTAAGCTTTTTTTGGGGTCAATAAAGCCCCAAAATACAGGGCCTTTTGGGGTTTTTTAAAATTGCATTTAGGGCTATTTCATCTTAATTTTAGGGCCACTTTTTAAATTAGTTGACAACACTGATAATACGCTTACAAATTCACAGTGCATACATTCACATGTTTCGTTCATCATAACTTTCTCTCACATGTCGAGTAGTCTAAGAAGGATAGCGTAATTAAAGCCATGAGAAAAAAGAGGATGGCAAATGTTTGTCACAATAGAAAATCTCGAAGTGCATTGTCTTTCTCTACCCCGTAATAAACTTATTTGCCGCCACTTCTTTGTTTACTAACCAACGTAAATTTTAATATAAATCGAAGATATATTGCATTATGTCCATGACATAAGATCCCTTGAATTTTTTTAACTTTAACTAGTAATGAATGATACGACGGCATTTTTATTATTGTGAACATTTTAACACCGGTCACCGCGTCATATTCGCCGCCCGGTCTAACGTGAACTAAACTAAAGAAAAACACGAGTCGTCCATGTTCACTGTTTTAATAGTAGTAGATGAATAATTGGTCAGTCCAATTAAGTAAGTATCCATTTGTTTTTGTCCAGCTCTAACAATTTGATGCGCTTTCTTTGAAATATAGAACCTACGCCCGGTTTTTGATCACCGTAGAAGTTAAGTAATCAGCTATCAAATGGCTTTTCAAATGTTAAGTTGCCAAAAACATGGTTATACTCTGAAAAGAAACCGGGTGTCAGTGTTTAGAAACCGGTATATGGATACTTTCTATACATTAAGATAATACTAAATATCTATAAACTCCACAATCTTAACAAAGATAACTTTTTAAATATTATGTTTATCATATATTATTCTTTGTTCAGAAGTTTAAATAATAAATTTGAAAAGATGTTAAAAATAACCAAAGTGGATATGGTGAATGTGTAATGATGATATTAAGAAGTCTGTAATAAAATTAAACAGCAGCGTAATTTTAGAAGAGCCACGTAATGTTATCTTTTATAACTTAGTATATTCCTAAATTTATTGATGTAATAGATGTTTGGTACCCAGTAGCCAAAATTACACTTAGTCACTTGTTTATTATTGTTCTCGTAATATAATGATCTATTGTTAATGTCTAAGAATAACGATAAAATATTTGAATAAAGTGATAAAAACAACCTCACATTTTAATTATTTCATAGAACACACTCCAAAGAATAATGAAAAGTTGTATGATGAAATGGTGTATGTGTTGAACTTTATATTACTTTTTCACTGAATATGACATAAAATGTAAATAAAGTTTGAACCTCTTTTTATAATTTGTCGAATAACTGCATATAGGAGCAATATCTAAATACAGGAGGTGGGGCCTAGCCATACCATAGAAACGCGGGGCTAGGCCCCGCATACTATACGAGCCATACGCGGCTACTGGCCGATCTCTGGAGAGGCAGCATGTGTGCTGGCAGGCTCCCCCCTTCTCTGGGATCTAGACGCTCGTATCCTCGTGTCATTATAATTCTGGTGAGAGAAGGCAAAGGCGGAAGACTACGTTCACGTGTTCCTGTGTACCAGGCAAAGGCGACAAGGAAAGTGCAACGTGGGTACTCCGTTATTGAGGACTCCCACATAACTGCCTACCCACAATTCACTATAGATCCATAAATTCTGCACGTTAAAAAAAACAAAAAGTGTGCCTAGCCATTTTGCATCTATCCTCCCCTGATTAAGCTAAAAAGAGCCTCTCCACTATTAAATGAAACTAGTTTACGGATTTTATCGCGTTTTTTATTTTGATTTGAACTGCCGACATTTCGAACCCTTTCTGGCGTTCATGGTCACGGGACAGACTAAACAGATAAAAAAAACTCGATAAAATCCGTAAACTAGTTTCATTTAATATGTATAATGTTCGCGTAAAATCAAGAAAGCCTCTCCACTAATTATATTTTTTTCAATTCTTGAGGCAATTTATAGCCATCCTAGCCCTTTTGAAACCGCCTGTGAAATTATCCGTACATTAAAAGTGATTTATTCCGATAATTGGATTTTGGCGAAATTATTTAACACTGAAAAATAATCTGCCTAACGTTCATCTTTTTTCCCCTATTTTAATAAAACTTAATAAATTCCTCTATGCTTTTCAAAATACCCAGTTGGAACTTAAAAATATTTAGCAGTTACCCCATTAATTAATGAAGATCTGTCCACAAGTAAGTAAATACTATATTAGCAAACTTCCACTTCTACACCGCTTGCCTCACTTCACTACGGCAATAGAGCACACATCATTGAATACCCAGACGTCGACCCGGTTGGCCTAGTTGGTAGTGAGCCTGCCTGTTGCGTGCGGTGTGGGTTCGATCCTACTACCAGAATAATATTGTGTGATGAACATAGTGTTTTTCTATGTTACGTAGCTAATTGTATTCTAGGTTACCTCTCGCTAAGTGCTAGTGGTTTGTGCGAATATTTTGACCATGTAACTTGCATTTCACATTTTTAACGTCATTAAATTATATATATCATGACTCCGTGGCGCAGTGGCCGAGGTATTGGCTTCGGCGTCGGTGGTCGTGGGTTCAAATCCCACGCGGGACAACTATTTGTGTGACCCACAGATAGTTGGGTGTTTGTCCGCGTGAAATATATGTTTGTAAAACGTCGTCACAACACAGGATAATGTTATTCTAAAGTAAGGGCAATGTTTTTAAAAATAAAATAAAATATAGTATTTAGTAAGTATATTAGTTAGTAACTTTTGTATATCAGTAATTAAATATCAAAAGTACTACAATAACGGACCCACCGTCGAGGGTCCCGCCAGATAACACTACACTCAGTTAGTGCAACAAATACCATAGTTCGTCCTCGTTTTCGAGCACGGTGAAACCAATACAACTGGGAGCGGTTCTCACCGACTAACCAAGCACAGTCACCCACTGTCCGCACCGAACCTCGATAGTCCGTAGGCGACACTCCTTTGCTAACGCACGCGTGAGCACATGCGTGGCCCTACCAATTGTGGAGGGCCCCAAACCCGTGGGTTCTGGCTAGCCCACCGGTTCTGCGTTCGATGAAGCTTTATTAGTCTCGGGACTGCGTTAACGTCATATAAAAAAAACTACAATAACCTCAAATCTTACTGAATGAATTTTATGTAACGAATTTAGTTCAACCGCTCGACTTATCTTAATGTTCAGTTTTAAATATTATAAATCAACATTTTATACAAATTATTAACATTGCATACTTCTTTATAACTATTCATAAATTTTATTAATATGTATTGCCTATTATGTTTGTTTTATTAGGTTTCTTTTTAATTAATTATTTGTACTTAATAAATTAATCTATCCATGTTATATTTTTTATTATTAACTAGGAAGGATATTAAAAAAATGGGGTTCTTTACAATAGCATGTTATTTATTATCGTAATATAGTATTAGTTGAAGTTGAAACAACTTAACGATACTAGAATATAGTTAATGTCAATGATTGTAGTAACAAAAAATACATAATACAATATTTTGTTTATCTAATTTGTTACATTCACCACTTACATTATTCTTAACACGAGTAAAAGTATCGATTTTCAAAAATAAAATCTACGACAATTGTAAAAGATTTTCTTTATACCATTGAGCTTGCAGACGATATCAGTCTCACACAAAACTATAACATTCAATTGTATCGAATAATAATAATGTATAAATTTCAATCTACCCTATGAAGCCTGCGGCTTATATTTATTTTTAAAAAGATCTATTTCAGGTCAAGTTAACTTTAAAATTCATACAAAAAAATTATAATACATTCACATAATAACACATTCACGTGAGAACATCAAATAACAAGTAATAGGTAGTAATAATTGAGTGCTTCCTAGGCGGACACACTTAAGATTTTACACAATAAATTATCATTCATCAAGTTCAAAGTAAATATTCAGTCTTTATACTAAATGTGTCACACAATCATACTAATTTTAATGCAAAATTATTAACATAAAATACTACAATATAATTTTACAAAAGTAGAAACATAATTGAACATAAATATATTATGAAGTTCATTTCAAATTTTTACTACTACATGATGTTCATTTGAAATTTAAATAGCTGCCAGCATTTCATTTGGTTTAATTTTGCACCTTAAAATATCGATTAAGAAGAAAATTCTTGTATGTCATAACAGAGATATTTCATTCACTAAAATGCAAATACTAGCATCATCTTAATTTTCCCCATCTCACAGATTATCTCGTAAAAACAATATTATTGTTACCCTGTTGTAAAATAAACCGAGCTGTACGAAACAGAATATATAAAAACAAAACGTAATATTACGTCCGATAATGTATGTATATTCTGCATGCATCTTTTGTTACTTAAAAAATGTGAATGTAATTAGCATCATCAGTGCTTTTAACTACGAATTAAAAGGATTATAGACATATCAACACAATGTTTTGTTTACAAAAGGAGTTATATAAAAATATATCTACACAATTTTGTAACACTCGTAAATTTAGAACACATGACTGTTTATTGTGTCATTAATTATTATACATAATTTATGCGAACATGTACATCATTTGCAATATACAAGTCGTTTTCTAAGTCAGGTATATCATTACCAATGTTAACATTTTCAAATAATAGTACTAAATATTATGAAAAGATTTAAGACACTACGTTCATGACCCAATAATCAACATTTTATAAAACAACATACAATGTGTAACAAATTCTACTAGATCAAATAAATTATATTGCGTAGTTATGTTATCGACTCGCAAAATTCTAACATGCGACTAGACCAATGATGTTTTGATAAAGATAACGTATGTCCATACTCCGCGGCGTTTAAAATTTGTTTCGCTTTACATAATATGACATATGTAAATGAATGTGACAGATGATATAGAACGTACGATACGGAAAGAGATAGCAGACTTATCAATTACACCAATTGGTTTAATGTAGTGCCTCAATTTCAGTGCGTTAGTGTCATATCTACCTCGTATTTGTATTTGATATCGTTGAATCGGACACTAAGCTATACCAATTTGTCAGCTTGTCACAAACTTTTGACTATTATTAGACTTCGCCCGCGTATAATTTAACTTAAATAAAATTTCTGTAATAAAAGTAGCCTAAGTTACTCCTTATTACATGAGTTATCTGCAGTCATCTATTGGTGAAAGTCCCATCAAAATCGGTCAAGCCGTTCCAGATTATTTTACTTAGGTACAATACTGTAGTGTAGTGTGTGGATACGAATAACGTCATCACAACGTTATAGTACTCGATCTGGTTTTTTTTTGTTTCTTACAAACTGCAACCCCTGATTAAGTATGCACTACAGGCCCGTACTTAATTCTAGGGTACCTCACATATCATTTTCTTTATCATATCACCGAATTATGTCATAGGAAGAATTTGTTACACGTGATGTTATATACCATTGTTACTTTATCACAATAAAATTACAAATTATTTTAAAATTTAAGCGAGTATTTTATCGAAAAAACTATGAAAAAGTTTGATAACAGCTTTTAATTCATTGAGTGAGTAATTGCAGTTTTATGACATTTTTTAATATATTTGACAACTATTATGTACATTATGAAAAGATGTTATGTTATTAAAACACATAATTTAAAATAACATTTACCAACAATAACATTCACAATGATTATGTTAATATACAGTCAAAGCTGTGAAGAAAATAATTAGCTTTTAACATTCATGTCAACAGCAATTTATGGTCCCCGCATTTTTGAACTCTTTAAGATGCAAGATTCTGAGAGATTCAGTTACAGTGTTTGTGAGTTTTTTTTATACCACCTTGATACCACCCTCAGATACTAAAAGATTTTATCAATTTTACTGCTGCGATTTACCCGTAGCTGTAGTTACTGCATAATATTTAGTTACATTTTATTCTGGTTAATAAATCAATTATAATATCATATTTAACGTTTCGCGTTTTATCGCTTTGTTCGCAGCGATTAAGCTTACTTGATCAGCGCAGTATGTCATAAATAACATAGCGAAACAGACAAAGAATCCGTTGGTAGCGCCATCGATTACGACAAAATTAAATGTTTCGAAGAGTAAATTTCATCGCATTAGAATTTTTAATTTTGACTTGGAGATTTGGATACGCTCAACGTTTCGTCCTATTTGCGTACATAAATATCGATCCCTTGTAGCAGCCACAACTAATCTTATCCAAACAACACGATTATAATCGACCACATGGATTGATACTTTACTCAGCAGCAAAGTAGCTCATGGCATGACTGACAATGGTCTGAGGTAATATAACCTACAGTGACATATGAGAAATAGTAGACAAGTTTCGGAAAGTCGTCGTTCCTTATGATCTTGCTATAATTAGAAACTATAAACGGTGGTAGCTTAAGATCTTTGGATATCGTGCCTAGTTATCCCCCGTGACGTCACGCCTCTTCTCCAAGTAGTGTCAGATCGTGAGTCAGATAACTTAGCCTGCACTAGACAACAGACTACAGTCTATGGTGTGGTTAGTGGTAGCAGTCTACAACGGCCTTTTTACGCTTCGCTTTTTGGGGACAAATCAAAAGGGCACTCCGCGATTTTTATCGAATCTATCAAGCGAAGTGCTCGGAGTTGTTCAGATTAATACCTGCTGTCGAATTTCGTCACCGTACGACGGGTCAAACTGTCAAATACCACGGCCCCCTTGATAATTGGCAGTCCACGACTGTGCGTTTTTTACATAACTTTCTAGCACGCACAGTCAAGTTGTGGAATTAGTCGCCAGTGGTGTTTCCGGAACGATACAAATTTGGTCCTTCAAGAAGAGAGCCGGCCGGCAGTGCATTTGTGACGCTCTGGTGTTGCCAGTGACCATGAACGGCAGTGAACACTTACCATCAGGTGGTCCGCCTGCTCGTTTTCCTTCTTTTCTATAAAAAAAGGGCAAAAGGGAAGTGTTCATGTCACGACCATTACTGTTGAGTCGGTTTCAGTCAACGGGTGGACAAGTTTTTTTTTTACTTGAAAATTCGGGCAACCTTTGAACAAGTTGACCCTGGCTGCCTTGATCATCACATGAAACGCGAATGTTCAATACCTTCACTTCACACCGCCTGTGAGGCTCTGACACTTCCGGACGAGTCTACCGTTGCGTGGCACTACGGTGTTCGTGTGAACGTACCATCACGGTTGGCTGCGAGTGAATTGAACCCAAGCCGTTGCGTGGCCCCACAAGTGTTCGTGTGAACGGATCGTCAATGTCGACTGCGCTGAACACACTGAACAAAAGAACCCGTTGCGTTGCCCCACCACTGTCCGTGTGAACGTACCGTCACGGCCGGCCGCGGGCGAACGGAACCCAAGCCGTTGCTTGGCCCCAGCGCAGTGTTCGCGCGAACGGGCCCTCAGCGGGCGAACGGGTTGGACACGCGCCGCGGCCAGAGCCCGAGCAGGGCGCCGCAGAGCGTGGGGGCGGCGCTTCAGGGCGCCTGCAGCGGCCGGCTGGGCGAGTGGGGCACCGGCACCGCCGGCGCAGCGTCCAGGTCGCACGCGGAGAGAAGCCGCACCAGCTCGTCCGGCGTCGGCCCGCCGTCCGCCGCCGGCGAGTCCTCGCCCTCCCCTGTTGAAAGGCGATGTTGATAATAATAATAAATAAATAAATAAATATTTTAGGACACATTTTTACACAACATTCTCTAGTCTCAAACTAAGCAACGCTTGTATTAGTGGTCCTACATAACGGATATACCTACTTGAACATACTTTTCTTTTGTAAATAAATACATATTATAGATATACATAAACACGCAGACACTAGAAAAACACTATGTACGTCACACAATTTTTTTCCAGTAGTGGTGATCGAACCCACACCCTCTGGCGCGGGAGGCAAAATCGTGGGTTCTGGCTAGCCCACCAGTTCTGCGTCAGATGAAGCTTTAATAGTCTTGGGACTGAAAGCACAAACATCAGTTAATACAAGAAGGAGGCAAATGGTAATGTCGAAGATGCAGCCAAAGTTGATTTCGAAGATACAGTCAAAGATAAAGACAAAGGTATTTTCGAAGTTAACGACACATTGAAGGTTGAAGCCAAAGTCGATGTCGTAGATTTAGTTAAAGTCTAAGATAAAGCCAAAGTTGTAGTGGAAGATAGGAACAAATTATCTGTGATAGGTGATAGGAAACAATTATCTGTGGGAATTAAACCCAAAACCCCAGGCGAAGCCAATGTCTTGAAAGAAGCCAATGTCTCTGAGGCATGTTGGTTATTATATCGATATTATGGAAAGTCTTATATTATTATAACGATCAATCTTCACAAAATATAGTTCTTGCAATTATAAAGGACCAGCCAGCGTAACCCATCGATCGAACTGAACTATTGAACTCTGCTGCGAGATGCGGCGATTTCGCTATCTCGCTCGCACTCAAGAACCGGCTCTAAGCCGCATCGCTTCACGGCCGACTTAGAGCGGCCGCCGCTATCTCGCTCGCGCCCAAGACGCGGCCGTACACCGCGTCGTCCCACGGCTGAGCGCGCCGTCTCGCTCGCACTCACCGCCGTTGGGCGCCGGCGGCAGGGGCCGGGCGGCGCGGTCCGTCGGCGCGGTGAGGTCCCACAGCTGGGCGGCGCCCGAGCGGTGCCCGCATAGCAGCAGCCGCCGCGGCCGCAGCGCGCCCTCGCACTCGGCCACCGTGAAGCACGACACCGCCGAACCGTCCACCGAACGGATGGTGCACACCCTGCGGAGAACAATCGATTCCCTATGTTTATCTCCATTGCTTAGTTGCCGATTGATGTGTGAAGTCCGCCAATCCCCCCAGACCCGTCCACCGAGCGGACGGTGCACACCCTGCGGCGAACATTCCATACCTTTTATGTTGCACTAAAAATGTTAGAAAGCGATGGCGACATCTCTTTAATTATTTAATTTTAATTATTTAACGCGAAATTTGGTCTAAAACTAGCTTAAAACTCAACCACCGGCAAACTAACTTCCTTATCTGAAACAGCTTTAGTTGTCAACTTTTATAATTTAACTGAAGGTTCGAATCCAGACAACACCAAAACAAAAACTCGATAATTTTTAATAGAAAAACACAGTTGCTGAAGGAATGAAGCAATTACCTTTTGCCATTTGAAGCCAGTCGAACGTATAACGTGTCGGTGTCCGGTACAACTTTCTGAATGAAAATTTGCTCTTCGTCCTGTTCACCGTATGGACCTAAAAGGGAATATACAGACATTTTTTTTTATTAATGTACCGACAGATAGACAAGTATATTTGTTAGTAATGTATACTTAAAAATTAGTTACAATATTGGCTTTGATTAAGCTAAAAGAAAATTAAACTTTGCTTAAAAGCATAAAAGTTAAAAAAAGTTAAATAAATAATTATTAATTGTAATACAACTATTAATTTATTGTAATTAATTGTAATTTAAAGACAGCTTGTACTCACGTGTGTTCTGAAAAGTTAACGTTTTCATGACATACAAATTGATACGATAAATATTAAGTGCATTTGATGGCAAACAATAACTCCTCCCCCCATTCTCGTATCGTTTCGGACAAAAGTTAAGTCCGATTTACAATAGTCAAGTGTTTATTAGTTGACAGGTACAGTGAGTAAAGACAGTAGTGTAAACGGTCGGACAGTGGTGAGTCAACTTTGCCGAAATAGAATCGCTTTCTATTTTCCTGCGCAAGTGCACTTGACACGCCACTTGTCGTAGAGTATACAGTCAAATTAGGACAGTGGCCGGCAACAGGCAACAAAATTACACGTATTGCTCGTACGTTTCGACAGAGAAATATCATTGTATTTGCTGCACTCTGCTCCGTGACCAATGTAAGTCGGGCTTAAGTACGGCAGTTTAAACGGTCGGACAGTAGACTTGGCTGACACCACTGTCCGGCGGTTCACATACTATGTTTGTCTACAGTACTAAATTCTCGACCAGTGTATAAAAAGTAAATTAACAGCCTATACATAACCCACAGCTGGGCAAAGGCCTCCTCTTTTTTACAGAGGAGTCCACCACGCGGCCCCACTGCGGATTGGCGAACTTCACATATGTTCGAAATATTTTTTTTGTCATTATTTCGAAAATATGCAGGTTTCCTCACGACGTTTTCCTTCACCGTTCAGTACGTGATAGAGTCAGAACTTAAAATTAACAATTCCATCGGTGCTGGCGCCCGGGATCGGACTCGGGTTGCTCGAGTATATCGAATTAAAGGCGTATATCGAGCGCCCGGACACTGAGCTATCAAGACTGAATTAGGACAATATATCGAGCTTTAAACACGCGGGATCGGCTCACCGCAGTCGTTGTGCGGCTGAGCGGTGGGCGCCTCCAGGGCGAGCACCTTGAAGGCGGCCTTTGGCGTTGTTCCGGGCTGAGTGGAGATCATTCCGCGGAAGCGGGTCACCCGCCACGAGCGCACGTGGTTGTACTCGCTGCACACCGACACCAGGTAGTTCTCAGACAGCGACACCTGCCGGCGGAGGCGGCATGTGTTTTCCAACTCTGTAGCGCCGTTGCCGAGCTATTTATTGGCTTCGGCGGAGGGGGGCGTCCGTTCGATTCCGACACGGGACAAGTGTTTGTTACCCGTGGATAATTGTTCCGGATCTGGTTTCATTTTTTTGCTGTGATAAAGTGGCAAACGGTTCAACTGAGGAAGCGCCGACCCTACCTACGTGGGATAAGGGTAGATGATGATGATGTGTATTTTTGAAGCTAAACTTCTTTTGGTGCGTTTGGAAAATATTATATTTTTACGATGCGCGAACTATAGATACGTAAACATTAAGTATTTAAAATAAATCACTGCCGTTCATTATTTTCATCGCGTTCCAAAGGTCGGTATCGAAAGCTTTGCCGGATATTATTTTTTATAAAGCGTGCGTAATGTCAATGATAGTCTAGTAGCGCAGTGGTTAAGCTATTGACTTCGTCACGGCGCTGAACGTCGGTTTCATTCCAACATCGAACAATCTTTTGAGTGACTGATTATATAATAATATTCTTCTGTACATGTGTATGTCACTGCTCATCCTAAACGGCTGGACCGAGTTAATTTTTTTTTTTTTGTGTGTCATCAGGTCGATTCGAGAATGGTTTGGATTCATTTTTTTTGTCGGATATAAGTCGTGTGTATAGGACGTCTGTCCGGTCCGTTAGTAAATATATAAAAATTCAGATACTGGAAAAACACTGTATTCATCACACAATATTTTTCCAGTAGCGGAGATCGAACCCGGCGCAAGAGGCGAGGCCCACTACGCCAATCGGGTCGGCGTATGCAACGTTAGTCGACCATAGAAGCGTTCCCGCTCTCAGCTCACCTTCGTAACGGGGCTCTGGCTCATCCGGACGTTTCACACTACTGTATTTGTCTACAGTACTAAATTCTCGACCAGTGTATAAAAAGTAAATTAACAGCCTATACATATCCCACTGCTGGGCAAAGGCCTCCTCTTTTTTACAGAGGAGTCCACCACGCGGCCCCACTGCGGATTGGCGAACTTCACATATGTTCGAAATATTTTTTTTGTCATTATTTCGAAAATATGCAGGTTTCCTCACGACGTTTTCCCTTCACCGTTCAGTACGTGATAGAGTCAGAACTTAAAATTAACAATTCCATCGGTGCTGGCGCCCGGGATCGGACTCGGGTTGCTCGAGTATATCGAATTAAAGGCGTATATCGAGCGCCCGGACACTGAGCTATCAAGACTGAATTAGGACAATATATCGAGCTTTAAACACGCGGGATCGGCTCACCGCAGTCGTTGTGCGGCTGAGCGGTGGGCGCCTCCAGGGCGAGCACCTTGAAGGCGGCCTTTGGCGTTGTTCCGGGCTGAGTGGAGATCATTCCGCGGAAGCGGGTCACCCGCCACGAGCGCACGTGGTTGTACTCGCTGCACACCGACACCAGGTAGTTCTCAGACAGCGACACCTGCCGGCGGAGGCGGCATGTGTTTTCCAACTCTGTAGCGCCGTTGCCGAGCTATTTATTGGCTTCGGCGGAGGGGGGCGTCCGTTCGATTCCGACACGGGACAAGTGTTTGTTACCCGTGGATAATTGTTCCGGATCTGGTTTCATTTTTTTGCTGTGATAAAGTGGCAAACGGTTCAACTGAGGAAGCGCCGACCCTACCTACGTGGGATAAGGGTAGATGATGATGATGTGTATTTTTGAAGCTAAACTTCTTTTGGTGCGTTTGGAAAATATTATATTTTTACGATGCGCGAACTATAGATACGTAAACATTAAGTATTTAAAATAAATCACTGCCGTTCATTATTTTCATCGCGTTCCAAAGGTCGGTATCGAAAGCTTTGCCGGATATTATTTTTTATAAAGCGTGCGTAATGTCAATGATAGTCTAGTAGCGCAGTGGTTAAGCTATTGACTTCGTCACGGCGCTGAACGTCGGTTTCATTCCAACATCGAACAATCTTTTGAGTGACTGATTATATAATAATATTCTTCTGTACATGTGTATGTCACTGCTCATCCTAAACGGCTGGACCGAGTTAATTTTTTTTTTTTTGTGTGTCATCAGGTCGATTCGAGAATGGTTTGGATTCATTTTTTTTGTCGGATATAAGTCGTGTGTATAGGACGTCTGTCCGGTCCGTTAGTAAATATATAAAAATTCAGATACTGGAAAAACACTGTATTCATCACACAATATTTTTCCAGTAGCGGAGATCGAACCCGGCGCAAGAGGCGAGGCCCACTACGCCAATCGGGTCGGCGTATGCAACGTTAGTCGACCATAGAAGCGTTCCCGCTCTCAGCTCACCTTCGTAACGGGGCTCTGGTGGACGGTGAAGGTCTGGAACAGCTGTGGTCCGTGGCCCACCGTCTCCGGGTGTTGGACGATCACGCGCACCGAGCCGTATCTAGTTCCGTACGCGATCTCTATCCAGTTGCCGCACAGATCTGTAATCAAGATCTCGGCTCATCAACCCGACGGTTTACACTACTGTATTTGTCTACAGTACTAAATTCTCGACCAGTGTATAAAAAGTAAAGTATTAGCCTATACATATCCCACTGCTGGGCAGAGGCCTCTTTTTTACACAGGGTATCAGGACATAGTCCACCACGCGGCCCCACAGCGGATTGGCGAACTTCACATAACTTCCAAATATTTTTTTTGTCCAACCAGCGTCCATGCGCAATTTGATCGGAATTTTTTTATATTGTCGCAGTTGCGAGACGGCAAACGTTATCATGTACGCGCGGCCAAATAGTTTGACAAAATTATATTGCATTTAAAGCAGATGAACCTGTGTAAAACTTACTCGTTTTCGGTGTGAGATAAACCGATATCGCAGTGATTGGCTCTTGATTGGGGTCCTTGTAGAGTTGCGTGACGAGAAGGTCGTTGTCTTTCATGCGCAGGGGGAACTTCTGCATGTCTGGTGAAGAAAACAGATTATTGAATAATAATATCTTATATAATGGATGTAAGCCGCTACTAATCGGTCGAAATGGAAGTCAGTGGCCTATGTTCAGCAGTGGACGTCCAGTAATGACAGATGGATACAATTGATTGAACATTCCTTTAGAGAAGTAGTTCAGGTAATTTTATTTGAGAATGCCTCTTATGCTGTTGGACAATACATGGAAGGTCGATGGGCGTTGTTGGTGAACCTAGCTGCTGATGATTTTATAACGCTGTTACAAGAAAATCACATTTAATATATAAAAATAAAGTAAAGTAACAGCCATACTAGACTCGAGTAGAGTTAGAGTAAGTAACTCGTTCCTATTAACCTATTAACAGGTTTAAGAAATTTATTATAGAAAAACTTTATAAAAAGGGTTATTATAATACAAATGAATACATTAATGACAATAACCCCTGGGAATGAGTTGATCGCTCCCAAGCTATTTCTAATAGGAAAATAAATCAGTTGTATAATATTTTTTTTTATTTTAAGAAAATGAATTACAAAAAAGAGGATACCTACGGAGTTTCTTTCGCCTGTTTCTTCTCCGCTAGAGGAACCTCATTACGAAACAGTGGTAGATTTGAAAAAAAATATGACTATCGATAGATGAAATGTAAGTTTCTTATGTCGATGAATAAATGATTTTGATTTTGCCTATAAACGTCCCACTGCTGGGTAAAGGCCTCCTGAGGCCTTTACTACGCGACCCCACTGCGGTTTGGCAGACTTCACATATTTTCGATTGCTTAAATAACAATTTCATTGGTGCTGGCACCGGGGATCGAACTCGGGTTGCTCGAGTAAACGAAAAGGCGAGCGCCCGGACACTGAGCTATCACGGCGCTTTAACCGTTGGGTACGGAACCCTAAAAAAGGGACTTAACACGAGGCCGACTGTACACGGGCCGGTCACCGACCTATATAGTTGATGGCGCCGGTCGCGGTGCCCAACAGGAGGAAGGAGCCGGCCGTGTCGTGGGTGGTGAGGTGGGCCACGTCCTGCGTCTGCCAGTGCTGCGTGCTGGTGTGCCAGACGCCCGCCTTGCTGCGGCTGCCGGCGCCGCTGAGCGCCACCAGCTGCGGCCCCACGAACAGCAGCTGCTCCACGCGCACGCCCAGGTTGAACGTGCCTGCGCGCGTTTCAAACACTCCCATACTCCCGTATTCCCATACTAGCTGACCCAAAAGGTGACACTTCGTAAAATACATTCTCAGCTGACCTCTACTCAGCGAAAGGGATATTCCTACCAAATTTCAAGGATACGCCTTATGGTTCCAGAGATATATAAAAAGTTGCCGAGGTATTGGCTTCTGCATCCGGGGTCCTTGGCTCGATTCCCATACGGGACTAGTAAAGTATGACATCGTCGCCGGTCGTCTGTGAGCTTACGTCTTCTAAACGCACACATACATAGAAGCGTGACACCAGTCGGTCCTAACAAACCAGCACGAACTGACTTTCTATAGAATCTGTATGTGATAAAGATTATGAGCATCCATATGAATGGATCAGATAACAACATCAAACATGAACAAAACAGGGTTTATTTTACGTTATAGGGAATGCACTATCGGAACAATAGAAGTCAGGATTTAAATGTAGTCAATGCGAAATTTTTATTTGAGTAAGAGTTTAAATAACGGTGCTTTCTGTGTGTGTGTTACTCATATGGGGAGTTTTTCGATAACATTAAATCTAAACACACATTCTCTCAAGATGTTTATAAATATTTGAATTACACATTTGAAACTCATCTAAAAATCTATTTCAACTATGCCTTTTTCTTCCATAGAGAAACTGTCTACCTTGACTGTTACTTAAGTACATTTTCCAAGACAGATTTCCATGTTTGTTATGTTCTATTTTTTCTACCTCAATTATGTTTCGTGTTATTCCCATGACTTACTTGATATTGGCAGAATTTGTAACAATGAGATTGCCATTGTAATTAAAAGAAGAACTTACCCACTAGGGTGCGTCTGACTGGTTCAGTGTGAGTGGAAAACGCCCAGAGCCTCACCAGAGGGCCACTTGCGATTCCCAGCATCACATCAGTACCGGAAGCATTGCTTCCACTTGTTGTTGCGCCGCCACCGGTCTTTGCATTCAGAGCTATCCTTTCAATCACCGAGTCCTGCACGGGCGATTGGAAAACGACGTACCAACCGCAAGAATCCGTCAATCTGCGAAAAATAGATGTTTAAGACGCCGGTACTGAAAACAAGTACCAATGACTATTAAATACATACCCTATATGTACCCCCCTCGCGAAAATATTATCCTCCGTTAAAATTTTTTTTTAATTTGTTTTATCATTTTAGAGAGAAGTACAAAAAAAATCATCTACTATTTTATGGCTTTATTATAAATAAATATGAAAATGTCTAATATAAAAAAAAACTTATAAATATCCCCCACAATAATAATATATTTGTACCTTCATATGTACCTTGTTTTCTATAGCTAATACCATTTCAATGATGTGGTAATAAATGATGACACGAAAAAAATATTACCGGTATCCAGTCACAAAATGTGTGTATGCGACTGCAATCCAATTATGATGAGCTTTGATAATTTGAACTTTCACACTGTCAGCCCATGTATTCACTAAAACAAAAAGTTACAGTTATAGGAGACCTGTTAAACGTTTGGTATGTTTTTAAAATTATTAAAAAGTTAAAAGCATACTCTCAGGTGGCCGAAGGCCTTTATGACTCTCTGTGTTACCCAGTGAAGCTGCTCTTGAATGACCTCTCCCACAACGACTGAAAACACAGAATAATTAGTTGTTGATAATGATTTATGATAATTTATACTCTTGTTCCGATTAAATGTCAACTATGCTACAGAGTGACACTGATAACATATATGAACAATATTAAAGGTAACTTATAAAGATAAAAAACGAAAGAAACAAATAGAAAAATAACCTTAGCTGATCTTGTGAAGGTATTCTACCAACAGTGCGAAGATCAAGGGAGGAGTTTCTAGAGTGTGTTCTGTTTGTGGCTACTTCTGTGTTTGAGGCTGTAGAACTTTTTCTAGAAGCGTTGTTACCATTTCTTCCAGTTGCATTGTTAGTAATGGGAGGATTCACTAAAAGCAGAAACTCCTTAGATAATATATTGAACTTGTAAAAATTCTTAGAGAAATACAACAGGATGTATTTCCAGCATTTAAATTACTTACATGGTGGAGGTAAATAGCCATAAAACAATACATCTCCACAGGATGAATGGTTCATCTCATCACATAAAGCCAGCCTCCTACTGAGGGGTGTAATCCCAAAATAGTCACACTCATGTCTAAGTGCCCTTATGTTAACACTAGTTAGGTCTATATCCCTAGTTCTGAGAAAGTTAAGAATAAGCCCAAATAAATTAGGATCTCTATCTATGAAAATAGCTCCTGTTTCATCTCTTACTGTTGGTATACGACCACTGAGTAGGGCTGTAAAAAAGGTGTCGGGGACCCATGTTAAAGTATGCCAGGATGTAGCAAATCTGAAAGAAAATCAAAATTATGATAATACTTTATTTCTAATAAACCAATTTCAATGAAATGAATTTTGAAAGATAACTATGCCATAATCTTATAACAATTTAAGGAAGAAGTAAACATTAAAATTTATTTATAAGATAATTAGGCTTATTTCTATTTACCTTGTGCCTCCCACGTTCAAATGTACAATTTCTTGATAATTAGCCATATCTTTTAATATTACAATAGTTATAACTTATTAAGTTAACAATTTCATGTAGTAATAAACCCTATAAACATTGAATTATTTATTGTTATGATGAGTAAATATCTTAACTCTAGTTGCAGCTCAGCTTCGTAATCAACAAAATGTCAAAGTCAAGTCAAAAATAAAGGCTGTAAGTAAGGCTGTAACTCACTTCAAACAGCTATCCATAAGAATATTTTTTAAATCGAAAATGTGATACAAAATAAATAAATCAAAAATAAATCACCCGGAAAATGAAAAACAAAATGAATAAATAAAAAAAATGTAGAGTAACTAACAATTCACTTGGATTAATTTTTTAATTAGTTAATACGTTAATACGTATACGTAGCGGTTAACTGCTAGACGGTATTGATAGCTGCAATAATGGAATAAGAAGAACAAAGTAGCTGGTTTGGTGCATGACGACGACATGATTAGCCCATCTGTTCCACTGCAACTCCGTGACCCCTGTAGTAGACCGATGGAAATTCGATTAATAATAGGGGCGTAGAAGCTAATAGTAAATAATCTTGTATTAACTGATGTTTTTGCTTTCAGTCTCGAGACTATTAAAGCTTCATCTGACGCAGAACGGGTGAGCTAGCCAGAACCCACGGGTTTGGGCCCTCCGCTGTGGGTAGGGCCGTGCATGTGCTCATACGTGCGTTTAACTGCGACATGTCATCTAAGGGCCATCGAAGTTGCGATGCGGACCGACCCCGATGGCCGTCGACTGTGTTTTTAGCTAATCGGTGGCTAGGGGCGGTGAGAACCGCACTGGAACGCGGGTGTACGCGTTGTGTTGGTCTCGCCGTGCTCGGAGGCGAGGGCGAACTATTGTGTTTGTTGTTACACTAGCTGTGGGTGTAATGTTATCCGGCGAGACCCCCGGCGGTGGGTCCGGCGTATCTAAGTCCCCTTCCTCGACCGGGTTGATGAGGACGTTTCACAGGCGACGCTTGTTGACGTTCGCGTTTGTGTCGGGTTGGTAATTTGCTGAATAGTAACTATTGCCTCACCTGGCACCTCTCTCATGAGCAGTTAGTAAAAAGTTAAAAAGACACAAAGTTCACCTATACAAAACAAGAAACCGACTCAAGTTATTCAAAATCGATTCGTTCATCATGCTACCCGCCCGCTATGGTATATACGGAACACCGAATTTCTTCATGACCTTACAATCAGGACTGCTCACCTTCCGGCGGAAAGAAGCGTCATTAAGACTATTAAGACGAATAAACAGTCATTCAACTTGTTGAGATTCCATCCTATAAACGTTTTAGACGATTAAGACGACGAATTAATGCGTGGTCCAATCCCAGCACGTGGTCGTCTACACTGCCCTAGAAGTCAGACAGATGCAGGTGCGGCTATCAGGGAAGCGAACCTCATGACACCGGGCATTATCTCGAGGGGCTACGAAAATGTAGCCTTAAATTAGCCAATTTTTTTTGTTTGCAAAACTTCGTTGTCGTGTCGTAGGTCGTGGTGATAGGTCCAAACAGTTCATTGACCGACATTGCGCCATCACACTAAGTTCAAACTTACAACAGTCGCAACGCGTTCCCATATGTCAGGTCATTTTTGAATAGCTTACGTTTTAGTGCTATTGTTATTTAATAGCAAGTCTGCATACGATCACTTTCTCGTTGCATAATTGGCTACAAAAATGTTTACTTTACATTTAATAAAGTTAATTATTTTCTTAAACCTTTAACTCAGTAAAAATTTTAACTCTCGTGAACTAATTTTTTTTTGTATATTGTAATTGTCGATCTTTCACTTAATGAAATCGTAATTTTAATCTGATTTCATCTTCTGGATAGATTGCGCGATTGATCACTACGAGATCCAAGTTGGAATTCAAACCATCGTTACAGGACTCATTCCAAACCCTTGGAATATGTTGTGCCTCTGATTATAAATTGAATTATCTGTCTTTCGATAACAGAGGTCGCGTAGATGTAGCAAAGTCAATACCGTCATCGTGTCGTGATCATACAATAGTTACGTTATTCTCCTGGACCCATGGGTTGTCTGATTATGGACCTCCACAAGAGATGCCGAACAAAAGATGCCGGGTTATAAGCAAACTATAATATAAAAAAAAAAAATTTTATAACTCCCGCTTGTTGCTCCTGGTAACACACTTAATAAGAGAGACGTGTCCGTCACTGAAAAGTCAATCAATTTCAATAAATTCGTATTGTTGGAACTGATGTATGAAAAAGTTATTGTTGTGAGTAATTAGGATAAATAGAAGATCTTCCCTTATATAAAATGCCGGCGTCTGCTGTGGCAAGGCCGGCTCATAGCCATAATAAGGGGTTATTCAATAATACGGCCGGCTTTAGTACACTGATCACGGTTACTGTTCTGTCACTAGCTTGGCTGGCCGGTTTTGCATCCCGGTTATTCGCTGTAATACGTTTTGAAAGTATAATTCACGAATTCGATCCATGGTAAGTCATCTGTATATATTGGGGTTAAAAAAATCTTATTATATTTGCTCTTGTCTGACGTGGGCATTGCGTGTTCCAGGTTTAATTACAGATCCACAGCATACATGGTACAACATGGTTTCTATAACTTTCTTAATTGGTTTGATGAACGCGCCTGGTACCCACTTGGTCGCATTGTTGGAGGAACAGTGTATCCTGGTCTCATGATAACATCGGGTACAATACATTGGATTCTCCACACTCTGAATATCCCGATTCATATAAGAGATATTTGCGTGTTTCTTGCTCCTGTATTCAGGTAATGTTATTTTCTGACCACTACTCCTTTCTCAATAGGTTGAGAAAATTTAATTATAGGGGTTGTGAGCTTTTCCTTAGTTTCTTTTGATGGTTTTTTAAATGAAAATCCTAGAAAATTTTCATCAATTTTTAGTACCAATTATTATTTAAAGAATATAGTGTAAAAATGGTAATAAATCATGAAATGTTTTTAGTGGTTTAACAGCAATTGCAACATATCTCTTAACATCAGAGTTATGGTCAAGGGGTGCAGGTTTATTTGCTGCATGTTTCATAGCCATAGTGCCAGGTTACAGTAGCCGTTCAGTGGCAGGAAGTTATGACAATGAGGGCATTGCCATTTTTGCACTGCAGTTTACATATTACCTGTGGTTGAAGAGTGTAAAAAGTGGATCAGTATTCTGGTCGGTTTGCACTGCTATCTCCTACTTTTACATGGTTTGTATTAATGTTATTTTCTTCACTTACATCACTACTTGTAAATATACTAGACAAAGTTATAATAACTTTTTGATTTAATTCAAATAAAGGGCTAACTTTTATACATAGCAATCATATAATCTCAAGATGATAATTTCAAGGTATTATTATAATATAAAGAAAGAAAAAGAACTATGATAAATATTTAATCAAAACATGTTTTAGCATAAGGTTTTTTTTAGGTATCAGCATGGGGTGGATATGTGTTTATTATAAACTTAATACCTCTGCACGTGTTTGTCCTTCTTATTATGGGAAGATTTTCACAGAGATTGTTTGTCAGTTACACTGTATTTTATATCTTGGGATTACTGCTGTCGATGCAGATACCATTTGTTGGGTTCCAACCTATACGCACAAGTGAACATATGGCTGCATCAGGTAAATTATAGATTATATATATTCTCACTATCCTTATTCATTAAAGTTTTAACTGCAATAAAAAAACACTTTAAAAGCCATGGTCCTCAATTACAAAATGGTTATCTCACTGTTTGCTGTGAAGCCCGAACAAAGCTAGAGTGTTATTTGTTTTATTGTTCTCCTGTTTATGCTATTGATATACATACATTTTGTCAATGTTTTATTTTGGTTACCACATTTATAATTGTGTGAGTTAATAAATAGGGTTGTAAAGTTGTCACATCATTTGAATTTGAACTTTTATACTTATACTTGTAAGTATTGAATAAATGGAGTTGTTTAATTCAATAATATACTACTTGTATAATATACTATTATGTATTAAGTATGTAGTAATTCTATGATTCAATTTATATCAAAATTCCTATATTCATTGATTTTTAGGTGTATTTGCACTTTTAATGGCAATTGGTACCCTGAAGTACTTACACAGTCTTAACCCCAAAGGCCAGTGGAAACAATTACTAATATTAGGAGGGTTAATAGCAGCCGCTGCTGTTTTCATTGTTGTTGTGTTATTGACTTATATGGGTGTTATTGCACCTTGGAGTGGCCGGTAAGTAATAAGATGTATAATTATCAAATTTCCCTTTTCATTGCTAGTGAAACAAGCCAATTGTGGTGTAGAACATTATTTCTCAGCTTTTTTTTGTAATTGCCATGAGTGTAGTGCTGTTACCTTATTACCTCAGTGTTGCTAAATAGATTAAAAAAGCGAAACTTTGATGCCAAGTAATTTATAATATACCGCATATGTAAAAGCTAAAATATTGCTTTGTAATCTCAACTTAAAATACTTGTGTTATATTTAATAAGGTCATGGACATTAGACAACTTTTTTACTTCATATCTTGTATTATTGTTTCAGATTTTACTCCTTATGGGATACTGGCTATGCCAAGATCCACATTCCAATCATTGCTTCAGTGTCAGAGCATCAGCCCACCACTTGGTCATCATTCTTCTTTGATTTGCATGTACTTGTGTGCACCTTCCCTGTGGGTTTGTGGTACTGTATTAAGCATATCAATGATGAGAGGGTTTTTGGTAAGTAATATTTTTGTTCCTTCACCTTTCCAGGTTTTACTTAGGGCTTAAGGATTAATATATGGTTGCAAATATAGTGATCATCTTCACAGTATTATCAGGGCAACCAATAACATCTTTTTTACATTTACATTTAATTCCAACTTATTTAATTAAACCATTAGTCTAATCAATTGCATTTAATGTCTTTTTCGCACTCACTTTTTAGTATTTTTTCCTTTCCTTCACAATTTTTGTTATAGTAAATATATATAACTTCTTACATGCATACATAATAGTACAAACACATTTTTTGTTTTCAATAAATGGGAATCTGATAAGGTTAATAAGCATAGTTTAAATGTATAAAAATAAATAATAAATATTATCAAGTTATATTTATAACATATGGAAATAAATAAAACTGCATAACTTCCAGTGGCCCTTTACGCGTTAAGTGCGGTATATTTCGCCGGGGTGATGGTTCGGTTGATGCTTACCCTGACACCAGTGGTTTGCATACTGGCGGGCATATCTTTCTCGATTCTTCTCGATTTGGTATTGAAGGAAGAAGACGCGCCCGCACCACATTTCGAGTCGGACGAGTCTAAAAATCTGTATGATAAGGTAATTGAAATTTGTTTTTCTTTATTCCTTATGTGTAAAGTTCCAGGCTCCTAGCTTATAACAGTAACAAACAAAATTTGTTACAAAGCTTCAAAAAAAAGAGGTTGTCAGTTCGGTTGTATTTTTTTATTTTTTACCTCAGGACTTCTGTCATTCATGAACCTATTTTAAAAATTCTTATTGGATTGGGTTCTGTTTAGCTCCCATGATAAATTCATTGGTAATCAACATTGGACTTTGGAGGTACACAATTTCTTAAACTCAGATAGAAAATGTATGAGTGGGATATTTGAATTCTTTTTTATTTTTTGTTAATAAAAATATTTTACTTGTTCGAGTTTTCGTAAGGCCCATTTTATAATGTATGGAAATAAATCTGTCGGATTCTAGAGTTTAGATTTCTAGATTGTACTATTACAATTATATATTATAGTTGCATAGGAGGCAAATATGAAGACAATTCTAATTATGATGTGATTTCTAGATGATCCACAATTGTAATTTGTGAGTGGTTTTTTTTTTTGGAGAGGCTTTAGGTTCATCTGATGTTAAGTGATAACTGCTGCCCACGGACATTTGTAACACCGTAGTAGTAGGTAAAGTGATGTAACGAAACGCGAAAGTTTAGCACTTCCACTTCACGCCGGTACTTCCCCGGAGGGACCTGCCCATTCGTGCAACGCGAAAATTATTGCGTGGCCCCTACTACAGGAAGAGTGGTTTCTGGATAAGAAAATTGTTTTTAATGTGGTAAAAGAAGCCAGTAAAAAACAAAAATTTTGCATACGTTCAAATGCAATGTATTTACGTTTTCATAACTATGTACATTTCACTGAATTTCATGTCACCGACAAATGTTTGCTGAGGACATAACAAAAACTCAGAAGACAATACTACTCGGAATGCAAGTCACGCACAATTTTGCATGCATTTATTACATACCTTAGTAATATGCAACAAGTTATTAATAATATGTCAAGGACACCCCTTCACCAATTTCATACGGTTTTCGCATTTTAACGGCGTGGTTCATGAAAAGAAAATACTTTTACATATCTATCTAAGGCACTGAGAGGAAGCTTTAGGTTTTTATGTACCTAAAGCTTTAAGCTTTAGGTACATAAAAACTTTATATAATTTGTCTGTTTGTTGAAAATGTCGCAAGTAGTTTGCCGCGCGGGTAAAAATGGGCTAGTAAACGAAAAAAAATTAGGCGTATACGTTCTGATACGCGTGCGAAGCCGGGGCGTTTCGCTAGTCTCAGATAAATAATGAAACATTATAATGGACAACCGTACCTTTCTGAGCCTCAGATAGAGGAGACGGACGCCGGAGACACCCCATATCTAAATTACTGTGGTAGGGCCAGGCTGGTAGGGCCTAGAAAAAGTTCGGTGTGAAGTGAAAGTATTAAACTTTCGCGTTTTGTGCGGTGAGCGCAGCAACCGGGGCCAAATATTTAGAGGTTGGCAACGCATTTGCAATCCGTCTGGTGTTTTATGTGATTTTATAGACGACGGACATATTAACAAAGCATATGCAGAATTTGATTCTAAATCAAAATCTGGTACGTACCTGGTACGTACTTACTTGTGATCTAATTTTTTTCAGATATTTAATTTTTCAAACATTATAAACACCTTAAGAAATACAATACAATAACCTATTCACGACCACTAAAACTTTTCGCTAAACGCATAATTATTAACCCGCTATCAGTAGGGTGACCACTCTTAACGGGATAAACAAACAATGTTTGAATTGATATTTTTCTGGTTATTTCTTGTCAAAATCAAATATTAATATTATTTCTTTGAATTATGGAATGCTCAATTAACATTATATCAAAGTATGTACTTCGTCTAAAAATTCATCCTGTATCCGTATCCAGAGGAGGGTGTAATCGTTCTCCATCAGATGAACTGTCCGCTTGCGAAGTTTTCCAATAAAAAGAAAACATGATTCACCACAGGCCGGCAAGTCGAAGAAGCGCTCGCACGAGCCTGTCCCGCCCATCGACTCCGGCCTGGGTATGAACGTGCGCTCCGCCACGCTGATCGTCTTCATGATCCTGCTGATGCTGTTCTCCGTCCACTGCACGTGGGCCACGTCGAACGCCTACTCCAGTCCGAGCATCGTGTTGGCCAGCTACGGCAACGACGGGTGAGTACTGAGTTGCTTGTACCCGGCGCCATCGATACCAGATCTCGATTACGGTCGATTTTAGAGTGGCTCTTAGGTTTTATGTTGCCCTGGTAGCTTTGTGTCGGGAGCTGAATTGGAACCACGCACTCTTCTTCTTCTTTCGTTCTTTATGGGTTCTCTTTAAAGAATTACAGTCTAAGCATCGTGCTGGCCAGCTACGGCAACGACAGGTGAGTACTGAGTTGCTTGTACCCGGCGCCATCGATACCAGATCTCGATTACGGTCGATTTTAGAGTGGCTTTTAGGTTTAATGTTGCCCTGGTAGCTTTGTGTCGGGAGCTGAATTGGAACCACGCACTCTTCTTCTTCTTTCGTTCTTTATGGTTTCTCTTTAAAGAATTCCGCCATTGGCAAGACAGTCATGGGAGTGACAAGGGAATAATTTTTGTAGAGAAAAAAATTTTTTTTGCAATTTTGTGCAATGCTCCACAACAAAAGACATAATATAATAAACCACCACCAGAGTAACCTCGAACTCGTCAGAGTAACAAATTAGTCTTATTTCAACATATACAACATAAAAGACGTTACACAGCACAGATGTAATATTTTCTTTAACTGACATCTACATACAATATTGATCCCATATTACTTTCATGACCATACTCCATTATATCATTCTGAATTCCTTTTTTGTTTTTGTTAAACAGTTCTAGAAAGATCTTGGACGATTTCCGGGAGGCCTATGGTTGGCTGTCTCAAAACACCGCGGAGGATGCGAGAGTGATGTCGTGGTGGGATTACGGCTATCAGGTGACCTTTAAAAAAAAGAAATATATAATTAACCCATATTTATTGCAGTTAAATTACGAGTATATTAGATTAAAAGCGAGCGATGGGACGCAGCTATCACGGCTAATTGTTAATTTTAAGTGCTGACATGTGACGTGCTCAGCGGTGAAGGAAAATATCGTGAGGGAAATATTTGAAGTCTGCCAGTCCACAGTAGGGTCGCTTGGTGGACTGTGCCATGATACCCTCTGTACAGAGGAGGTCTTTGCCCAGCAGTGGTACAAATGTAGGCGAGAACTGAGAAAGAGAACTCTTAAATTTACTGCGTTTTACTTGCTTCGGTTTATGAAGACTCAGATGGTATAGTTTCGAGGTTAGTCGTGAATTTGATTCCAGAGTGGATCTGGACGTTGTTGCTTGAACAACTTGTGCCTTTAAGACACATCTGCAGCACAGGACTACAGTATATCCCTTCCCCCGGGAAAAGTTATCTTTTCCCAGGCATGAGCCTGTTGTGTTCGCCTGTCAATAAACCAGGTTGATTTAGTGACAGGCGTCCAAAGTTTCGATACCAAAGTTAATGTTATGTAACGTTTCTACTATGTCTATTATTTATTTTAATTAAACTTTCTTATATAGGTAACGCGATAGATTGAATGTTTCTCTTATGTTCTTCCTTTACCAAATCGACTTGCCTGTGTTCTGTTAGGCCGTAGTACTCCCCCGTCTAGGGAAAGCCGCTCCACAGCAAACGCTATGGATTGACTGTTACCACTATGTCTCTTTCTTTGCCACATATTAAGTCTCTTCTGTCTGGCCGTACTAATTCCCCGATTTAGTAAAAAGCTACTGTACAGGCTTGTGTCTTCTTGACATAAGTCTTCGGTTCTGCCTTCCTGACAGAAGTCCAACTAGCGGCCGGTTTCAATACTCTATCAACAGATAGATTTGGTTACTGGAATTAAGATTTTGACGTGAGCTAATGTCAAATACCTATCGCTAGTAACCAAAACTATCTGTAGATAGAATATTGAAACAGGCGCGACGGATTGACCGTTTCCAATCGCCAGATCGCCGGCATGGGCAACCGCACGACCCTCGTGGACAACAACACGTGGAACAACTCGCACATCGCGCTGGTGGGGAAGGCGATGGCGAGCAACGAGAGCGCCGCGTACGAGATAATGACGATGCTGGACGTGGACTACGTGCTGGTGATATTCGGCGGCGCCATTGGGTACTCGGGCGACGACATCAACAAGTTCATATGGATGGTGCGGATAGCGGAGGGGGAGCACCCGAAGGACATACACGTGGGTACCGACCGCTCTCGGCGGTTTCTCACGGTGACAACGTGTTTTAGCCGACTTCGAGAAAGGGGGTGGGGGGGGGGGGGTTCACTTTTATAGTGTTCCGTACCCAAAGGGTAAATGGTGTGATAAAACGGGACCTTTTTACTAAGATTCCGCTGATTGTCTGTCTGTCCGTCACCTGTCTGTCACCAAGCTGTATCTCATTAACCGTGATAGTTAGACAGTTGAAATCTTCACAGATGTTGTTTCCGTTGCCGCTATAACAACAAATACTAAAAAACACAATAAACAATGTTTAAGTAGGTCTCCCATACAACAGACATGATTTTTTTTGCCATTTTTATAGATGACGGTACGGAACCCTTCATGCGCAAGTTCGACTCGCACTGAGCTGATTTTTATGTCATCACAGGGCGTGAGCCCGATTTTATAGAATAAAATAAATAAATAAATATTTTAGGACACATTTTTACGCAAAGTTCTCTAGTCCCAAACTAAGCAACGCTTGTACTATGGGTACTAGAAATCTGATAAATTTATTTAAACATACTTTTCTTTTCTAAATAAAGACGTATATAAACACCCATACATACATAAACACACAGACACTGAACAAATACTATGTTCATGAGACAATATTTTTCCAGTAGTGGGGATCAAACACACAATCTGGCACAAGATTCACTACCCCACTACGCTAATCGATAAGCTTTCATGTGGTCCCGTGTTAATTTCACTTGGACTCCGCAGATACATGAGGGTACTCCTCAAAACCAAATAGAAAAATGTATAGTTATTGAGATATTTGAAGCCGGCTTTTTTTTTTGTTCATGAGATTTTTTTTAATCGTTTTACGCCCGATCCACACAAGAAAAATCATCAAGCATTTGGAAAGAGACAATCGGCTAACTTCAATTTCGTAGATCATTATCTTTGTCGCACACTGGTACGATTGAAAACTGACTGTCGCTCTACGAAAATAGTGCAATATTTATTGAGCACTATATGTATCCTTTATAACAGGTGTGATTGTCAACAGGAAGCCGATTATTTCACGGAGAGGGGTGAATACCGGATAGACTCCGAGGCCTCAAAGACTATGTTAAATTGTTTAATGTACAAATTATCATATTATCGGTGAGTCCTTCCAATTGTTCGCACATTGTTTAGGTTATAATATTCTGGTTTCTGAAACACTGATAATCGTAGATGTTAACTAATCATTTGTCAAATGGCTTTTCAAATGTCATTTGAGTTGCCAAAAGGATGGTTAAACTCTTAAATTGACCAGAATGATCTTCTTAATGATCAGAATGATCAATTTAAAGGGTTTAACTATCTTTTTTGCCAACTAAACTGAACTACTCAAGACTACTATTGTAAAAATCATACTTTTGACCACCGTCATAATTTTTTTCTTTATTTATTGAGAAAGATACACCTATCTTTCTCAATAAATAAAGAAAAAAAAATATATAATTTCATGCTCATGTAAGTACGGTACCAGGGGAACATGAAAGCGTCGTGCTCTTTCTAGATACGACAGTGGCGGGAGCCCGCCGGGCTATGATCGCACTCGTGGCTCGTTGCCTGGCAACCGCGGCTTCAAACTCACCTACCTCGAGGAGGCGTACACCTCAGAGCACTGGCTCGTCAGGATATACAGGTACGTTCTTTTACTTGGTGTCCAAATGTAAAAACTGCATTGTTGCTGGAATGTCGATTCATCGTAGGCAGCAGTTTCCTTATCCTCGTTTAAACTGTTGATTAGTAGTTGAAATAATAGAAAGGGCTATGGTTGAAATAATAGAAAAGGTCACGGTATGGACCGTCTGTAAATTTCGGTAGAAATATACATGAACGAAAAAATGTAATCTACTTTAAAATATATTTTTATTAAAATGTGTAATTTTCGCCTAAACATAGGAAATTATTATTAGCCTTTATATTTTTTTGTCACTCGAATCGCTTCATTCCTAGATTTATTAATAATTAAAAAATTTTGCCTTGATAAACCAGTGTCCGGGCCCTCGTTCTGCTGAGCTGCCAGAGTTCGATCCTGGCGGGGCACCAATGAAATTTTAATTTTTTTAAGTGCTGACGTATCACGTGCTCCGCGATGAAGGAAAATATCCTGAGGAAACCTCCATTTTTAGAAATAATAACAAAAAAAAATTCTTGAAGATATGTGAAGTCCGCCAATCTGCAGTGGGGCCGCGTGGTAGACCAAGCCCTAATACCCTCTGTACAGGGGAGGCTTTTGCCCAGCAGTGGGATATGTATAGGCTGTTACATTACTTTAAAAACCTCTTCCTTATATTGTTATATTTTTTAATTATTCCAGAGTGAAGAAACCCGATGAGTTCAACCGTCCCCGTATACCACTGGCCAAGAGAACGGTTCCAACGTCTAATGCTATCTCAAAAAAGGTATATTAATTTTTTTCTATCCTCTTGAACTTGAGTCCTTTCAGATTAATACAAACCTTATAATGGTGTTACTTACAGTATAACTCTGTTGTAATTCAACCCTTTTTTTATTTGATATGTTATGCTATATTTTATACGGTAAAAGTTTTACTTGAAAATTTTGTATCTGGATTAAGGACATAATATATACAAAGGAACATTTTCGGTAAATATGTTGTAATAATGTATTTTTAACAACTTAAATGAAATTATATTTGTTTTATAATATTTAGTGTACTAACACCGTAACCGAATTGTAAACTAACCTAACTAAATCATAATAATGCAATGTTATGTATATATTTATTTATCTTGTAAGAACGTATTTATGTTTAAGGCACAAAAATTTCAATGACTGGCTCATTACTTATTTTTTCTACTACGGTATTAACCACAAAGTTAGTATTGCAACAAATTTCTCATTATCGCTTTGAATGCTTCCATTTAACTCTATTAATAATATTAACTTTCTTTCCTATTTCAGCTTCCGGTGGGAATAGGATCGGGGGTACAGTATTTAGAAGTTGTTTCCTTTAGTGTGCTTCGTTCTTTGTATGTGCTTATGTTGTGTTTATGTTGTTTTGCAGCTACATTACGTTGTATTTTAATAAAAATAAAGCAATGACAGCTGAGTTTGACACTCGAAAGTAGTAACTGGGGTAGGGCCACGTAATAAGTCTTCACTGTTGCACGAATGGGCAGGTCGACCAGGGTCAGTGCCACGACCTCACAGAAAACCGGCGTGAAGGGAAATTGTTATACTTCTGCGTTTCGGTGAGCGAGGTAGCCGAGACCCACTTTATTAAAAGGTGGCAACGCATCTGCAACCTATAGGTGTTGATAATGTCCATGAGCGGCGGTCATTACTTAACATTAGGTGAAACGCTGACTCGCTTGCCAATAATATATATTTTTTTTAATTTATTTAATATCTGCAGTGATACTTGTGGCAGTCTATGTCTTAACGCCATGTGTAATATATGTGTATACATATATGTTTTTTTTATCTACCAGTGGGATTTTATGTAATTGTAGGCAGTTATTTTAATGTATGATGGTGATGGCTTAATGGATGGGGGCGTTGACTGGCGGTTAGAGGACACATGTTCGAATCTCAGTGCCGTGTTTGTTCTTACGTTTTGTTGTTAAGTTCCAAAACTAACAAATAATCAAAATGAACAAATTTGTCCCGTCCGTCTAACATGTTGTCTAGCCGTGATAGCTCAGCTGCTCGCTTTTAATACAATATACTCGAGCAACCGATAATACAATATACTGAGCAATGTATAATTGTTAATTATATGTGCTGAAAAAAATCCGACTTTATAGAGGTCTGATTAAGGGATCGCGTGGTGGACTAATCCCTAATACCCTCTGAATAGAGGTGGCTTTGCCCAGCAGTGGGATATAAAATATATAGGCTGTTACTTTACTACCAACCGTTTACAATTTTAGCATCAAAACCGAGAACTCGCCGCAAAGTGGCATAATATCCTTTTTTCTTTCCGGTTTAGACGTCGAAGCGGAGAAAAGGCCTCCTAAAGAACAAGCCGACGTTGGTTAAGGGCAAGAAATTGAGCCGTTTGGAGTGACGTAAATGATGGGGGAGGACGCGGTATGCGCCGAGTTGATGTTTCCATATCAGTGGTAAATCTGCAATGCAATTAACACTCCTATCAAACGGACAGATCACTTTAGTTATGTATATTTTGCACCCCCGAATTGCTGTTTTAGTCTGCGTATTCTTTATTGTACGTAAATTTATGAACGTTGTAAGAAGTAATGTTTTAGATTTACCTTTTCATTCGAAGTTACTTCTGTTTTTTCTTCAAACGTCCCGAAGAATTGGCTTTGTTCGAAATGTGTCAGTAATAATAATTATGTCATAATAGGTACCTATTTTTGGCGATTAAATTTTAAAGGTTTAATGTGGTGAATTTAAAAAGTAAAATTTTGTGGATTTTTGTAGTATCTATTCTATCGTAGTCTTATTTTTCGCAGTATTTATGCGATACGTAAGGTATGTTCTCGACAACCCATTGACGTAGTAGATACTAGATAGTGAGTCTTGTCTACTGCGTCAGAGGGTACGGGTTCGATCCATTACTGCAAAAATATTATGTGGTGAACATAGTGTTTTTCTAGTGGCCGGGTGTTTAAATATCTATAATATGTATTTATTCATACAAGAAAAGTATATTTACTGGAATATCCTGAAAAATGTTATTATATTACAAAAGATACAAAATAAGTAAAAAAAGTGTAAAATTATAAAGGTGTTTGTAACCCCTACTTAATAGAATGAAAATATTTATGTATTCAAATATGTCAAGATATATAAAAAATCAAAAATCTATTTCAAAATCACATTTAATTTTTATTCATAATGTTCACGATAAACGTTTGAAAATGGTATAAGATTTTAAAATTATAAATTGTCATGTGTCAAGGATACATGCAATTTTGCAAATACAAAAAAATAAGTAAAAATATCACATACATTGTTTGCTTGTTTCAGCGCCAATGTTTTTAAATGTTAATAAATATTCTAACTTCTAACTAACCTGCTTGATATTCAATAGTATTAATCGTTGAAATACAATGTTTGACTTTTTAACGTGTTTCGGACTAGATTAAACTTAACTGTCTTATGTTTTTCTTAATTTATCAATATATATTTTATTAAAAAATATCTAGACTAACTACTAACGTTTTGCAACCGTCGAAGCTATCGACGTCTACATCTTTGGCCTAATTCGATTAGATTAGATTAGCGCGTACTTCTTAAAACCTAGATAATACAACCTTCATGAGGCAATTAAATTTGATCTTGTTTCGAAATGACAACACTTGAATGTTGCAATGAAACACCAATTTCATGGGGTTGAAATGATATCGTGGTGTTATTTAGTGGTAGAATTATGAAAAGATATTAGCAGCATTCTTTTATTCCACAATGCCACGTAATTTGTTTGCTTTAGATATATTATTGTATTTTTATATATTTTCCCCTTCTATTCGTAGTTGATCTTACGCGTTTCAGTTTTGTTTTTATGAATCAATCAAATCCTGCTCCTTTCTCACCTTTTTTAAATTGTTTTATGCGTTAACTAAAATACAATCTGGACTTTGTAGTGAAATATTGTATTTCGTTTGTAAGGGAAATGTGTTGGTTGATGAAGTCTGAATATAATACGTAGCCCTTTAAGATTTATTGCAAAATTACCACTGATTCAATGGGTCGACTGACAGCAATATACGTTTTAGGTCCACTAGATAAAATTGTTTCTATGTTTGGTTCGATTGAGTGCTAGCGGCTGTTGGGTATCATGAATAGTCATGACGGGCGCCATGTTTTATTTCCTCTGCCGCGTATTTTTTTTTTTTACTTATACGTACTGTCAGTTTTCAATGCTTTTTTTCTCTGTTATAGAAATGTTTATAGTTAATATTTGTTTCTCTTACGTTCATTATTATTCCCCATTTCAATCGTAAATTATTATTTTTTTTAATTACCGTGGTCCGGGATGATGGAAAAGATTTTTTTGTCTTGAATTATATCAAATAATAATATTTGTAAAATTAATCTTTCGATTATGAAAAATATAATTATTTTATCAAAAAAATAATAACTCGATAGATAAAATAATTTTCTTTACATAAATAAATGAACATTCAACATGATAAATTGTTGCAATACAGTAAAATTCGTAAATTTTTCACGTTTGCTAATTTGTCACATATTAAACAAATCATATTGTTCATGTTATCCAAAGCCTTTTAGAAACTTGTTCGTAAGAGGTGTTTGTAAATTCTACGTCCATTTGTATAATAAAATAGTTTAAATGTTACACTTACCATTATTTGTCGTTATCAAGCCGTATGTCTATTTACTTTTGTCTTTATTTCATAGTCGTATGGGACTTATTTTAGTAACAATCTATCTGAATGAATGCAAGTATATTTTTCATACTTTGTATAAAGTTTCGGTACTTATAACTATTGCAATCTTAGAAGCACGGTTTTTCTGAGAATGTGTTTAACTATAAAATAATAATCTTTAATAGAGTGTTATAATGTTAAGATTTGTTGTGTAAATCTAACATAACCAAAGTATATCATATTTGGTAGATTTCTGGTTCTTACATCAAGGACTTCTTAAGAATTTAAATGTCTTTTGATTACCGTAATACGAAATGTATTCATTGAGACATCGCCGACATGTGTATTTTACTATCGTAATAAAATGTTATACTTTTGTTTTATTGTTGCACGCCACAATTTTGTTTTTCGTGTTTGTGACAGAGTTTTATCGATTTCTAGGCAATATTAAATTGTGAAAAAAACGTTCTTAATAAACGGCTAAAGATAATGGATCGTTTTATTCCGATAAGAATCCATTTTTATCAATGTTCTTATAAAAATCTAAAAACAGTGTAATACCAAAGGGGGCATATACTTTGTGCCTGCATAAATTTTGTAATAGATTTATCTTTAAGCCACAATTTTGTATTTTCATTGTTTCGATAGTATGTTTCTTACATGGACAAAGATCAAGACTTATGTAATAATTCCTCCCGTTCAAGATTCATTTAGGAACTAACCAGCGGTTCGCCACCACGCCATCATGGGTAAATCACACAGGCTTGGGTAGTCTGGTTACGCAACATTAGTAGGATAGGGTTGGCAATAATAAAAACCAATTGACAAAACCTTCACCATATATTTATTAATAAAGACAATCTAAAAGATCACGTAATAGTCATTGTCTTAAAAAATTAGTTACCCTAATAAATTTATCAATACATACATATATATGTATATATAATAGAGTTTTATTTAATTACTTATTGTTTCAAGGATATGCGAAGTTGAGAAGAGTCGCCCGGCGCGGATAGGGACAGGACTCCAGCTTAGTCGTTGTTCTTTCTAATCATCACATTGATTGAATATAATAATGAATCTAGAATTTATATGTAATACACTTAATTTCTTCAACGAATTTTACCTATACCACCGTTAGACCTAGACGCTTATTAAAATTTTATGTCCTAACGTGTCTACGCGAAGAATTGTGCTAATCTAAAAAGGTGTCTACAAATTTTTCATAGTAGTTCAAAGACTGGTAATTTACAGAACGTTCAAAATCACAACACAGAGTGTAATATCAAATTATCGTGCATTTGGCACGTTTTAGTTTACTGTCTACGTTACAAATTACAAATTTATACGTTTATTGGTTATATACGGCGACAATACGAGCTATGGTGGTGTTACTGGTTATTTTAGTGAGCATTCAATTAAAAAAATTCTATCCTGACTATTTGAGCTTTCTCCCTCATAAAAGACACCATAAAGTATCGACACCGTATATAGCGGACAACTGGTAGAAATTAATTCCCACCGATCTTACACTCGTTAATTCATACAAAATTAGAAGAATATATAATATCCATTTAAGCTTACAAAATATTAATACTATATTTTTAACATTATGTTGAAATAAATACAGATGTACTATTATGTATATATATTTATTTACATTCAATGCCGTGTCGGGACTACAGATGAATTGGAATTAGAAAGAAAGAACATTCAGTAAGCGAGAAATTAAATAGGTTACAACTCCATTGGGAGTCTTTTGCTCAATAAAGTGATCGTGTTTATCAAAAACACAAGGATAATGTGCCTAAGGTATGGTTCACGAATACTTAAAACACTATGTATATTTAGAATTATATTTCCTTTTTTCCTATGTTCGTCTTTAAATTCAATTGACTTATTATTTGTTATGGTATTGTGATTATACTGATGACGGATGCATGTTCGTATTCATTAACAATAATTATATATTTAGTAAAACAAAAAAATTGTCTTTCGATATTTTTAAGGCGTGACTCTGATAGCAAGAGTGACACTGAAATCCGATTCGATATCCTATTAAAATAAAATAACAAGTTTAAATAATTTATTAACAACGATTGAAAAAAATTGACTTTCCCTTGACAACACTGACTCTGTTCTAGCAGAGTGTGTATAAGGAGCCATAGATAAATGCAATTTCCAGTGCTTTTAATTATCTGATCTCGAATAAAACAACATTTCAAGAATCAAATAAAAGCCGTATATAAAAATAAAATTGTAAGGCACTTCTATATTTAAATTGAAATAAGATTGTACAATCTTTGATCTTATACATAATTTTACTTACTTAGTTTTTGTCTGAATAATTACTAATCGAATAGATTGGATTTAAGTTAATAATGAACTTTAAGATGGCCACGATATATGTAGGTGCATTTCGAAATACGCACCACACAATTAATGATTGGCTAGATCGATAAGGGCATAATTACACAGCTATACCCTGACTAGTATGAATTTGTGGCACATGGAATGGGTTTACGACTCTGATAAATCTACATAAAATACGTTTAGAACATAACGTAGCATTTCACATTCCGCGGAATCAATGAAGGCTTAGAGAATTTAGAAGTACCATTCAGTCTTAATAGCTAAGAGTATTGTAAAAATTATTTCTGGAGGGACTTGTCTTGAATAAATTGTAATTTAACGTCATAGACATAGACCTATCTCCGGCACTTTAGTTTATTTCAAAATATATTGAGTATATACAAAATGGCACGATCTGCGACTTAATTTATTTTATGAAAATAACTTTAGTTTCAATTGGTGACAAAACAAATACAAAGTAGCCACGATAACTCACTTGTAAAGAATATTTAGTGAACAATGTTTCAACCATTTGAATAGTTTCGTATCGAGAAAGCTTTGATAAATTTTCACTAAATCAATGTTTATCGTGTCTACTGGTATATACATAAAACTATTTTCTTTGTTAGATATAATATAACATAATACGATTCGAACTTATGAAATAAATGGCACAAAATTCGTAGCTGAGTCAAAGCATTAAGTCATTATCTAAAAGTGTCAAGATTGGGGTTTTGTTAAAGTCTCCACTTAATCTAAAAACAATCAATCTATTTTTTTAATAACTTAGGTCATTTCTATTGGTATGTTAATTATTTTATAACTATATTTTAGTAAAACAATTATACTTAATTTGGCAAAAGTTTGGCAACATGTTTGAACTTAAAGTAGTAAACGGGTCGCCTATGAAAACATTTGCTTACATTGTTAAGATAGAACACAACCAAATAATCACACAAGTTAGTGATACAATTACGTAGCGTATAAGTTTTGCAGTACACATTAATTATTATAATCTAGGACAACTTTATTATTTCGAGGATAAATTATAATATTTGAGTCGCATTGCGTGACAGAATAATGCTCAGATAAATTAATAACCAGATCTGTTGTTACACACGCCGATTACCCATTGCTGTTAAATTCAGTTAGTTAAAGTTGCGCAATCACATTTTTATAGGTAAGAACATGTCCACGGCATGTTCTACGATATCAAAATTCAATAGCGTTAAACGCAATGTTGAAACAGGATTACGTTAGTCTAGAGAGGATTTGGTTAACTCGACTAAATAAATTTAAATTATAAACATGTCTTTTACGTAAATACTGCCCAAAAACTAAAAGCTAGGTGTTAGATTGTAAATTAGGTACCCGGAAGACAAAGAGGGGAAGAAAGAAAGAGACAGAGAGAGAGAGAGAGAGTGAGAGAGAGAAAGATAAAAGTTCACAACCACAAGAACGGTTTCATGGAGGGGGTTTTTGCGGGACTGAGTTCCGACTACAGGCAGCTATTATGGAGACACATGTTTGTAACATATTTGAGCAATTACATTTATTGCCCGTATTTGTACATTACACTAAAAGTATAAAGTATGATTTACATCGAAACAATAAATAGTACATTTATCACAACACGTAGGTACGAGTAAACATTTAGATTCTACTAGATACATACATTTTTATGAAACAATGTTACTTATACACAAACATTAATTGAGACGACTAAATAATAGAGATACTATTAAGAAGATTCAACAAGGAACAAGATAATAAAATTATCAACATAAAATATAGAATATTTGAGCATTTTAATAATATTGTGTAAAAAAATATTACCCTCAATCTTATTATTTCAATAGCTTCTGTGAATGTATTGGAATAAAATGGAACATTTGCTTATTTTCGTCAATGGTGCCGTCGAATATTCCTATTTTAATCGTTTTCGATATGGTGGTTAAATAAAGTTAAATATATTCACAGAAGCTTTCCCACAGCTGTCAATATTTTTCTAAAATTTGTTCATCGATATGTGACTAGTAGATTACGGTACGGACGTTGACTTGAATTCCGTTGCATTATTGACTACTTAAGAAAACAATTTTGTAATGTACTTAATAATATATTTGTCTAATACGACTAGATAAGAGAAAATAAAAAATACTACAAATTAACAAGAAAGTGAGCAAACAAGCAAACGTAATGGTGAGCTGGGCTCGCAATAAAATCAAACAGTTCAATAGAAACGAGGTAGTGTAGTTGCTACACGATAACGTATCACACTCTGTTATAGTAGCAATACTTAAATACACCCATATATTGAATAGGGCTCGACCGCTTTTAGTAGCGTCGACAGCTATCAACTTATTTACAACATCACACTTGGCAAGTCACATTAAGAAGTCTGTCATATAAAAACTTTAAGAAGATACCTTACCTAACTATCTACACGTTTATCAATCGTTATACAAAATATTTTACGTGCTCTCTTCAAGCTTAGCGCTACGAGAATACCAAGTACAATTTTACTTCTATGACATTCAAATACGTCCGGATAAATCTCTTTTTTGACATAACACGCCTTTAATTACTCTTTAGGAATTATTTTCTAAGCATTTGATTTTTGACTTTCATATGAGCTAACGAGTAGGTTCGACGAGCGATTAGAACGGTAGATGTTTTTAAAAAAATCACAAACACGATTTAATCGTGTTAGATTCGCATTTTGAGAATTTCTAAGCTGTCGGTAATTCTTTGCCCATTTGCCCAGTGTGGTAGGGACACTCGTTAGACGGTGTACAGTCAATTGTTTTTTTTTGTTAAGTGGGTGTGAGGGCACAGATCAGCGCAGAGTAAATTAGCGAGAGTTGGTTACAATGCGGTTTTGCTGTAACATTCAGTGGCCGCGTGAGCCCTGTTATCGGCTTTCTCTACCTTTTCATAAGGCTTTTCGAGTTTTGGCCTTTTCGGCTCGGCGTCGAGAGGCCGGTGCGACTTCATGTGCGCGCTACGACTTTTTACTTTGTTAAATACTCTGAAACATAACAGGGTACATCTATTACAACGGCAACTGAGATAAACAAGTGTTAGGCAAATCAAAAAACACAAAAAAAAAAACAACAAAACGGAAGCCGAAGACTGCTGAAGCAAAAGCGTGAACACTATAAATATTTACTTATTAAACATATATTATAAACATAATTATTATATACACACAGTTTTTCTTTAAATACATAGAAATAAAAAAATCTCCGTTTTGTTTCGCATACATACGGCTGTCGTTTATCATAAAAAACTTTGTAACTTTTCTAAAATAACATTTGTACATTTGTTTAATTGTTAGTTGTTATTTGTGTGTTGTAAAACATCACGCTATAAATAATAATAATTATTATAAACTAGTCCATACACAAGTCACTTTCAAGGCGAAGTCATGAAAACATTAACTTTACATGCATTAAACATCAATAACATCATAAAACAAAAGACTGATCCAAGAAATGTCACATTACTCCTATATAAATAAAGTTGATCTCGCAAATGTTTTGGATGTACGAGATTTCCTGAATCAGTTTAAACTATATCTTAAGATATATCTCGTTCATTGTGTTAGTAACTGCTAATCTGTAAGAAATACGTACTAAACCCCTACCAAACAATGCACACGCAATTTATGTGAAACACAATGGCAGAGCGGAAACATTTACAAACGAAGAAAACAAAATGAGACGGTTTCACTTAAATCGCGGTGGCGCGTTTTTGCTGACGATGGCGAGGTATGTAAGCAGTGGGCGTTCTCCAGGGTTGTCACTTACTTCCCGCATATCTTGCAAGGGTATTCCTCCCCATCGAATGGAGTCGGCGATGGACAGGAAGTGGGGCCTTGTATTGAAATCTGCCCTACCGATCCCTAAACATGGACAAGTCGGTGGTGTTAAAACAATTGAAGCCGACACTCAATCTTCACAGAATCTGTAGACGTAGTTAGATAGCGCAGTGTACATGGCTGTGCTTACTTGTGACGAGGCTTGCGGGTCCGTGCTCCAGCTTCGCAAATACAGTGGTTTGTAGTCTTTGGTCACTTTCTTCCAGAAATAGTAGAACTGCACGCATTGCTTAGAGTCTTTCGTTCGTATCTGTTGGATACATTTTTGGTGTCATTTATTTATACATCAATAGCTTTTTAATTAGCAGGTAATAGAATCAGCTTCTCTGTTCCATTTTCTATATCGCATGCTATGTTGTTTAAAATTTTATTGATGTGTAATAAATTTAAGGCTCGGTGATGTGTGATGAATTAGATGTTCGCTGTTTAATTCAGTGTAACGATAAATTGTAATTCCAAAATTGCAGTATGGTATGCTGATTATGTGATCTGATCAAATTTTTTTACAGTTACGTATGTCTTGATCCTCCAGTCGACTAGTCTACGACAGTCTACGACGCTGACTGCATGGCGTGACTGTCGAGATGTACTTACCAGTTGGGAGATTCTGTAGAAGTCCTTGTCATAGTGCCCGAGCCCGGCTAAGAAGGCCTCTACTTCGTCTGGTGTCCATCGTGATTCGTGTTGGGACGGGGCGGCCGGCCGGGACATGAGGCGCAGGGTCGCAGCCCTGATGTCCCCTCCGCACTCCCCCAGGGTCTGGAGGGCGAACTCTCGCGTGTGACCGCCCACCGGCATCGCCGCGCACATCGCCAGCTCCATGAACATGCGTACTAAAATACGTGTCATTTGAAACATTTACTTTTCTGACATTAAAACTGCTTTTTAAACCGACTTCAATAGGGGAGGAGGCTCTCGATTTAGTTGTATTTTTTATGTCTGTTAAATTAGAACTCCGTCATTCATGAATGGATAATATTAAACGAACATTGGGGTTGGTTAGTGCAAAACAAAACTAGTTTTGTTTTTTGCATTGGGTTCGATTTAGCTCCCTACCATGGGATCCCATATTAATTAGTATTGGACCTTGAAAATTCGGAGATACATCAGAGAACTCGAAATAAAAAAGGAAAATGTATAGTGCGTGAGATATTTGAAGTCGGTTTTATTTATTTTTGCTGCAAAAATGTACTTGTTTGAACAAATTAAAGGCATACCCTCATTGTCGTCAAGGGCATCGTTGATACCCGGGTCCCAAAGCAATTGCTCCGGTGCTCTGTGCAAGTCTACACGATCGTTGCAAAGCTCCGGTATATTTGCTTGATGGTCGATCCCTACATTGATTTGCGGTGTGCGGGGCTCTTCCAGCTGCGCCATTACATCGCTGTCCGCTTTTGACAATCCTAAAACACGTGTAAATGTGTCCAAAGTGAAATCGAGTGTAAATGACGCTTAAAATCGTATAAATATGTTTAAAACAGTTTGCTCATCGATTAGTTTTAAAGTAAATGTTGAACCATATTTTGTCAAAGCGGAGTTACAGATAAAGTATTTGAAAACTTTGTAAAACTTGGACTATCTAAAAAGTTCAGAACAGGAAAAAACACATAAATACCAACCCTGCATCACTTGGACCAGGAGGCCGGAACCATCTCTATCGGGAGGCAGTATAGGTTGTGGTGTGTAATGGTTAATGGAGCGCCGCATGCGAGTACGGTAAGGTCCCGCGGGAGATCCGCGACGTTTACGTCGCTGTGGCGATGCTGGGACACTGCTTGGGCTCAAAAAAACTGCTGGCACCACATCTCTGCCTTCGACGCACACCTGGGAATTCGTCCTGATTATAGAAGTACGGCAGTTTTCTCAGACAGTTTCGAAAACTATAAAGTCCACGGATACTGGATAGACTAAATTACTTTTCAGATTAAATTTGAATACTATCGTACAAGGGTGGTACAATCATGGGTAAAAATGGTCTCAAGAGATATATTTTTCCATTATGTTATTGCTGCATATGTGATATCATCAATTAAATAGAAAATTTAGAAGATTTCACCTGTAAGGAAGAGTCTTGCTGCCATTGATGCATGGGCGTGCACATATTTGCTATTCGATGTCGACGAAAAAGCCGTTGGTGTGAAAAATCTCGAGGACTGCTCGAAAGTAGTGGGTCTTCGGAATTCAGCATAATGCGGCGGTGTGCGGGAGATGGTTCCAACGCATAAGCATCTAATGATCTGCATTCTTCGGGTAGCACTTCTTCCAATGCTTCCTCGACCTATGCAATTTTTTTAAATTACAGTTTTTAAGTAAGTTCAGTTTAAAGTACCTAAATTAAGAACTGATGGTTCGATGTAAATAAAACATGTATAAGTACCTCTTCTTGGCTAGACATTGTAGCTGTAAAGAAAGCAGCAGACAATGGTGATGAGGCACGGGGGACGGTGTTTGAAGGTGACTGAGCATCGTGCGATGCTGGAGGCGTCGGATATGCTAATCCAGGTGATGGCTGAGGCTGCGTTGAATAGTTTCCACCGGGAGAGGTAGCACTGTAGGCGATTCCCGGAGAGTCTCCGGTCGAGTAAGATAGACATGGTGAGCTGTCTGCGTAGCCAATTCCCGGCGACGGTACAGGAGATCCCCCATGGCTTGCCCCAAAATCTGCTAAGGATTCGGGCAAAGGGGAGTTTAAAACGGCCGCCAGTCGACGACTTGACGGAAAAGTTACAGGCGATCGTTCTCGAATAGATGCTGCTACGGTCGCATAATCTTCCAAAGACGCGAGCTCTTCTAGTTGTTCGGGCGTGGTCGCAAATTGAAACGTGTCGTCGTTGAGGGCCGGTGAAAAGTAACCATCGTCGGAATTGAACGACACTCCAAACAATTCCGGCCGGAAAGTGAACTCTTGATGCGGTGACGACTGACCGGGGTCGGACGTGGACCTTTTAACAACCTGCCAAGTAAAAATTGAAGGTTATGACGGTGCCCTTTTCTAAACAGGAAGACCGTTACATTATACTACACATAAAACAAACCTTAGAACTGCCTTTCTTTAACAATTCTATGAGAGTAGAATCTCTTGTGGACAGATTGTTGTTTGGAATATTAGTCGCGACTACAAGGGAAGGCGCGCGTGGTTGCACGAATTGTGTTGCTGTTATTGGAGAGGCTGGCGACGCAGACGTACGAATTGTTGACAACGGAGGTGGCGCTGGAGCGATAAACCCTGCTCTGGTGGCTGCGTTGTCCGTACTGGTACCTGTCACCAAAAAGATCAATTGGTAGATAAAGTATTAGTTCTTTGGTATTACATATATTACTCGTTTCGAACCTGTTGGTGCTGATGAAGCGGCAGCCCCTCGCCGGCTGATGATTTTCTCTTCGATGAGCGCACGCACTGATACCGAAGCAGTTTGCAGTGGGGGCCCGGATGATTCCTTCTTATCCAATTTCTTGTTGTCGGAGTCCTGAATACAATGAGTGTTTTAGTAGTTATAAAATTTCCTAACATTTTACAAGAAATGCAGATACGTTACTTTTTTGAAATACCCGCCGTGTAAGCGCATGTGTCCGTTCAAGGCGGGTATATTTTTGAATTTGCGATGGCATAGGTTGCATTCGACAGGTTTTATGTCGCTTGTTCGCGCCACGGCCGTAACCGCACTACTACCCGCTCCGCTCCCCGCTGCGTTGGTCGTTCCGCTCGCACTGTTGCCACCGCCACATTTTTGGCTCCCCTGCTGCGCCTGTGAAATTAACGATGACTTCACAAAAGTTCAAAAGACTTTCAAACCTATTACGTACTTTGTAATTTCAAGGTATAAACTTTCGATCTTCAGTAGCTCGTTAATATTCCAAGTTAATTAATGGATTTTGATGGACTTCTCGTAATCTGCGCTGGTGTGAAAGGAAAATCGTAATTATAGGTCAACTGAAAACCGTAAACAGGTGGTGGATTTTTATACATATAGAAAGTATATATCAATGTCTATATATATGTCATTAGGTTTTGGGGATGGAAATAAAAGTAAAAGTTACCTAATGATATTTATTTGTGTAATTTGCCACAAAGCGGAACTGGGCGGAAGCGTACTGCAGTTATTCATTTATGTAGAATTTTAATTAGTTGCGGATTTCCGTCGCACCCACCGCGTAGGAAATGTACGACTTTTCTACATTCAGTGAGACAAAATTCATCCCGTTTTTACGTGTTTCCCATATATTTGAAACTTTTTATGCGTTTTCACGTCGGAGTAAAAGTTTCTAAATGAATTTAAAGCGGGAGCAAGCGAAATATTTACCGACGTAAATGTCGTAACGACGGTGTTAAATGTATTTATATTTAATTTATATTTTATTTCAATATGTTCTACATTCCGGTTCTTTGATTTTTTAATATAAATGTGGAGTAGGATAATATGTTTATGATTACATATGACTTATTTTATAAAGTTAAAAGGCGCTTGCCATCTAGTATTGCGGTTTTCATTGTTTTCTAAAGAACAAGAACTCTGTTGCAATTGATCGTGTTTTGATGAATTATTTTGTTACAATATTAAAAACGCTTTGAGTTTTTTCAAATTTATTTTCAACGGCATATTTTATAAGTTGTACATCTATCTGCTACGGTACAAGAAGATTTTTATTAATGAATTTCCATATTATGACATATAAATAAAAAAGAGGTTTGAAGTAACTATGCAAAGTATAAGTAGCAAGTATGTTACATGTATATGTTTCAGACTAAGTTTGGCCTAGCCAGCCATATCAGAGCTCACAATAGGGCAAATCCGTAATTGCTGGGGTCGCCGTCATCGAAATCGATGAGGAGGACTATATATATATGTTTTCGAGTTCAACAAAGTCTCAACGGACTATTTGTGGCTTTCAAATAGTGTCCACATACCACAGGCTAATCATCATCATCATCATCAGCCGCAAGACGTCCACTGTTGAACATAGGCCTGCCCTTAGAAGGCCACAACGAACGGCGCTTTGCACTTGTATCCACGCACCGGTTGCCCGCGACTCTTATGATGATAATAAGGCTAATCATAGTGATGTTAAACAAGGATGATGATGATGATTATTCCGACCGATTTCGGCCATGGCGACCTCTTCAACTCCAAATCAATTAGGAGTTGAAGAGGTTGCTGTTTTTAAACAAGGATACTTAAGCAATTACAGAAATTAAGTATTTCGATCCGCACTTCAAATGTTGGGTTAATTGACAGGTGGCCTTGGCGTGCCACGAATTGTAGAACGATTAATAAATGGAATTACAACAGAGTTTGACAGACGGAAACTTTACAAGGCGAGCAATTATTGGGTCTTAGCAAACAATAACACTTGAACAACGCCTCCGGTGGCGTACTTCGAACAGGTGAATAACAGTTTTGGCTGAGCGACTTTCGGCTATAGTTCAAAGTTCGCAAAGGCTCAAAGAAGCCGAACTAAGCGCGTGGAATGGAACGTTAAATTGAATACCGTGGTAATTTGTATCAACATAACACTCCTTAATGAATTGTTAATGTCAAGGGAATGAACGACAAAATTGATCTACAGATAAATAAATAATTTGTATTGTAAAGAAAAAAATACATTCCATCTTTTGTAGACAACCAATTACCAATGTTTCACCAAGATTGTAACAATTAACAAATGACAGAAGCAGATGTTGCACCCCACCTTCGATTAATATACACGTCCACATGTATATTAATATGTATAAATATAATCAAATCATGTAGTTTGAGGAATTGACAATTCATTGACTGACCGAGATAGGATCCATCGGGATTTAAATGCGCTAAAAATACATTAGAAGTAAAAAAGAAGTGAATCTATTTACGTAAGTATGCAACTTTTTCACAAAAAAAAAAGTAATGTGTTGAAACAAATGTTCTCAAAGAATTTAGTTTGTATTTAACAAGTACTCGGTTAAAAATTACTTGTAGGTATGTCATGGGTCTACTTGATATCATAGTCTATTTCGATCTATTTAGGTGTATTATTAGGTTATATTTTCTCAGCATTCCGTTTTAAAAATTTTCGACAAATAGCACGCACAAAGGGTTAGTATACTGGTTTGGTACCCGACGGTGATGCGAAATTAGATTTCGTTATTAAACTCGATAGGTAAAACGATTACAAAATTATACTCCAATTGTGCGTCAAACGAAAACAACAGCGCCCTTGAGACGGGATTTATCAAGAACGAGAATTAATTATTCCCGTGATAAATAATCGGCCATTCGGGGCTCGGTTGTGCTCACGACCCAAATCCGCGGCAAAAAGCGCTTCGGCGGAGCGAGTTCGTAATTCATTTGATTCTGGGTTTTTTTCCGCGGCGCGGCGAACGCGGTGGGCGCCATTAGGGCAGCTCGTTAGGTTAATGCGGGATGGGCGCCGGCACATGTTCGCGGAGCGGGCGGCGGTAGCGTTTTTGCCGTACATCATCCTTGCAGCGTATTTAACCCCGGCAGCGGTTTTTACTCGGAATGATCAACACGCTACAGCTGCTCGAGCCTCGAGTCGTTTGCGCCGAAGCGCTTAATGCGCTTGAAATTTAGAACGCTCCGCGTTTTGTTAGCTCGCGCCAATTTCTGCTGTACGTATCGGAAAATGCCAGTTCTGTTTTTTATGCTGCACATTTGCGTAGTTCGGTTTATCATCACTTCTTTATTATTTGTTTGCAGATATAGGTACACGCTTTATATTATGTCAGTCACCGAAGCAAATTGCGATGAAAATTAAGTGTTAAAAATAAAATAAGGTATTTAGGAATATCGATAGAGAACATTGCCTTTCGAATAGGTACGAAATCATATAGAGATAAAACAAATGTGTGTATGTGCGGAAAGTTAAAGAAAGCATTAAAAGCTTTTATATTCTTTGTTCAATGTTTGACACATTCCGTTGGAACTCTAAAATATGGAGAAAGAAATATGGGGTTTTAACAGATTAAAATAGTTACCATTATTCAATTACCTGTAATCAGTTGTTATATTAATATCTATGCGATAACATTTAAGAAAAAGAATGATGTTTTACTTAATTGTTGGCTGTTAATTGCCACGCTGAAGTAAAAAAGTAACATATATCGTAACTATCTACATTATTGTTAAATTAATAACAGAAATTGAACTCGAGGACCAAGCTAATTACCCCGGCTCCAGCTTAACTAGGCCACGCTTTAGAAGGAATTAAAACGTAGTGGAGAACAAGAATACAAGTAGGCTATAATGGCGCTCGCTTCGAAAACTGCTACGAAAAATTTTACAAAGATACGATTGTAATACTTTTTCTTATAATTTAGCGTGCCATTCAAAATTATTGTAAGCGTTTTGTAACTTCATTTTCAGATAAAACTGCTGCTCTGTTTATTTAGACTGTGAAGTTTATCAATTTCCAGGTTAAGTCGGATACCTAATTAGGTATCTCAACGAAACATGTTTGTTTGCTGGTAACATAACACATACGCGTTTAGGGACGTAATTAAAACAGTCTCCCCGGACTGATTATGCCGATGCAATATTCAAATTTGGATAGACATCGATGCTCCGCAGCGAATTTGCTTGGTTCAAAATAAAACTGAACATCGTAGATACTATGTTTTGTACGTTTTTATTACACCGGTTATGTATAAGGAATAAAATTGATGTGTCTTTCTGTAATTTCAAGATAAATCGCAAATAAGTTTTAGTTAAATTGCCAATCATAAATTACTGTTTTTATGATTTTGTTTGTCTGCCTATCGAAAGATTTTCTCGAATAGACTCAAAAACATTAAAAAAAAAAACGGATTTCAATGGAGGTTATAAGATTTTAAAACAAATATTATAACTTAAAATTTTTCCCTCTACGTTACTTTCAGAGTTCAGAAGATGTGAATATAAATGTTTGTGACTATAAACGAATAAATGACATTAGTTTTCTTTTTAATTCCGGTATCAGATTATAAAATAAAGGCATCAAAGGAATTTTCGGTTTAAGTGATTGGTTACATTTCGCAAGCTTACTTAAAATAGAACGAACTTAAAATGTTATACTAGTGGTTATTCGCAAGCTACAGCTACGGTTTTAAGTTTGAAATGCTAATTTTGAAGAGAAACAACTCACCTTTGGCTTAGTGAAGGTATGCGGCTGGAAAAGTTGCGTGATCCAATTGTCCATTGTGTAAGACACACTCACATGCAGTTGTAGTTTGTTTATTAGATATTGTATACTTTTTCTGATGATTTGTAAATCTGTTAACTCAATAAACTGAACGCTCAGTCCGGTGTATGCGTACCTCACGGTATACGAACATGGAATGATAGCACAATGGACGGGAGATATCGAAGAGATGACCCCACCGAAGATATGGTTCGAATTGACCTCGCGAATTGCAAGATGAGATGACCAGTAGCATAACAAAGGCTCTGTACAGAGGCTCATTTGCATATGTTCCCGTTATTATGATTTGCTGGACTGTGCGCCTGGCGTTCGCAATGGATTCAACGATACAAATTAACATGGGGAGGTCACTTTCGGCTGCGTTTTGATTTATGGTGCGAATTTAAATGCTTCGGTAAATGAAAGTGGACGTAAACTGTGTGTTAATTGTGTAACATTTACCGATTAAAAATAAAATTTAAAAAAATGGGTTATATAACAAATGTTTCTTTATTCTACACGCGTAAGCATGTTAAAAGTGACAACAACTTCTTTCTTTAATAACTATAATAATAATAAAAATAATTGA